CAGAGCAGCTACAAGCCAGTAATCACCTGATTGATTTTGAACTCTGAGCGATCGAATCCAGGCACACTAATTTCACGAAATATCTTCATTTCTGGAGACTCAATCCCTAAGTTGCATTGGTATATAATACCAGGAGTGAGAAAGCTAGTAAAACCGATTAAAACCGTGCTGTCTTCACGACGAGCAGAAATCCCATAAACAGTTCCGATGTCAATGGGCAACTTATGCAGCATGGAACCTGTTTTCAAATTCCTTACATGGAGCACATACTTCACGTCGCTCATATAACTCACAATCATCTGATTGCCGTTTACTGCGCATGCTGATTCCAGAACATCTTTTTCATCCTCTGGAACAACATCAATCCACCAACTCGGTTCCTTGAGATCAACTCGGACTATTTTATATTTCGGAGCATCTTTGTTTGTCAAGAAAGTAAACAAGGAATCATCATTGGCAACGGCAAGATACTGTGCGTCGAATTGATCTATCAACTTAACAAACGGGAGCGGGCCATTTCGTACCCTGAAACCTTCCAGACCTTCAGGAAGTGCAGACATGTTGCAGTAGTACAGTTTATTGACAGGGCCACAACCTTCGTCAATGAACAAGAGAAGATACTGCAGGATAGCATTCAATAGTAGAAAATTTCACCTCAGACATTGAGATGAAATCAAATTGGACCTACATAGATGCATGCTTAAAGATCAAATTACCTTCCCATCATCCGTCACACTTCCAGTAAACATGTGCTTAGGATTTTCAGGATCTCTCCAGCATAGAATGTCTTCAGATTGATTTGTACCAAGAAAATGATAGCACAACTCGTGATGAACGTTAACACTAGTTTCTATACCAGCATCATGGTTTTCTCCATCTCTGAATCATAAAAAATAGAATTAGTACGTAGTTTAATAAAGATACTTGTGCTACAGCACGTGAAAACTTTTTTTTTTCCAAAAAGAAAAGTTGATCATGAATGGAAAAAGACATAGTTTCTTGAATATCTATGAAGATGAAATTCTTTCAATATATGAGAAACCATGACAAGATCATGAATTAGTCTACAACTGACAAAACCAGAGGATAGAGAGATAATTCCCTTAAAGCTGAACACACAAATTTTCAGTAATTGAGTACTACTTACTTGGGCACTGGATAGCGGCTATAGAAAAACCCTTTGCTATCATGTGTCCAGCTGATATCCGAAAACTTAATCTGTAACAAAAGCAGAAGAATACTTCTGTGAGCCGATACTGATCAAAAGACTCTTCCCATAGTTCATGCATCAAACCACAACAACTCACCCATGCTAAAGTATCAGGTTCCCCTGTTTTATCCTCAACTCGCATTACGTTAATCGTCACCCAATCACTTCCACTCGAGCTAAGCCCGTAAGCCAAGTACTTGGCATCCTCACTGACGGACAAGGCCTTCAACGACACCGTTCCATCCTCACTAAGGGTGTTAGGGTCAAGCAAGACCTCTGGTTTTCCATCCAAACCATCCTGAAACCAGTTGCGGGGATAAAAAATCAACAACAAAAAAAAAAGTTTTTGCATGAATTTGCTACTGAGCATTAAAAAAGTGGTACTTCTGACAGACCTGCATGTAAAGGACGTTTTGTGCTTGGAGCCCGGTGTTGTGGAAGTAAAAATATTTATTCCCTCGCTTAAACGGCACGGTGTAGCGTGGATGATCAAAGAGCTCTGTGATTTTCTTGCGAAGTTTACCCCTAGTTTCGCACTCTACAAGCACTGATTCTGTCAGAGCAACCTGTTTCTGCACAAACTCCTTTGTTTCTTCAGCGTCAGGATCTTCAAGCCTAGACGTAATTATCACAAAGAAAAAGAAAATTACACTTAAAATCAAAACCAGAGAAAAAACATTTCTTACCTATCAAACAAAAGAGATTTGAGGCAATGTGAATTTCGATTACCATCTATAGGGATCAGCCACCTTGACGCCATGATAATCATCAACCACAGACTCGTCCCTGCGAGCATTGGGATACTGCAAAGGGCCAAAGGGCTCCTCTGGGACGCAGAGAGAACCCATGGATACAGAGCTTGAACCAGGCAGAAACTGACGGTGAAAACTTCAAACGATAACTCAGAAGAATTTATTATCCTAGGTTGCCTTGGCCTACAGACAAATTTATATAGGGCGGGCGCTTAAACCGGAGTGTGTAATAGATGAAGTCATCTTAAGCCGTTTCATTAGGGACAATGTTCTTCATAGTGGGTGTTTTGGGGATATTACGTCCTTGAGGTGTCGCCATTCTGGCTCTAACATGTTGCCATATTTTTGGAATTTTGAGCTCTGATTTATTCATCAGAGAAAGTTCCTTTTTTTTTTATTTTTTTCTGGGAATCCTGTCCTTTTAAGTTATACTAATAACTGCCAACTAACATTTGGATTTGTCTGTCTTTCCATTTTCACGACAAATGTTTTCAAAACTTTATAATTTATATATATATATATATATATATGCAAGACTAGGGTAGAACAAAAGATTAGGTTTAGGTTAATTTTGAATATCTATCAACCGACTTCATGTTTAAAAATAACTAAAATCAAATATAATTTCATGAATAATTGAATTAATCAAAATCGATTTAATTCAGTTAATTCGATTTAGTTTTTAAAAATCGAACTTGATAAATTTTTTTTATTTGTGTTGTACTTTTTTACAAATTGATATTACAAAACTATTAAAAATTATGATAAACAACTAAAATAAATAAAAAAGATCTTATATAAATAATAAATAATTAAAAATATAAATAATAAATAGTTTATCATTTATTTTTTATACGAAAACTTTATTATATTTTTATTTAAGTTTAATTAATTCAATTAAAAAAATTCTTAATTTAATTAATTTTAATAACTGAATTACTCAAAAAACTAAACTAATCAAATCAAAGAAAATGAACTTACTTTAATTCGATTGGGTTTGCATTTACACACTCTTACATAAAACGAAACTAACATCTGAAGCTCGTTCATATGATTATGAATTCATAGAAATTAAAAATTGACCAAAAATTATTTTATAATTTAAAATGTTATCTGACTTCTAGACAGTTTGCCCAGGCTTCCTGATGATTAGCAACCACATGCTTTGGACGAATTATTTTTCTGTTAAAACGTGACAAGATTCTGGGGTTGAGTAACTTGTCTCAGCCTTCAGTTCAAAAGAGTTTGGTTTTGTCTTTTTTTATGGTTTGGATATGATTTTCTTTTCTTTTCAAGATCAGTTAAAATATTATTTTTGTTTAAATGTCATTTTTAATTTAAATGAAAGTATATGTATTTGTTAATGAAATTTATATTTGATGTAATCAATGTTTTAATAAATAAATTTAAAAATTAAAAAAATATATCTTTATGAAATGACCGGGTATGATTAAATGAAAATATACAATGCATCAAATATAAATTTTATTTATTATGATAATTTTAATTAGTGCTTTTAAAAATTTTCGCTAACAAAATCTTTTAAAATGTTCATTTTGGTGGAAAGAACAACAAAAAGGATACGTTTTTCCCCTTTTAGCACATAAAGTTAGAATATAACTAGTACATTCGTTTACCTGTGAAGAAAGATTGGCCAAAAAATTAAAATTGGAGAAGGAATTAGAACGGGTTTAATTGACAACAAATGAAGGTTTTGCAATAAGCTAAACATTAGAATTTGCTATCAAAATTTTATTTTTTATTTATAACCAAAAAAAAACTTTTTAAGGTTTTTACAAATAAGAGTGTGGCATGTTTTCAATAAATGAATTAGATATTAGTTTTCGTTTAGTAGTAAACAAGACAATTCATTTTTCATTGTTTTCATATATATATATATAATTATTTAAATTTTTTAAATATAAAATAAGGGACATGCTTTTATCAAATTCAATTTACATTTGAATAATGAATGATCACGAGAATGAAGTTATTTATTTATTTTATTGTAAGTTAATAATTATATTACGTGTTTTCTGTTAATAAAATATAATAAATTTTAAATTCATAAATAAAGATTTATTTTTTAGTATATTTTTTTTATATTATAAACATAAGCCTGTAATAAAAGGTATTAAATTCAAATATTCACTCACATCAGATTTAATAAGATAGATTAGAATTAAGGTAAACATAGATTAAAATGTGATCCCTCTCGTCTATATGTAAAAGAGATAAGATAAACTCGTGATGATTACATACTCTTGCCATTGGTGAAGCAAAATAGGCGCATTCCATGGTTTGCAAGGGATTGATGGATGGGAAATAGGAGATGTTAGTGCTATAAAGTGTTAGTTCCATTTATAAATGTTGTTAATGCTAGGTGCCATCTGTTCTTTTCAATTATGTTTAGTCCCAGCTAAACATGATTGGAGTAGATGTGACAATTCCCTAATTAATGGAGACTTTATTAAGTAATCATCTTTTCATTTCATTTTCATTCTATTTTTAAAAATATAATATTTTTATTTTATTTGCCTTACAAAATTATTTTTCATATTTTTTTTAGTTTTTAATATTAAAAATATTAAATATTTATATTATAGAAATTTCAAAATTTAATATAAAATATATTAATATAAGAATGACAATTAAATCTCAAACAAAGTGGGTTAATATCAAATTAAATCCAGCAAGGATGAATTATAAGCTTACGAAAGGAAAAGAACAAATGCCTTGCATTCAAGACGAGGAACAAAAATGGTGGGATCCATAATGATAAAACCACCACATTTACCACCCCAGCCTAAGCCGATCTCGTAATTAAACCGCGCAACTCGTAATATCTCAGCGCGTGGAGTAAACATCTCCAAATCCTTCATTGGAATCTTTCGGCAGAAACCGGAGCGTGCTGGTCACGCTCCATGAACCAACGTAGGGCGTTCAGATCACCTCCCAATTAAAAAGGGAGCCCACCAGAGTCTTCCATGAAGGGGACTGGTTTTCACACGCCACAAACTAAGTTTGAAACAGTGAAAGCGAAATAAGAGAGGCAGATCATTGTTCCCTTTGAAGCTTTAGTTTTGCTTTCTCATTTTTAGTTCTATTTTCCTCTTCCGTACGGAAAACATTTAGTCAACCGAACGAAAACCGTACGGTCCTGTAATGCTGGCAAGAATTTGATAAAAACGTTGGAAGTTTGCTGAGCATTTGATCTTGAAGAATGGCGAGCGTTTCGTCTGAGGAAGGTTTCGATCAAATAAGCGAGCAGTTCGAGAGTTACAGTTTGAGCGCCGACGTCAGCGAATCGGAGAGCTCGAGCGGGTTTTCTTCGTGTCGTCATTTTGACCAAGAAGGCGGTTCGACTTCTTTGACCACTTCGTCGCTCGCAGGACCGGAGTTCGTTGATGGTTCTAGTTTTACTGCGCGCGTTCCCGTGATGTTACCGGTTGTCGGTGGTAGACACGTGGTCATTCCTGCGAAGAAGGCGGAGGTACCCGAGGCCGACACGTCCGGTGAGTTCACTACAACTTTTGCTTCTGATCTTTTTAGTAAGGACTAAATTGAGGTTCGAATTCGTTGCTGCGTTGAAAAGTTTGGAGGAAATTTTAGTTTAAAACGGTGAAGACTGAAGACTTTGAGTTAAATATTTTGCTGCATTTGCTAACCGTACTTAGTTACTGACGTTTTCTAGATCTTTTACTTACTCTGATCTTAAAGCTCTGCTTGGTTGCATACTTTTCCAATGATTATCTCGTTTTAACTTAAAACCAAACCAGCGGCGCAAAATAGGGGAAAATGTAAGGCTAGAATTCTACTCTTTTGCACGTTTTCTTGTTTCTTTCCTTTTCTGGTACAAGGGGAGTTTTGAACCGTGCAAAGGCTAAATAAACTGAAACGATCTTCTCCAGAGACTTAGTTGACTGTGTTATTCATCTATGTTTTAATTTCTTTGGATTTGATGTTATTGCAGAAGTAGAAAAAATTAAGGAAAGGTTTGCTAAGCTTTTGCTTGGAGAAGATATGTCAGGTGGAAGGAAAGGAGTTTGTACTGCCCTTGCCATCTCAAATGCCATTACAAATCTTTCTGGTTAGTTCTTGCATCTGCATCTCATTTTAGTTTTAGTTTGTTTGATTCATCACAAATAAGAGGTAGAAATCCGAATCAATTTGGTAAGTTTTTGCAGCCTCTGTGTTCGGGGAACTATGGAAGTTAGAGCCACTATCACCGCAAAGGAAGTTGATGTGGCGTAGAGAGATGAACTGGCTTCTGTGTGTAAGTGATTACATAGTGGAGCTTAAACCATCATTGCAGGAGTTTCCTGCTGGGGGAACCTTTGAAGTTATGGTGGCCCGGCCACGCTCAGATCTATACGTAAACCTTCCAGCGCTCAAGAAACTTGATGCAATGCTGCTTAGCATTCTTGATGGCTTTCATGATTCTGAGTTTCATTATGCTGATCGTGGGATAGTCATTGCTGATACGGATGAAATTGAAGCATTTCCTTCATCTTTGTCATCTGGGAGGCCTTCTGTTAGACAGGAAGAGAAGTGTTGGCTCCCATTTCCTAAGGTTCCCCCTACTGGTTTATCTGAAGATACAAGGAAGAGATTGCAGCAGTGTAGGGAATGTACAAACCAGATCCTTAAGGCTGCTATGGCAATAAACAGCAGCGCGTTGGCTGAGATGGAAATCCCAAGTGCTTACCTGGACAGCCTGCCCAAGGTATGGAGACTGCGCTGTATAGTATACAGAATTGTTCCATGTGGCATGAGATAAGTTGTAGTGAGATGAAAATGGTTATCAAATGGGGAATCCATGAGACCAATTGTGTCTAATTTTCATGCATTTATGTTTTTGCTGAAAGAATGGTCCTTTGGTTCAGTGAATAGAAAGTGTCATTTGGATCTGAGCTTCTGTATTTCTCACAATTATTGATTCACTATGCAGTTTGACTGATTATTTTCAGGAAGCATATTATTGCTCATGCATCTCTTTGTTTCCATTGTTCTTCCCATTTAGTATTAGTGTCCCTAATAATTCTTTTGAATTGTTTTTTGCTTGCTTCCAGTGTGGGAAAGATTGTTTGGGGGAGGTCATGTATCGTTACTTAACTGCTGACCGGTTCTCCCCTGAGTGTCTTCTTGATTACTTAGACCTGTCGTCAGAGTACACTACTCTGGAAATAGCCAATAGGATTGAGGCTTCTGTACACATTTGGAAACAGAAATACTTAAAAAGGCGTTCACTTCGTGCAAAGGTTGGAAAGGCATCATGGGGTGGAAAGGTCAAGGGCTTTGTTGTTGACATAGAAAAGAGTAAGGTTCTAACTCAGCGGGCAGAGACCTCCTTACAGAACTTAAGGCTACGGTTTCCAGGCCTTCCACAGACTTCTTTGGACATGAGCAAGATACAATATAACAAGGTACTTCCTCTTAGCTTGAATTAGTATCGAAAACTTTACTATAACAAGGTACTTCCTCTTAGCATGAATTAGTATCGAAAACCTTTACTATAATTCTGGTGCACTTGTTTCCATCAATAACGTGTGTCTCTGTTCTCCAACATGTCACATGATTTAATATTTATCCAGAAGTAGGAAAAACAGCTATCTGTTTGAATATCAATTGAACTTGTATTCTCATTTTTTTTTTCTTCTTTATTCTTTTTTTTTCTTTCTTTTGCTGAAGTGCTGTAATATGCTAAAGGTAAAGAGGATAGAATGAATTTCTTCTTTGTTGTAGGATGTAGGACAATCAATTCTTGAGAGCTACTCTAGAGTCATTGAAAGCCTAGCTTTCAACATAACGGCAAGGATTGATGATCTGCTATATGTGGACGATGCCACAAAACAACGTGCAGCAGCAGAGTCAATGTCTCTGTATGACCAGGGGCGATTTGTTGGTGCTCTTCCGACACAAAGGCGGGTATAACCCAGTCCTTTCTTATTTGAACATGCTCCTTCTGGGACTCCATGCGCGATGAGAGCATCCTACACTTCAGATGACATAGGTGAAAGCCCTGATAGGAGGATTTACCGCCCTTTACATAATGGCAATCTTAGATACCCTCTGGATGGCTCACTAGAAAGGCTAGCGTTTTGACAAGCGGAAGGAATGTCCTCCTGCATCACCAACCTGAAAACCTCACAAGACTCTGGTAGTACTTCTGGATTAAGATTGAGATAGCTGATTCCATCGCATACAGCTGAAAGCTGATTTGTGGTTCTGGCGGGCAACGGACACAATCAGATTGAATCTTGTGTAAATTCCTTATGATTAGACACACAAAGTAGAGATTTTTCATTTGGTTAGCTGGATTTCTTTAAAGAGTTACCTCTGTTTCAGCAACTATTAGTATTTCTTTTCTGTTGGTAGCGTAAAGCAGTATCACAAACAACCAAAACTTGGCTTCCAGGTTGAGATAAAGTCCATGCCCTGACTCCCCTCTCCGTCACTCTTTTTCCAAATATACTCTCAAAAAAAGTTAAAAAAGAGTAGAAAACTATTATCTTTGCTATCAACTTATGCCTAAACATTATTTTTGAACAACGTGGAAATTTCTCGCCATCTCAATTTGAGTTCCAAAATTGGAAAAAGACGAAAGAAAAACCGTTGGATGTCTCTTAATAGAACGGATCGACTAAGGCCCAGTCTTAGAGACAAGAGGCTGTGGGCTATACAAGCCGCTGAACAGCCCACACTCAAATGGCCCGCACAGCAGCGTCTCCACCATTGAACCTGCGTGGCCCAGACAAGACACTTTGTTTTCTGCTGTGTTTTTGGGTATGTGATCTTATAAATCATACAGTTTATTTCATGCCCCATATGCATTTCTCCAACACAAAGCAATATTAAAAATATTCATAATTCATGTGTCAAAAAATAAGGGAGGGCAAATTGGTATCTTTTAAATCTTATCTTATGTTTTTAGAAAAACAGTTATATAAATATGAACATAAACTAGTAGTAATTTCTGTAGATATATCTGTATTCTTTTAAACATAACACTTCTTTTTATATTTATTGTTATTATTCTTTTTTTGAGAGAAAGAGACATATGATATTAACTCCATAAGAGAGTGAAGATATCATTGCCACTTGGTTCACGGCCCATAAAAGAACCAAATGAAGGAAAAGAAGACTATGCTGGGGAAGAAAATACCTCTCTAAGCCAACTCTTTTTTTTTTTTTGGCAGGGAATCAGTCCCAAACCTAAAACAAGAGAAAAAGCTACGGGGGACAAAAAAAATAAAAAACCGAAAAACACCAGCAATGGTCCCCATTGATTATGAGTATCATTAACCATCTTTGATTTGAGTCGTACCATTGACCAAAATTCTTACAACATTGACTAAAGCAACCATGAGCAGCATGTAGTAGGTCCGATGGTCACCGGCTCCACCCCATTAACCTCCAAAATCAACAATGATATGCCAGGGCACGAGCCACCATGGTGAAGCCCCGCAGCACGGCTCCCCTTGACCAATATTCTCCCTGTTCAGACTGATCCCCGAATGCTCATGGAAACCAGTTAAAGAGAATAGACCTTATGAAACTATCACAAATAAAGGAAGCTCAACAATTTCATCAGAGTTCAGACATGGAAGGAGAGAATGAGGAAAACAAATGAAAAGTGAAGGCAGTCCAGTTGAATTGCATGATTAGATGTTTTACCTACACCCAGTGGAGGGAAAGGCCTAAGGGATGTTATTTTTTTTTTGGTTTTGCTTTATAACAATTTAAATAATAGTATTGTCAGTCTTTCAATCATGAGGCTACGTATAATGGGGTTTGGGAGAGTGTAGAAACGTTTCATTAAGTACAAGGGCTGCCCTACAGATTAAATGGTTAAGTGTAGTAAATAAATGACTGACATTGTGAAATTGGTGGCAATCATGCGTGAGGCCATGAACATAAAAATCTTTTGCTTTGATTGTAATAAGATAATCAACATGATTACATACAATACAGTATCAGACAAAGTTGGTTCAAGAAACAAAAAAAAAAGTTTTAATTCAAAACCTGTCAATGGAGTCATCATTTGAGTCTCATGAACTCTGACAAAATCTTCTTGTTTCTGTCATTGGGTTTTTGTTCTTTTAGGATTGTGCAATTTCCTCCCTCTTGTTTTGAAAGGGGGTTCACAGATCCTCCTATCTTAACAAATGGTTTCAATCAAGGATCTGTGCTGACCCAGATGCATACAAGAACAAAGAGGCTGATAAAACCCTAGATGAAACAGAAGGTAGCACTGCAAAAGAAAGAAAGTGCAGAAAGCATTCTAGTTCAACTACTGTTTTGATGACTAGAAAGGAGAAAAATAAGTGGAGAAAATAAGATAAAAAGCTAGGTTCTCAATTAGCAGTCAAAGCCTCAAAGGAGATCTAGGATATGACCAGATAAGTGTATCACGTTGCTCAACCCCTCAGACCTCAGTACAAAACTGCTGACAATCAAACCCTGCAAGCAGCAGAAGAATGACGAAAGTACCAAACCGATAGAAAATTTTTCTTCTCCTTAATTTTTTAAATCCTTTTGCAAGATAACATAGTAAAGTTCAGGTTATCTAGGCTAGCTAGTAGATAACCAGAGGGATCAGAAGCTGCCACAACATGATCATTCTTTCATCACAGGAAAAATAGCATAGAAAGAAAGAAAATGAAGAAATGTTTGAATGAAGATAATCATAAGAATATGCATGCTATTTACCTGGATCCTTATCAAAGGAACAGAATAGCTGGAAGAAATGCATCACAAGGGTTTTACAAAGAGAAGCCAACAGAGCCCAGTTGGCAGTATGCCCACCTCCATGAAAGAGAGGGGAAAAGAAAGGGAATTTCTGTGATGGGAGGTGGACAGAATGCCAATAAACTCTGTAAGAAGCCCTTTGCTAAACCCCCATGAAAGCACAAAAACGGTCCTTGTGGATAGACACGCAAAACACGCACACGCGGAGGGAGAGAGAGAGTGTGTTTAATGACGATAGAGAAGCAGAAGATTGGAGTACAGGCAGATGGGTTCTCCTATTAAAGATGCAATGAAGGAAGAACAGTAAATAAAGGGAGAGAGGGGAGGGGGAGGCCTGGTGTAATTAAATAAAAGAGAGAGAAGAAGAGACGGTTTCAGACTCCAAAAGACTGATAAATATAATCAGATTGGATGGTTCATTCCTCTATAGGGAGGGCATATTTAGAAGGATCAAAGGTTCATCATCATGGTTATGCTTCTCTTCCCTCGATTCTGGTGAAAAAACCCACCTCTCCCTTCAGTCTTTTCTTGCGTTCCCTCATCTCACCCTCCACTAGCCCCCACCCTTCTCCACCCCTCGTTTCTGATGAAACTCACCACGATACTACACCAACTCTCTCTCTCCCTCTCTCTGAAACTGAAAGAAAAAAGGGTTTGGCTTAAGTAAGGGGCTTATTGGTCTTAGACTCATTATCTGACCAAATAATGACAAAACTATAGCAAATATGGCAGCTTTGTTTGTGGGAAAACATGGGCTTTGCTACAACTTTATGATCCCAACCGTTTCATCTTTTAGAAGGCGGATAGGGGTCTGGCCATCTGTCAGCACCCATTTAGACCCTGGAGGGGCTGAGCAGGCAAGTTTTTTTACCCATGGGAGATTGAACTGAACTAACTGAAGGCACGGAGAGAGAACGGTTTTAAGCACACGTCAAAAGTTACAGCAACTAAAACCTCCATATATAGTTGTATTCACCCTATTGCCGATATGTGGATAAGCCACGGACAAATTTGAAGAAATACGGCATGTCGACCCGAACATAACTATGAAAGAACAATTCTAATTTCGGGCATTCTTTCAGTAAAAAGAAAAAAAATGTGATCTATGAAAGAACGATTGCAAACTGTGACAATTTATGGCTGCTGAGAAACCATATTCAAGAGTCAAGACAGATTCTAACAGCCATGGTATGAGAAAAAAATGAAAGTGACACTGAGTAAATCTTAGAAACTACTGATTAACAAAGATAGCACGCTCTAAATGTATTGGCAAATCTTCCACCATCAATTGGAAATTGAGTCCTAAGTGAATTGCCCCTCTCGATCTGCTTTTCATTTATGAGAAAAATGACACCTAGAAAACCATGAGATGAGCAATAAGTGCTTTTGTTTTAATTAAAGGAGGACGGAAATTGAATAGTAGCAGTAACTCAATTCTTTAGCTAGCTTAAGCCTAGCTACTGATCATCACCCGAAACTCTCAAGTCTCTTCTTCATTAAGTATTTATGGACTTTGTTTCCTCTTGAAGCATATTTGATTGGATGGTATCGTTATAGCTAATCCAATAACTCAACACCAGTGCACCATCATTCACCAAATTTCCTGGAATGGACCCTTGGTGTTCATTATACCATTCTGCTTGTTCCTGTCTTATTTGGTTTGTAAAACAAAATATCTGACGACTGCAATGTTTTCACAACATTGATGAGAGGCAAATTATATATCCAGCAAAGCAAAGGAGTGTGATGGAAAGGAGCCAACTCCCAAGTTTTCCAAATCAATGGTCCTACAATTACAGCACTAAGTGTGGAATCCTAGGTACTCTCCCCGCTCCCTGTAGAAAAAGCTTCAAAGTTGAAACCCAAATTCCTTTTTGACTCTCAGGCTGTCAAACATGTTTAAAAAATGAGATTAAAAGGTAAACCATGGATAGGTCAATCTTCTACCATATTATAACATGACTTGCTTTTTCTCGTCTGCAGCTGCTTTCCAATTGATTGAACTACACAGCCATTCCATCTTAGAAATAAACAAAAAGGATAGAAAGAAAACCCAGAAAAACACATATGCCACTTGGCCTAGGCAAATAAAGAAATAATATCTCTAAAAATCTTCCCTTTTGTCGACTGATACGTCGCACTCATCACTCCCACAACCTCCGCTCCTTAAACCTTGTGTTGTGACCATGGGATTTTTCTTTCTTTCTCCATGTGCAAGTTTGTGTTTGCCTTTTCTCTGATTAGTATAACTTTTATGTTTACTAGTAGCATTAAACAAAGGAAACTCACCGGCTCCGGCTGTTCCCAGCATTAATATTTAAAGCAGAGAACAAACTCCCACACATACTTATTACATGTACATAAGCGTATTATGACACCAGCACACACACACACAGAGCCACCATTTATTGCTTTATATCCACCCCCAACCATATCCAATTAATTTTATTACAATTAAAATTTCAAAATACAAAAGAAAATCACATATCAGGCCAGATCCCCTCGGAGAAGATTGCAGACTGATATTGACTTTGTTCCCTCAACGTCCCAGTAGCCTCTCGAGGTACATACCCAGTTGTCATACTGAGCTACTGTCAGAGCCATGATTGAATCATTGGACAATGAAAAATTTAAGATTATTCTTTTGCTAAAATCTAGTACTGCTCCTACCATTTCTAGTAGCAATTTAACAACTGTGTAAGTAAGTAACACTGAACTGTTATTTGTATACATCAAACCTTACTTACCTGATTAGAGTTCTATGAATATTTGTTCTTTAACTTTGCCAACTCAACACAAAATGTAATAACTTGGAGGTAGATGGTGGGTAAAGCTCACATCAACAGATCAGTTTGGTGTGAGGTTCAATGGCAGATGCAATGCCATTGACTTCTGTCAACAAATATTTAATTACCACAGTATACCCAACTTTGTCGGTAGCTGTAATTAAATGGAACCATACCCAACTTTGTCGTATGGCAAAACGGTGACCAAACTAAACTGTAGTGTAATTCTCACTAAGGCAAAAATTAATGACATTAAATGATTGTGTTACCAATGCATTCTCAATTGAATGTTATGCATGTCGATTTCATTTCAAAGCATGCTGAGATCATGGCTTTGGTGCCACCATGATTACTAGATGCGGGGGAGTAGTGGACGAGGCTGAATCCATCAAAGGATTGGCGTAACCAAGTGTGTGAATGACAACTCGGGTAGCATATGGCTTGGTGCCGTGGATCGCACTAGTGGACTAGAGTGCCCGGAGGCTGTGCTTCAGGAAAATGTGCAGCGGATGAGTAACAAGGGTGGATTGGCTTGACGAAGTGCATTGTCGTGCTTGGTTGATCTAAAGTATACAAGGGAACTACTCTCAAACTGGTGTGATATATTATATGATAAATCCGCCAGATTCTAATCGGATAAGCAGCAATGAACAGCATGGCATGTATGCGGATGAAATCGGAACCGGGTCCCATCAAAAAGTTGTAAAGAAATACTTGACGTTTTAAGGGAAAAGATTGGAATTCTTGCCCATTTCCTCTTTTAATAAACAAATTCAACTTAGTACTCATATCATGGCTAAGTTATAGGTTCTTTAATTTCCCATAAGGTAGGATGATGCATAGAACCTGTCACTCAAACACCAATGTACAAAACCATATGCAAAAGGCAATGAGAAAACTGGTTATCACATCACAAAATTTTGACGTTGGCAGCAGAAAAATAACTTTCCATCCCTTTAGTTTAAGACCTGAATCCAAGCTGTGCTAAAAAAAAAAAAGTTCATGCCCTTTGTTCCCTGCGCTCTGTGCAATTTCAAGTGTCAACTTTTATCTTCCTATACACTTTTGTTTTCCTTTTCGGAAAAGCTTTAATTTATGCTGTGGTGCGATTGTGGGGACAATGGTTACTGTTCTGCAAATTAGTGGGTGCCCAAAGGTACTTAAGAGCAATACAAAGAAAAGGGGGCCATCAAAGCATCTAATTATTTCTTAGAATTTCCATATCAGGCTGCTGTCTGAAGATCAAATTGAGTCGCATAAACTTTTGTCTATAGGCTTAGGTTTCAACGAAGAGGACCTACTGGTTGAAATGGTGATTTGGTTGACTAGCTGTTTAAATTTTTTATAATTAAAGAAATGAGGAGGCAGGGCAGCAAGAGCATCGGCTACAGGGTGGGGGGGAAAGGGTAGACTTTGGTTTTATCCCACAGCTCGATGCATGGAAATCCACCCTTTTTCATGATTGTGAAGCCATTGTTGGGCTTCGAGTGGATACGCTCTCACAGTCTCACGTAATGCTTTAAAAAGTTTCTGTGAATATAATTTCATTCTGTCTACTTTATACTGCCAAAAAAAAAAATGGCATTCCAACCGTACCTGGTGGTGCTGCTCAGGCTATCAGAATCACTGCCAATATTTCTTTGGACTTTGGTCTTTCCTCTTTTTCCTTTTGAAAAATTTTGCCTGCGAAACCATGCATTACCCTTTTGTAAACAAAATCTTGATTTTTATGGTTTATTCACGTATTAAATCAAAAATAAAAGCATCTTTTATCTTTGAGGAAGATATTTGACCTCAAAGTCATGATAATGAGTAATATGTTGGGAAAACGAATGGCAAAACCGTTCTAATTTGAACTAATAAAACTGTCCCATGGTAAAAGAAAGATAGAAATTAACTAATAAAACTGCCTCTAGTAATTTGTTGCAAGTTGTAGTAATCCTAAATGTTGAAAAAGCCAGCGGGAATGTCAACCCACAAAGGATCAGATAAGGATATTTAATTGCTAACAACTCCATGAGCGTACGAGTTGTAGCCATGCATCCATGATTATGGCTCTAGCAAAGCTAAGCTCCTCCTTTCACTTTTGATGCATGCGGACGACCTCTCAATTCTCATGCAATTATGATACGTTCTCGTGCACCATCACCCATTAAGTTTTTATTTTTACTTTCTGCTATACTAATTAGTTTTCCTTCAGGAGTTCATGCTGATTCCTACCAGGGACTTATACATGAAATACTACCGAGGAGAAAAGATTAACATTTTCATGTTGGGACTTTCTTTTGTAAGTTTTTGGGTAATTGACTGATTGTTAGGAACTTAAAATCATTGGCCTGCTGTTGCTGTACTTTTTTTATTTTGCTTTATAATGGTAAGTCACGATAATCTTTACAGTACATACATGTATAGGCAACGTTAGTCCAGAATCAGTGAATCCTGATGAATTCCTACATATGATAATCTCACGGTGACATGCTGCTTTCTGACACAGTATGAAGTGTAGAAGGTTTATCCAGAAAAGGGGTGGGTGAGTTTTGAAAGGAAACGTTGGATAAAGCTAAAGAAGGTGATGATTGAGGTTGGAATAGGCAGAAGAAAGGGGTGATTGAAAATCGAAAACAGGGTTTCTCTCTCTCTCTCTTTTTTCTTTTTTTCTAATTTTTCAATGAATGACAGATTTTGACGCAGTGCATGTCAGGTGAGAGAGAGTGAAAGGGAGGGCAGCGATTTGTTGTTCTGGGCGTTAGGCAACCCCATAAAATATGTCATGTTGTTTGGTCGTGCTCGAGAGGGAAGAGACGTGGTGGGGAAGGAGTTTTTATTTAGTTTCAAAACATGAAATGATGATGCCGATGACGATGGTTATGATTGTGATAGAAGTGAGTCTCTTTCCAGCTCTACTACCATGTGACACTCTCTCTCTCTCTCCCCCCTATCTCGCACTCACACTGCTTACATAACTAAGCTGCCAGTTCCTTCCCTGGTAGGTTGGTCAAAAGACTCGAAACAATCTGTCAAACTCTGCAGATACTTGTCATACAAGATTTCTCCATTATTTTTAATCTAGGCTTCGCTACTTGTTGTTGAAGGCTTGGAGCCCATCCACAAGGATGCACACATCACAGCCCAAAGCCTGGATTTTCCCCATCATCTATGCCATGTTGAGTCTTAATCCACTTGATGGAAAATCAAAAACTTGAATACAGATTATGAGTATAAAGCATCGAACTTAGCTTATCTAATCCTTTCAGCTTCTTCTTAACTTTGATATGTCAAACTTGGTGCATCAAATTTGTCAGACATAATACAATCTCACTGTGTGACATTCCATGGGACCTAACCTCTCTTTTACAAGAATTTATGATTACTTGCATGTCTCGTTCTGTTACCAATTCTTTGTTACTGTAATGACGTTGAAAACTTGTCTGCAGCTCCTTTACGTGTTTCAGGTTAACTTGCAGTCAGCCCCCATTCAAAAAGATAAAAAGCAGTTCCCAATCAACTTGATAGAGATTTTGCTGCATAATCATTACTCACTAGCATTTTCCATTTTGTCTGCGTTTTCTGTTCTCCTTGCTTGTTGATAATCAATGTCTGTTGCTTTCAACCGGTTGAATTTTGTAGAATCAAGCTCCTTCCTGCCGCTAGTCTGGCAATTACTCTTATAATTAGGTTCTTTCAGCTGATAAAAGGACCCAAAGGAAGAATAGAAGGGTACAAAGAAAAAATGGTTTTCAAGTTTTAAATAGCATTGATGACAAAATGTTAGACCAAAGACGCTATCTATTAATATTATTGATAGTAAATGCAGTTAATCTCAAGACATACAAAGCATCACCAATGGTTTCCAATGCAAATTTGGAGACGGGATGCTTTATTTATGCGATATAAATACTAGCCATCATGCCAGTGGTTGTGCACCCATTCCCCGGTAAAAGGGGAGTAAAAATGAATAGAAAGGAGGTCTACAAGAATCATTGCTTTTGCCATACTGCATATCTTTGTCCGCAGGTTGCTAGGGTCCATTCTCTCCCAGTTGGGCACCATGAGCCATCCCCAATCTTCATGCATACTTTTTCTCCAATAATTGCAGAATAGAGGTTGTTCTGGGCCTCCAGTATTCTGACAGATGACCGGCTGTGAATATCTTGACTCCTTCGAACATCCATCTGCATACAAAATTTAGAAGCATTCAACGGAAAATATTTGCTTGGAAAACCGAACTAATACATGGAAATGGCTGTGAAGCATACCAATTTGACAATTTGTTCGTGGATGGAATTACCCCAATCATAAAAGTGATCATAAAAAACAGTGGGTATTCCTGGATGTGTGAGTATGTATGCGTAACCCTGTAGGAAAACATGAAGCCATAACTGAATAAAACAAATACCCAGATCAATAATCACAAACAGCTTTGTTTATGAAGAATGAGACTTAAAACATTAATTGTGATGATAAAATCAACACTTTTATAAAACATTGAAAAAGGTTAATAAAAAAAAGGGTGCCGCCCTAAGTCTTATAACTTGCGTTTATAACAGAAAACAAAATCCACAGGAAATTGCGATGCTAGTCATCTTGGGCTGTTGAGTATATGCAAGAAACAGCATCTCATACCTCCATAATATGATTTGAGGGGAAAGGCCAATGAGCCTGCAAGAATAAAACAACTAGCATGGTGAGTAGATTCCAGATTGACAGATACGTCTTACTGCAAATGTTCAGCAGAATGAATCCCTTACCACTCCTTGGAGCAAACCTGTACCCTTTCTACTTTAAGCGCAGGCTAATTAATTGTTGACTAGATGGGCATTTCTACTCTTTAATACTTACGATTTCTCAGAATTGCCAATCTACTTAAGCAAAAGCATATTAGGAGTATATACATGTTTTTTTTTACTAGATGTTTAAATTGTAAGGACATCATTTCATGTCAGTGAAAATAGACCACAATACAGCCCAGCCAACTCAAAAAGTGTCAGTATTCTTCAGCTGCATGTCATAAGCAAAAATTATGTGCACCCATGCTACCCTCAGAACCATTTAAGTTGCAAATGAAATATATCAAGAAACTTCTAGTACCTGAGTTGAGCCTGTATCATGGTTATCGATAAATGTGACAGCCCTTGAGGGCCACCACCCCATTACACCAGGTGGCTTCCCTTGAGGGTCACGCAGGCGCCAAAACTGCCCCTTCACAGCTTCCTGCAAAGTTACAATTAAGTGAATATCAAAAAAAATTGAAAGACATAAAAATCTGATTTCATCTGGAATTGAAGTAACCTTACATAGCGGCAGGTCTTAATCAGGGGGAAGACAGTGAAGCAAGTATATGAATAAAGATGAAAGAGATTTTTTTTTTTTATGAAGACATTGGCATTATCATTATCAGTAGAATATGGTGTCACATTAGACGAAAACGCCAGTCCTGTTCTCTTTGTAAACAGTAGTATACTTTTTGGACCATACCTGAAGAATCCCCTTTGTTGTGAAGTCAAATGCAGTTGAAAGCTGTCCAGTGGCATCAATCCAATTAATGATCCTTTGTCGATGGCTATCTGCAGTAGAGATTGTGAATATAATGAAATGCCTCCGAAAATCATATTTAACCAGTCAACTATAAACATATCAATAGCTTTATTGATGAAAATGAATTAAGAATTTTTTTATGAATGATCTCAAATATGAAAAACAGATCAAGCCCGTTACCTTGGTTGTAGTCTAATCCATATCCATTGTAGTTGCAAGAATCCCAATACTCCCCAACAGAAAAAATAGGCTTTGCTCCTTCAATGTATTCTTTGACATATTTTGCTGAGTAACTGAAGCAAAACGTTATATAGCAATATAAACACCACGATAGAAAGCAGATCATTTTGAGACAACAGTAACCTATGAGTACAGTATGGTCATTACCCCCTTGCAAAATCAAAGCGAAAATCTCGAAAGCCAACACTGCGTAGCCAATGCAGCCATCCTATGATATCCTTCCGAACAAAATGTTGGCTGTGATCAATATTTGGAACCCCATGGAAGTTGTCTCCAGTGCTTCTATTACCCTGAGACATAAATTTGAAGTCAGAAGATATCTTAAATTACAGTATATATCCACAATCACATCAGGAAATATCATTTAGGGCCAAGTAACATAAAGCATCACAGAGGGGTGCAAATATATTGACTATTATACCAATCCACCAGTACAAGATGTGACAGCACGCTCATCCCATGCTAGTGGAATTCCATCATAACGGTTATACATTCCCCCATGACCTTGAGTAGTCCCAATACGATGATTGATTACTATGTCAGCCATCGCTCTAACTTTGTACTGCTTGAGTTTTTGGAGTAAAACTTTCAACAGCTGCTCAGAGCCATATGAAGAATTGAGTAAATAAAGGTTTTGGGGAAGGTACCCTACAATAAAACATGAGGAAAACAGATACATAAATATAAATCCTGGTGAAGCATGTGTAGAATTGATAAGAAACTAGACTGTGGCTTGAAAAATTTTACTGTCTGACCTTCTGGTGAAAAAGAGTTACTTGCTGGTGGCAACCATACAGATGTAAACCCAGATTTTGCGATGTCAGGAACTTTCTTTTCTAAGTTTCTCCACCAGTCATATTTGTGAGACTCCCAGTTAAAACCCTGTTGAACAAATTAAACAATTTTAAAGTTCTTCCTCAGCTTCAGCAGTCAAACGTTTGTTGTGAAGAATTTAATGCAACTATTTCCGTATACTTTATATTAACTTGGTGATTTCAAAACAGAGACAACCACTTTTGAACGAGTAAAGAGATCAGTCCAGTTGTATAGAGTATATCTTATATATTATAAATTTATAAATCAACACATACAAAACCATAAAGCATTTATGAACTCAACAAAGTCTCCAAGTTCCTGTAAAAGAGAATGATCAACATTGTCTAATTTACCTGCAAAAGGATTTCCCTTCCATTGCGCAACACAGCACCTGAAATTAAATCCAAAAGTATACTTTAGAAGCAATTTTCTCTTGCACTTTTCGCAGATCATTAACTCTAACAAACCAAAAAAGGATTATCATTGAACATATTCAGCTTATTGTTAGATTTTCTTTCTTGGACTTTCTCACAGATTGCCATACTGAAGTATGCCATTTCAAAAACGAAATTTTCGCACAATTGAAGTACAAAATAAATGAACAAGAAATAAAGAAACCTAAACAGTATCAGCTCTGAGGTTCCATTGAAAAAACATTCATATCCAGCAAGTCCAAAATCCCCATTATTATTTCAGGGCCAAGAGTAAACAACAAAATACAAAGTGAGAAAACAACATATACGGAAAGGAAAAGCATGAGCATACCTGGATCAGTGCTTTCTTCAACAGTCTGCATTTCAACAAAAGGTGACATCAGAGAAATAGTATACACGCATACACAAAAGAATGCAAAAAACTATCGTAGAAAAGAAGAAGAGCAAGAGAATTACGTTGTTGAAGTTACCCATACTCAAATTTGACGCTGGATCGTGGAAAATGGAGCACAGAGATACCCTGCATTCGCAAACAACTCACAAGTTTATAACTTCCATCCTGCTTATAAAACATAAACGCAAGAACAAGACTCTGTTTGATTGCCAAATGAGAACGAAAGAGTAGAGTAGCCAAGAAATCTGTTTAGAAAAATAGTTTTTGTTTCGCAATGATCGTCGAGAAAACTAATTCGTTACCCGCGAAAGGCAGAACAAATCACTTGACGAGTAACAAACTTTCAAATTTGAAAATTAACGCGGCAACATTGAATCAAGAAACGATATTTTGGAAAAAAAAAAAAAGAGAGAGAGGAAATGAACGAGCAACAAATACCAAGGAAAACTGAGGTTGCGATCGCAGCGTGGATTGGTTCTGGCGTTCTCGGCCTATAAATAGAGGGAAGAAGAACAAAAGAAGAAAGAAGGAAAACCTGGACAAAGACCCGCGAATTGGAATCACGGAGTTGCAGCCATGAGATAAAGAAGGGGAAAAGGAGGGAATATTGAAATCCGCCTCCCACGACCACCGATACCGTATTTGGCAGAAAGGAAAAGGCGGTGGCGGAATCTGCTTTTGCAATGGGAGAGAATTTATTCATATTTCAACGGTAAATAGCCGCAGCTCGAATCGCTGAGTCGGATCGTTTTCGATTGTGATGTGACACTTAGGGAAGGAGGGTTTAGGAATCGCGCGAGTTTGAAAATGTTTTGGATGGCTGAGATTTTCGGAATACGCCCGAGGAGAAAGAACGGTTAACGGTTAGGATCGCAAAGAGCCTTTAATTTCAGAGGGAAAGCTTAAGCGTTAAGTTGAGTCAGCGAAGCGACGGTGTCGTAATACTAAACCAGACTATTAATTGGTTTTAATAGAATAAATTAATTAAAATTTCGATTAATTTGATTCAGTTTGTTTAATTACGGTTTAATTACGGTTTTAATGGATTACTCATTTAATTTATGACCTTTGGAGCAAAATTGGGTTGGTTTACATTAAAAGGGGCTTCCAGCAGGCTACATGGGTCGGGTCCATAGCTAGGCTGGGCAATTGTTTGGCAATAAAGTTATTAATCGGGCCTTATGGGCCTACTCCTAAGGCGCATTGATATTTGTTATTTTAAAAAATAATTTTGACATAATATTTTAAAAATTAGTATAATACTCGAAAAATGTTTGAATTGTTTAAGATAATTCAAATAAATCTATATTCTTTTATTTCATTCAATCAAATTTTTATGTTTTTATTTTAAGTTAAAAAAATATAATTAATAATTAACTAATTATAATTGATTAAAATATTATTTATCATTTTATTTTTATGTGGTATTAATATGATACCAACTTAAAGAGTGAAAATAGCCATCATATCACATCATCATACGTCAATACCACTTGATATAATATAACAAATGATATTTTGAGTAAGTTACTCATCAGTTATTAAGTAAGTTAATCATTAATCATAAAAACTCATTTGCTTCGAAATAAAAGTATGAAACTTTGAATGAATATAATAAAAGAATAAAGATTTTATTTGAATTTTTTAAAATAATTTAAGATTTTTTATATATTATACTTGTTGTTACATTTAATCAAAACTTATTTTTATTTTAGACAAAATAAGTTTTAATAATTAATAATTGGTAAACTAACATTATTCAACACAACATTTGTCATTTTATATCCATATAGGACTAATATGACACTGACATAAATAGCAAAAATATCATATCATCATCTCATCATACCGCATTGTCATTTATTATAATATATCAATATGTTACATAAATGATATCGAATAAAGAATGATATTTTAATTAATAACAATTAATCATCTACTAATAGTAACGTCTCAAAAAAAATCATTATTAATAGTAAAAATTTATTTAAAAAAGTATAAAAATATAAAATTATGATTGAATGGAATAAACAATAATAATTTATATGAATTTTTTTAATAGGTTAAAAGTTTTTCAAATATTATATATTAAAAAATTTAGACATTTATTTTATATTTTTCCTCTAATAAATTTGGTTAACTTTGTACAAGTAATTAAAAAATTTAAATGAGAGAAATTATTCAATAAATAATAATGACGTCTTTTGAAAATCTAAATTAGAAACTCTTTCCATGTCACCATTATCATTATCTTCATTTGACATTTCTTCTCTTAAAAAAAACACACATTGTTCAATTTAAGTCAAATAAATTTATCTTGATCACCTAATAATTTTGATCTTTTTTACGCATTTTATTTATATAAATATTTTAAAAATAATATTCGAAATGAAAATGTCTATTTTTTATTACAAAAGGATTAGTAGATCATAAATATTTGAAACTCATATAAAATGTCAAGATATGCCCAAAAACGAGGTCGTTTAATTAGACCAGACAAGGTGCCACGTGACACTCAAGCAAGAGCTGTAAGATACTTCATGTTTGTCAGTTCCGTGAATCTCACGGCTCCCAGCCTTCATCCGCTGATCAAATATCCAAAGCAGAAATCTTGTCTCCGGCGAAACAGATTTATTAAAAGGAAGAAGAAAGAAACAATTTCTGGTAGAAAATCCCCCAATTCGCGAGAAAATTTCACGCTTCGATAAATACTATCAGATGGGCGTTGACTGGACCGAACTCCCGCCAGAACTCCTACAATCCATCTCGGAAAACCTAAAAATCTACGCGATTACATCAGTTTCCGAGCCGTGTGCCACAGCTGGCGATCCTCAATCCCTAAAATCCCTTTCCACCTCCCTCCTCAGCTCCCCTGGCTCATGCTCCCTCCTTCCCAATCTCACCAACCTTACCGCGCCTTCCACGATCTTTCTACCAACAGACTCCGATTCCTCTCCCTCCCCGAATCTTCCAACCCAAACAAGCGGCACTGCGGCTCTTCCCACGGCTGGCTCATTATCCTAGACGAATCCCCTACTATTCTCCTCTTGAACCCTCTCTCCCGAGCCAAACTCCACCTCCCTCCTCTCTCCACCTTCCCGAACGTCGACAGCTTTAACTACTCCGACATCGGAAAGGAGTATTCCCTCCGCTCCCCTTTCGGAGGCCGTTACACCCGCAATTTGCGGCAAATGCGAGACTCCTTCATTAAAAAAATCGTGCTCTCCGCCAATCCTTCCAAGGACCCTTGTTTCGTGGCAATAGCGATTCTTAATCAAACCGGTGAGTTAGCTTATTGCAAAAACGGCGACAAATCTTGGCGCTTTATCGAAGGTGCGCATTCCTATTCCGAGGATGTTATATATTGTAGAGGTTTGTGTTTCGCTGTTGATAAACACGGAGGAATTGTAATCTGTGATGTTCGCAATGATTTGCCTAGAGTTTCATTTATCGAAACGCCGAGACAGTTAGGCGGTGATATGCAATATTTGGTTTACTCTGGAGATGAATTGTTACTCGTTACGCGTCATCTTGATCTTGAATTCGATTTCGAGCCTGATCCGTCGCATTTGGTCTTCAGGACTAAGCGGTTCGAGGTTTCTAGGCTAATTTGGAATGGACCGTATTGGGAGAGAGTGAATAGTTTAAAAGATAAGATGGTGTTTGTAGGTGAAAATTCTTCATTATCTTTGTCAGCTTCTGATTTCACAGGTTGTATGGGGAATTGCGTGTATTATACGGATGATTACTCGGAAACTAACTATGATGGTGCTTTTGGGGAACATGATATTGGTATTTACAATTTATGGGATGGGAGCATTGAGCCATTGCCTTGTTATCCACGGAATTCTTTCTTCAGATTGGGTTGGCCAACACCACTTTGGGTTACACCTAGTCCATACTAATATGGACCATGAATGTAAGTATCTTCCTTTGATTTGCTACTGGTTACATGTAAAAATATGTATATAATCAGTATCTTTGGTATATATGATGTTGTATGAAAATTGTGTCTTCTGTATATGCTGCTTCATCTTTGTGCTTGAGATGTTTTATATATGTATGAATCTCAGCAAACACTTGCTCTGGTGAGACGTTATAGTTTGTAATGATATTGTAATTTATTTGAAATCGTTGGTGTCTTCTGTTGAATGTTCTATGTCTGTATATGCAGCTCCATCTTTGTGTTTAAGATGTTTGTATAGGTATGAATCTCAGCAAACACTTGCTCTGGTGAGACCATATAGTTTGTAATGATATTGTAATGTATCTGAAATCGATTTCTTTGATAATATTCAAGAACTATAATGTTTATTAATGTAGAAATGGTTGTAATAATAATGTTTTCGATAGGATGTGAATGGTTCTTGATGCTGTAAAAAGAAATTGTAATAGGTGATAGGATGAATATAAAAACCTTAATGTGAAACTAATTTGATTAAAAAATTGGTTGTCTTTGTTACGACTATAGCGTCTGACAATAGTTAATATGGGGATGGTTGGTTGTGGAAAATGAATTGTTAAGGCCAGACATGGAATGCCAGACCTTAAAAGTTTACTCAGTTTGAATTGAGATTCTGCAGGCAAGTCCTGAAACTGTAACTGCAACTTAGTTATGGGTAGAGGCCTAGAGGAGGAATGCTGTAGGCGCTGACAGTTTTCTATTGGCAATTTAGAATAGAGGATGCTGCAGTCACAAGTTCCAACCTCTTAGCTCTTTCTGGTTTTTGAAAGACACTCTCCATATCCCTACAATTGGAGGCCTTTATGCGAAACAGTGCGTCACGCGGATTAGGCATATGCAACTCTTATCCATTTGAGAGGTGGTTTCCACAGGGACAGTATAGGCAACTCTTATCCATTTGAAGCTCATCTTGAGGTCATTGGATATAATAGATACAGAAAAATACTATGAATAGGGAATGAGAGAATTTTAAGTGTCTGTCAGCAAGGATAGACTTGGAGGAGGGAATGTACTAAAATAAAAAAAGAAAAGCATGTCTAGGGGAGAGCTTATGGTTATGTGCCAGCCTCGGGTTCTTTAACTTTTCCGAACTCATTCGGAGATTGGAGTGTGGTTTGTGGTCTTCCTCTAAGGTTGTGAAGTAACAATATCTAGCAGTTTTGTACTTTCAAATCTTTCTTGTAGAAATGGCTGCGGGACTAATGACAGCAGGACAGGATTTGCAAATTGTCATGCCCTTTGCGGCTTTTCTGGGTGGGACATGTCTGTCTACTGTAACTCCGATACTCCAAACAGGGCCAGGCTAGGGACACTATCTTCTGGTTTTGGAGTATAAAAGCCAAGTTAAGCCCCATAAATTGACTGACATTCTTCCTGAATTGTTTAGCATTGCTAAAAATGAAGGCCCACCTGCCCCGATGACAATGTTGGAAGGAATATATCCACGAGGGGCACTTTCCAATGAACTCTCTTCACGCTTAATCCTTTCAAATGAAAAATTAAATGGGAAATTTGGTTTGATACCATCCTTGCCCGTTAGCTCTTGCAGGACTTCCAACAACGAGGATGGACGAAATATCAGCACGACCAGCCATATAAGGCAGTAGAACGCGATGCATCATGCTAGGTTTCTGATTTGGAGATTTTTTAAGTGCCGACTCCTCGAAATTGTGCTTTATGTGATTGTATGACATGATTCTTTTGCTGAATTGCTCAATATAAAAAGGGCGTCAACCTGTCGTATTGGGTTCAAGTGAAATAGGAACAGCTTTTTTCTTTCTTTTTTGTTTATCCCTTACAACTCTTTTCATTTTTACAGTGTGCTCTATCCATGTTTACGCTCTTTTTTCCCTCTTTATCTTTCTGGGTTCTTGGGCTGGGATCAATTTGCTATAGAGGCATAAAGCAAACTCTCAGTGACCCACGAATACATTTTGGTTTCTCTCACACCCACGGAAGGATGCATTTCAACCTTTCCCTTTGTACAATATGAACAAAACTCCTAAACAACCCTCCATCGAAAGCAAAATGAGTAATGAAATTTGATCTCATAACTCAATCCTCACAAATAGAAAAGCAAGGCCCCAAACTCCACTACAATCTACGATCTACAGTTGCATTTCCATTTCCTAACACCCTCCAAGCTTAAGCAATGCACCTCATGGAGTACATGGAGATTGGGTCCACAGGGACGGAGGTCGTAGAGTAAATTCTAGGGTGGTCGCTCTCCAATCCATAGTCCATCGCCGGACGGTACTCCAGCTCCTCGTCATGATCATGCACAAACTCTGGTATTTCCATCTCCATCCTCCTCACATGATCCCACAGAAACTCCAGCCTGCTCACGTATTTAAGCTTCGCGTACAACCTGCGCGAACCCACAGTAATACCCAATCATCCATTGTCCTGCCCATCCCTCAAATAAAAAAGAAAACTTCAACTCAAAAGTGGCGGTGCATAAGCATTAAAGAAAAAAGAAAAAAAAACAAAAGCACCATCGGCGTGATTATCGTTTGTCCTTTATCATCATTTATCAATGGCCAAAATGGGCCACAGAGCGATGTGGCTTTCTTTCCTTTTTATTTTTCCTTTATTTGATTTTAATAATCAAAAGAGATTATCCTTACCCTCCGTTGAAAAACAGACGGCCAAGGGTGGCAAGGAACAGTCTGGCTTGTAAACCAGGATGCAAGAAATAAACAGCGTCGAGATTGTCCTTGATGTCGGTCGGAATAGCATCGTAGATTGATCGAAGGGCTGAGATTCCAGGGAAATTTTCACTCCTTTGAACATCTGTGTGCACATACACCACCGAGAACATCTTCGCCCCCAATTTGGGGTAAACCTTCTCCTCCAAGTACTTCTTCATAACCTCACTGCTAACCATCCGAGCTGTTACCATTAAAAGGCAAAAAAACAAGTCAATTAAATGAAACAAAGGAAGAAACATAATAAAAAAAAAAGAAAAGAAATCCCGGAAACGTACAAAAAATTGAACATGCATGTAACGTTTGTTACCAGGAAAGTGCTTGCCGATGATGAGAAGAACCGGACGGCCACGTTTGTCTCTGCCTTTAACCTTGAAGACATCGAGTTTCTCCAAGAGATGTTCTTGATCTGATTCAGAGAGGGTACAAGAATTCATAGTAGTTCGATTTTCACAGAGGTTGTCTTTTCGTGAACAAGTTCACCGCAGAGAGGTTTTATCCAGTTGGCTGTGTTGTTTGTTTTGAGAGGGAATCTCTAACAAAGAAGGTGATTTTGAATTGCGGGGAAGAAAAGGGGAGGAGGAGGGCAGGTTTATATAGGAAAAGGATGGTGGGGAGTTATCCGCATGGGCTCGAAGCCGAGGATTTGGTTCAGACCGGTATATTCTCAAGCATCTTCCGTTTTGGAGCCAAGTGAGTCTGTCTCAACTCGCTGGAGTATCATTTAAGTCACTGACACGTTTGGGTTCCCCTCGACCTTATCTGGAGTTCCTAAAGTGCTAACATTAACTTTGCTTTGTGACTTAATTGGAGCTTAATTTGTGTGATTAACCTGCTAATCATAAAACACGTAATCAATCACCGGTGCAATTAATTACCTTATTTTGCATTTCTTTGGTTCTGGAAAGTATAACTGATTTTATATTTGATACAATTACTTATTTAATAATTATATTATTATTTAATTATATAATGTTATTTCTTTCATATATAAAAATAAGTTCAGAAAATATTTTTAAATTTATAAATATTTATTTTTAAAAATTCTTGATGTTTCAATTATTTATTAACAAAATAATAATATTTAATTATTGATATTTTATAAAATTTGAAACAAAATCGATAAAATTACCAATTCAAAATAATTAGTGGCAAAGTCTTATCCCAATCATATCTTATCCCTTGATATTCGAGTCTTGTCCCTTGATATTCACCCAATCAATGAAAGTTTATGAGTTGTGAGGTCCAAATGGAAGATTAATAATAATAATTACTAAATAATAAAAAAAAATTCTTATTGCCCAAAAAAAAATTAAAAGAATGCTTGAAGATAATCCAATTGATAAAGAAACTGCATCCAAGGTTTTTGGCTCTAGTGGGTCCAAATAAATAAAGCTCCATACTTTGAATATATGACTATTTCCTTGGCTTCATTCAACCGCTCTTTAGACAAAGATAAAAAATAAAAAACAAAGCTTTTGTTTTATACCATCCGTTTTAAGATATTTATAATTTTTTTAAAAATTTTTATGAAAATTATAATATATTTTATATTAAAATATATCATAAAAAATTATAATATAAAAAAACATTAAATATTTTAAAATTAAAGTTAATACATTAAAGGTTGAGGTAGCCCATGACCAATTATTTGAGGAAGAAAACTGCTGGGACGATGTCGACGTATATTTAAATTAAAAATATTTTAAATTAAAAATAAAATATTTTAATTTTTTAAAGTTTTGATTACAAATTTAAATAATTTATTAATTTTTAAAATAAATATTTTACTTTAAAATATAAATATTATTAATAGAAATTAAATAATATTAAAATATATTTTTTATTAATTTAAAAAAATTAAAAAAAAAGACATCCATAGGTTCTCTAAAAAGGATGGGTGTTCCTTTTAGGAAGCTCTATGTTCCCTTAGAAAGCACTAGATCTGATGCTCTTTTGGGAGTCTCGAACCCCTTAAGAGAGCATTAATTTTGGAGGGATTTTATTTTAATTAATATAAAATAATAAAATGATCTAATAATTATTTTTAAAATTAATAAAAAATAAATTATTTTTTATTTTTATCATATAAATAAATTAATAAAAAATTAACAATTGAATATACATATTAAATAAAAATATTTTTAAAAAATAATATATATTTTAAAAATTAATTAAATTTTATAAAATTTTAATTAAAATATAAATATATTTTACTGTTAAGAACTTGTTTGGTTTAGTTTTTTTAAACTTAAAAGCTATTATAAAGTTCTTATAAAAAATAATAATTTTTAAAATTAAATTAAAATTATTTGATAAATTTTTTTTATAAATTATAATTTTGATTAAATTATTGTAAAATGTATTTTTTTAAAAAAATTATATTATAATTATCTTTAATAGATAAATATATTTTTGAAACACAAATAAATTTTTTTTTATTTTTTTTATTCTTAAAAAAAACTTCTCATAAAAACTTTTCTTAAAGTTCTTTTTTTAAAAATATTATTTTTTAAATTTTTTTAATTTAATTTTTATTTTTTAAAAATAAATAAATTAAAAAAATTTAAATCAAACAAGCACTAAATCAGTAAAGCTTCAAAGCTGATCCGGAAATCAGATGATAAGAAATTTCGATCAGTCGAAAGTTAGTGGACCGGATGGAAACAGAGGCCTATCAGATTACTGTTTGAAGTGGGGCAATGCTTCTGGAAGTTACGTCCAAGTGGCGGTGGAATCAAGAGAAGGATACGCCTTGGCCCACAATTTAATAATAATAATAATGTGCCACAATATATTTAACGCGTGATGGTTGTTGCAAAAATGCTAGTAGTGGTCTAGTATTTGTGAAGAAACGGTTGCCAAATGGCGTCAAATAACAAGTGTGTGATGGAGACGCATTCCGACAAATTATTCCGCATTTCTTCTCATTTAAACTGTTATATTTAATCTGATAAAAATTACTTTTCTATTCTTCAATATTTATCTCTTTTTAATTTTCATGAAAGTTAAATTTCTTTGATATTTTATATTAAAATTTGAACAAAAAAATTATAATATATATATTCTATGTTTTTTAAGATATGAAAACATAAAAAAAAACCATGAAAATTAAATTTATAATGTTAAAAAATTGAGTGCTTAAAAATAAAGAAGTATTTTTAAACATTCAAAAATAATAATATGGGACAAAAGGAGTAATACAGTTATATGATTTTTTTAAAAATCAAATTGGGGTCCAATTTCTTGTGTCAATCATAGCTCATAAGAAACGTGTAAAGCTTTTGTTGCTTCAATCACTGGAGAGAGAAAAAGCTTGTAAATTATTTTTTTTTCTCTTTCTCTTTTTCTTTTTCTTTTTGATGCTAGTTATAATCAGGATGGAGACAGTTTCTCAACTCAAATTCTTAAGGTTTATCATTTTCATGATGCAAAAATCAAAATCTCATCCAAGTAATGAACCTTCTAAACTAGATCTTTTTCTTTACCATCGAGATTCTCTATTGAACGAAATAAAAAATAAATATTATGTAAATATTCGATTTTGACTATTTTTAAATACTATATAATTTTCTTAACAATGATTATATTGGTACATGTTTGTCAATGAAAGCGACCAAAATGAATAGAATAATAAAAGATTTATATGAATCCATTTTTATTAGTGTATTTTTGTTTAAGTATCAATTAACAAGACTCACCCTAGGGATAAACCACAGGCAATCACTAAAACCATGAGCTGGATAAACGTCCATGCTACCAGATACGAGCCAAATTTTTTTGTCAAAATGTCTACAAATTTTTTATATTTATGTATTTTATTTAATTTAATTATTACATTCAAAATTAAAATAATTTAATTTATTAATTTTAAAAATTACTTCAATTTAATCTATTCATTTAATAGTATTCAATTTTACCATTAACAATGGTGAGGTTAGCACTAATATGGCACAACGTGCTATCGATATGATAATGTGACAGTGTCACATGGTATCAACGTGATGACATGACAATGCCATATGACATTGACATGATGATGTGGTATTAACATATTGATGTGTGAATGTCACGTGATAGATTAAGAAATAAAACTTTTTATAAAAAAAATAAGTACTACGTCATAGAGATTAAATTGAACAAGAATGTATTGTACAAGAAATAAATTAAATAAAATTGAAGTATTTAAGAATTAAATTGAAAAAAAATATTTTAAAAATATAAATTTATGAGTAAATGATATATAGACTTATTAATAAACCAAATGATGTTTACATTTAAAATTTTATGGTGTTAGAAAATGTATATAAATATTTTCTTTTTTAAATATTTGATTCTGAAATAGGTACATTAATTTATCTTCTTTGTCAAAATTAAATTTAAATTTCCCTTGTATAACAAAAATTTCAGAGAGAATTCATATTTAAAGTCAGATTTAAATGAATAACTTACATTATATTATTATAAAATAATATAAAAATATTAAATAAAATATTTTTTTCTTCTATTTATAACTATATAAACATTTGAAACTTATATGCTAACATTAATTTATCTTATTTGCAAAAAATAAATTTAAATTCCCCTTCAATATAAAAAATTCCAAAATTAAAAAAAAAGTTATACGTAAAGTTATATTTGAATGAATAATTTACATTATGTTATAATAAAATAATATAAAAAGATTAAATCAATTATTTTTTTCTTCTATTTAAAACTATATAAAATTTTGAAATATATATTCTAATTTGACTTGAAATTTATATTGCAGTTTAACTTAGTTTTTAACTTGAACTAAACTTAAATTGGCAAAATAAGTTGATTTAGTTATAACTTTTATAATTTATAAATACCTATTATTTTGGCATTATTCAACTTTTACTTAATTTACCTTTTATTTCTTATAAAACTATTATATTTAAGTTCAAAAATTACAATCAAATTTTACTAAATTTAATTTTGAATTATTAATTTAGATATACAAAAAATATATAAATATAAAATAAAATAATACAAATATTTATAATTATATTTAACTCTATCAGCCATAAATGTAATATTTAATTCAAAAAATTTTAGCATAAAAATGTAACCTAAAATATTAAACAAAATAAAAACATAAAAAATAAACAAAAAACTGAAAATGGTGGAGTAATTCATATTATAAAGGTGTAATAAAAGGTCTGTTATGTCCAAATTTAATTGAGTAAGTCAGAACAATGAATTATTTTTATATTTATTACTAATAGCATAGTCATCAAAGAGCTGTTTAATTTTTAAATTAAAAGAATTTAAGAGAAAAATCCACATTAGAATTGAGAAACATAGATCTGTTGTCATTGCCTTAATTTTGTAACAATTAATCAATGAATTAAACTTTTGATGAGAAAAACAAAGAACGAAAAAGAAGCTTGAAGAAGAGTGGTCAAGGAAAAGAGTAGTTATTACTTTTTAAGATAAAATATCATTTTTTTATAAAAAAAATTTAAACTTAATTTTTATAAAATAAATAAATTAATATACTTATTATGAAATTAAATAATCAATAAATAAAATATTTATATATTTTTCTTAACACCATAAATATTTTATATTTAACCATTTAGCTTATTAATAAATATGTGTAGTATCTACTTAAAGATTTTTATTTTTAAATATTTTTTAATATACTTCTTAAACATTTAAATTTTATTTTATTTAATTATTGTGCTATATATTTTTTAATTTAATCCATATGATGTAACACAAATTTTGTTTTTAATTTTTTTTCGATCTATCACTTTAGTATTGCCATGTGGCATCTAACGTCAACTTGTTAATACTACGTTAGCATTATCATGTTATTATGTCAATTTTACATGATACTACAACATCATCACGACGATACCACGTGGAAGTACCACATTTCTATATCGATATCATATTATCAAATTGTGTCGTATCAATGTTGAAGTTGTCATTTTTAATCATAAAATTAAATGTCATTAAAAAAAATAAATTAGAATAACTTTTAAAATTAAAAAATTAAATTATTTTAATTTTAAGTATAGATATTAAATTAGATAAAAAGCGTAAGTATGTGAATATGGTCAATATTTTGATTTTTTTTTTTAACCTAACAATGGAAGTAATCAGGAATGAGTCAACATAAGCATACCTTGGGAGCCAGAAAAGTGAGTACCGACTACTCTCCTTTCGAGGCAATCTCTTTCATAACAAAACTTCCTTCGATTTTTTGGATGGGAAAGATCCACTAGACAAAAGAAAGACGCGGCTGAGAGCTCAAGATGCAAAGCCATTGTTTTTGGATTAATTATCACTCTCGAGATAAGATCATGCATTCGAATCCTTGGAAATTGGAATGCTTTCATTCCCATCTTTTGCAAATAGTTCTGAAGTTGAAATGCAAGTATTTTACTAACAGGACAGGTGCGGGACCAGGGTGTGCGGTGGTCATGATTCATTGCAACTCAGCCCAATTCGTCGGGCCTTCTTCCTTGGATTCCTGCATTGTTGGGTATTTCTCGCAAGAGCAACTGCCTGTTTCCACACCCATAAAATGGAGCCCCTCAGCTCCTTTATCTGCTTTGTCTGTCACTGTCATGGCCGACAAGAAGTTGAAGGACTAAGGTAAGCCCGGCCTGTCTCCTTTTGGGTTTACTCCTATGATTGTGAGGCCTTTGTCGTTCAGTTGAAGGCATCACAATTTAATATCCCATTCTTTTCTCTTAAAACTTGGAAGCTTCGAGTCTCAACGAAGGGTTAGACCTCAATTTTTAATGTTCAGTGAGTTACCAACTTTGAGATTCTATGGCTTCGTTGATCCATTAATCTAGTCTTCATTACCTGGAAGGAGGTGTTGACTTGTTGGTTTTTTTACAAGTTTTGCGCAAGCAAAACACCTACCTTTCTTGTCTCACTTCACAGTGGTTAGACAGCAATGAAAAACAATTCATGCATCGAAGCTCCATCATGTTATATAATTTCAATCATTTTTAGTTGCAGCAATAGAACAGAAGAAGAAGACAGGACAAAAAATGAAATTGGAAGTTGCATTACTTCTCTTTGGGATGCTATGCTTCAGCATCGTACCTTTAAAAAAAGTAGGTGCCAGAAAAGCTGCTTGCCACGACCCACTCTTTGGGAACTGCAATAGCATCCTTCACAACTGTCCACCAGGTTGTCCTAATCTATGTGAGGTAGATTGCAGGATCTGCACGCCTTACTGCTGTAAGCTAGTTTTCTTTAATCTGAGTCTCACCCATTTTCTATGTTCAATCACACATGCACTTGTAAGTGCTAATACAATTTCATATTTTATGCATGCAAAAGCTTGTGATAAGCCAGGAGCCGTTTGCCAGGACCCACGGTTCATTGGGGGCGATGGCATCATGTTTTATTTTCATGGCAAGAAAGACAAGGAATTTTGCTTGGTCTCTGATTTCAATGTTCATATCAATGCTCATTTTATTGGCAAGAGGAGCAGAAAGGGAAGAGACTTCACCTGGGTCCAGTCCATTGGTATCTTGTTCGGTTCTCATCAGCTCTATATTGGCGCAGAAAGGGTTGCCAAGTGGAGGGCATCAGTTGAAAACATGCTGATCAAATTAAATGGAAAAGATGTCCTGGTGCCGGCCGGTGAAGGCCAAACATGGCAGTCACCGGAAGCAGGATTAAGATACAAAGGCAGACAGAGACCAATAAGGTGAGGCTCAGAGTCGAAGGGTTGCTTGAGATAACGGCACGCGTGGTTCAATCACTTCAGAAGAATCAAGGGTGCATGGATACAATGTGGCTGAGGATGACTGTTTTGCGCATTTGGAGCTGAACTTCAAGTTTGATTCTCTGAGCACAATGATGAATGGAGTTTTGGGACAGACATACAGGCCAAACTACCAAAGCAGAGTAAAATTGTCAGTTGCCATGCCGATCATGGGAGGGGCAGATAAGTTTGCCACTTCTCATCTCTTTGCCACAGATTGTGCAGTTTCCAACTTTGGTTTGAAGGCGAAGACGCTTGGGAGTGGAGAACCATTGAGCTTTGAATGTAGAGGCGGATCCGGAGGGAAAGGGATAGCTTGCAGAAGATAGAGTAAACAAGATAGGGAAGGCTCATTTAGTTGTAGCAATAAGATCATTGGTATTACTTGTCTGCTTAAGAATCGGAAGAATGTTTGAACCTGTCTGCTCTTCTCATCAGGCAAAAAGTATATAAATATATGCTGCACACTTGTACTTACAATGGCGCACAGAGCTGCTTATTTGCTCCTTTTCATCAGTTAATAAACACCACAACCAGAATTAGTATTAGACTGTGAATGAAAGAATTCTAACATATTAGTCCACTGTTGCCAATGTCACACCATGTCATTAAGAACTGTTTAGGGCTTACCAGTAATCTCCACAAGAACATAATCCATTACAAAAATGATGAAACCGCTTTGGATCTCGAATTATGATGGTACGCCTCTCAATCAGTGATACAGCCTTTGCCATGCTATGACAATCACCACATATTCTAAGGTTTTTGGTTATAATTAGTGGCATTGCAGCATCAGTCACCAAAAGCCCGAATGCCATGGCTAACTTCTCGCTGTGCTGATTGATCATATTCTCTTTAACTTCCTCATCAACATCATGTAGAACGAATTCTGTTTTAGACATGAAACCAGCTTTCCTTATCTTTCCAATTAGTTCTTCCAACTTGTTATATATCCTCTCTGCCTGAGGGTGAGATCTATCACCCACAACAAAACGATAGATTTTATTTCCATGCTCAACAAAACTACATCCAGGGGTTCTGTAGGGACTTCTCTCTTTTAGTAATGCCCTCACTTCTGAAGCCTCTCTCCATAGTCCAGCTGAAGAATATATATTTGACAGCATGATGTAGTTTCTGGCATCTGATGGGTCTAAAGAAAATAATCTTTCTGCAACTTCCTTTCCAAGTTCAGTATTACCATAGACTCTACAAGCATTAAGAAGAGCACCCCAGACACCAGAAGTAGGCTCCATTGGCATGCATCTAATCAGATCATAAGCATCACTGAGATGTCCTGAGCGACCAAGAAGATCAACCATGCATGAATAGTGATCCAACTTCCGCTCCACCCCATAAACTTCAGACATAATCTTGAAGTAACGCTTCCCCTCATTGACAAGTCCTGAATGACTACAAGCACTTAACAAGTGAGTGAAGGTAACATGATCAGGCTGTACACCTTTTTTCACCATGATTTGAAAGAGCTTTATTGCATCTTTCCCATGACCATGCACAGCATAGCCTGCAAGCATGGCAGTCCAGGCCACGTTATCTGGATCAATAATCTCTCCGAAAACCTTACTTGAAGCATGTAAACACCCTAACTTCGAATACAAGTTTAAAAGTGCAGTTGCAATGGTCACATTAGCAGTTATACCAAAACTTAAAATTAAACCATGAATACTCCCAGCTAAATTTCTGACGCCTAAATTTTCACAAGCCTGAAGAACAGTCAACATAGTAGCTTGATCAAACTCAACTCCAGCCCTTCTCATCATAATGAAAATTCCCATACTTTCCTCGGCAAGCCCGTTTTGAGTGTAAACTGCAATCATTGAATTCCAAGACACCAAATTCTGCAATAGCATTGCCTTAAATAACCGACAAGCTTCATGTAAATATCCAGACTTTCCATACATGTTAATAAGAGCATTTACAATTTTCACATCATTTAGCATACCCAATTTCATTGCAAAGCCATGAATGCACTTGCCTTCACTTAGAGCTCCCTCATCACTACAAGCTGAGAATATAGATAAAAAAGTGACATAATTTGGTTGCATACCCATTTCAAATCTCATTTTACAAAATGCACTCAAGCATTTAGTGGTAAACCGACTTCGGGATAATCCTGAAATTAAAGAATTCCAGGAGACCAAATCTTTATTAGGCATTTCATCAAACAAATTTTGTGCATATTCTGGGTATCCTAATCTAGCATAATTAGACACCAACTGATCACCAACGAATCCGTGACGGTAATTCACGGATTTGATAACTCGGGCGTGAAAAGCCTGGCAATAGAAGACACGAGAGCAAGAGTTTACACCAACAATTAGTGCTGAGACAAGCCAGTCTGAGTATAAATGCGAGTGAAGTTCAAGGGAAGATCGTGAAGGAATGACATTGGAAAGACCTTTCCGGCTGAGAAAGAAAGGTTTTCGTTGTGCACAGTTGGTGTAAAAGTTGGAGAAAGAGAGTGCTGAACAAGAAGCTACTTTTCTCATCTCCCATTATTCAACTTCAAACAAGCCATCCAGTTAAGACATGTTTCTAGGTCCCAAGATAAAGGTTGATCATCACCTGAAAGACAATCCTGATTCCTTTGAATGTCACAGGACAGAGGAAGACAGTCCAGGAAAGTTAGATGCAGTCCCACATTTATAGCATACAAGCTCTTGACTATTCCTGACATATATAAAATGACAAAGGCGATATGGGTTTGGGCATCTTTGCGCTTGGGGCAATGACGCAGCTCATGAGGTTCTAACCGAGGCGCGTCTATTGCTGGTTGAAAACTATTTCCAAACCCCCTCGTAGGCCTGGGCTCGACCCCGGCCTTCGAGAATTTCTGGAAGGGCTCCCTTCGGGGTAAAGCCCTACAATAGTAGTACAAATGGTTGCTTCTAGATAAAAGTGGTCCATCATCGTAACTCCAAAAGGGCTCCAACAATCCATTAGTGGGCCTAAGCTTAGGCTAAGAACGTTTGATGGAGGGAAATTATCCATGTTGGATGCCAGTGATGCATTGAAATAGTCGTAGGATCTCTCCAGGTGCTCGGTTCCCGATTTTAGCGAAAGGCTTCCCACAAGTATTTATGATAATGAGTACGATACAGTTGAAAAATTCGTCACTTTGATTTTGTGGTCAGCGATTCCAGCCACGCAGTCAAGCTTATATATGGAAGGCTGAGACATGTTTCAACATTCAGCGGATATAAAGATCACCCACTACAGGACTCGTATAAAGCATTTGACCAAATATCATGAAACTTCAAGAGTAGGGACCGTTTGAGATTTTTCTCACCAATCTACGATTGAGATGCCTCTTGAACCTATCTACAGCGTTCTCTGCTGCACTACAAGACCGCAACCCAAAAAAAGAGACCTTTCTGCAGATATCTTCCAACAGATGTACGCTAAGATATGCTCAGAAAATCATCAGAACAAGAAGCGCAAGTGCATGTCAACGTTTGGAGAAAGCAAAAGGGAAGTGCAAATCAAAGCCCTTTCAGCTGCAAAGATGTCAGGCTTCGAATGACACGAGAGAAAAAGAGGTAGAAAGAGAAAGAGAGGGGGGAAGGTAGTGTGCAATAATGAACATAGCCAGTGTAAATTAATAAGCATTAGGACTTTGCACAGTGGTTGGCCATTCAAAATGCCAGAAAAAGCCAATTTTGCATAACCGTTACTTGCTCACGCGTCCAACCCCGTTTCTTTTAATTGCCAGCTTTCTGCCCCTTAATTACAAACTTATCTTCCAAATCTTCTCCCCTTTGTCATTATTAGTTCTCTACAGTAGTAGTATTACTCCCTCTCTAGACTTTTTTCTACCGGAGTCTCCGGCGACCCTCAATGGAAGGGGCCAGCAAAGCAACGTCCTCCACCGGGAAAACTAAGGGTCGAAATGGGGCTGTTGAGAAGAAAGAATACCCGGACCCTCTTGCCCATCATGAGGAAGTTGTTCAGGACCCTATTGTTTTCTGGGATACTCTTAGGCGCTTTCATTTTATAATGGGCACCAAGTTTATGTAATTGCCTTCTTTAACTCTTTCTTTTATACTCCTTCCATTTATCTTTTTCTCTTGCTTGTTCTTTTCAAAGGAGCTCTAGTGCTGATTATTGTATTGGATTATGAGAATGTGATGCTTTTACCGGGAACTTGTACAAAAAGGTGATCTTTTTCATGTTCCTTTGTATTTTTCTTTTTTTCTTTGACGGTTGTGCTTCTGTATTCTATCTTTGTAATTTAAAGGATTCCTGTGATTGGAGGGAAGGAGTTAGATTTGCATGTTCTGTATGTAGAGGCTACCAAGAGAGGTGGTTATGAGAAGGTTAGCTCTTTTATTTTTTTAACTACTCTTATCTGTTCCTTAGATTTTCCTCAAAATACCCATGTCGTTAAGTGTAAGCTTGTATATCCTACTTCGATTGCTATGGCGTGTAGGTAGTTGCAGAGAAGAAATGGAGGGAAGTGGGTAGTGTTTTCAGGTTCTCTCCAACCACAACAAGTGCATCCTTCGTGCTCAGGAAACACTACTTCAGTCTTCTCTACCATTACGAGCAGGTTCATTTCTTTAAGATGAAGGGTCCTCTACATACTCCAGCAGGTATTTGATTTTTTTTTTCTTTTGCGCTCATGCTTTTCTTCTTGCATGGGGTTTTCCCTGTTTTCTCGACCAGCTGTAGCATAATAGTGCTAGTTGATCTTGAGCTATGTTTGCTCCTGGTTTTTATGCAATTCGTGTACGGTTCTAATGTTTTTTCCCACTGCAGTTGCATTTCCTGTTAACGACCCTTCATGCATACCGGAACTGGCTCTCGTGGAATATTCCCCTAAACCGATAAGAGAATTCCCAGATCCACTTATGGAAGGTAAGTTGGTTTTCTAATATCTCCATCTTATTATTTCATAGGGAAAGGTAGAGGAGGATAAAGGTAGTGTCATCCACACAACACAAAATGTTCGATTGAATTTTTATGCTCCAAAATTTTCTGTTTGATTTCTGAGTTTGTCAAATAAGTCCACTGTGATAACTTAGGATTACAAGTTAGGCTATAGCCTATTTTGTTAGTGTGGTCTTTATACTTGATGTGTATGTTGATAGTTTTAGTGATTTCTCAATCTTCTTTTTCATTATGGGGTCCCACTACATCTATCGTTACATTTCTGGTATGTGGTTATGGTCCTTATGACATTTGTGTGATATCTCTTGCCAAACAAATGTATTTATTCTGTCTCTATCAATGGTTCACTCCAATGTTTTCAATTGCATACAACCACATACCTAGCAAACAGTTGTTTTTGGAAGGCACTTCATGTTCAAATCTGCTCCGAACTGCTATTGGAAGCAAAATGCAACAATGACGTTTTCAATGTTTAAATAGATAGTGTAAACCTACCTTTTGTTCAAATTCTTAATCAATGGTATATGAGAGCTTTTTTAAATTTCTTTTAACTTAATATTGTGTGTGAAATGCTGTCCAAGTAACTTCATATTGCTAGGGTGTTGATTTGAACTTCTTTGGGCTAGCAATTGATTGGATGTTGACCTTACCTTATATGATTCTCTTTGTAGGAACTTCTTGTTTTTCGGTTTTTGGAACAATTGATGGGAAGTTCGATTGTGGTTATTTGATATCTGTGAGGTTGGGTTCAGAGGTTCTTAGTGGAGTACTCTATCATCCAGAGCAGCCAGGCTCTTCTGCCTCCACACCTGAATATAACAGTGCCCTCGTCCCGTACAAACGCATTCACAAGTCCCAGCATTCTGTGAGGAGGAGGAGGAGAAGCAGAAGAGCAGGAGACCCCAGCTACCCTAAACCCAACAGGAGCGGTTACAACTTTTTCTTTGCTGAGAAGCATTATAAACTCAAGTCCCTCTACCCAAACAGAGAGAGGGAGTTTACAAAAATGATTGGCGAGTCTTGGAACAGTCTCAGCCCTGAAGAGAGGATGGTAATTGCAAATAGATCAGAAAACTTTTCGTTGGTTTCTTACCTTCTGTTTCTTGCAAACTAAATTGTTCGATTTAAACACTGGTTTTCATTGTTTTTATTTAGGCCTTCCAAATCTTCTTAGCAGCCCTATTTGCACTAACAGAAGTGAAAATAGAACCAAATAATGCCAATAAGATGATCAATCCATTTCTCTGTAGGTGTACCAGAACATCGGATTGAAAGACAAGGAAAGATACAAGAGAGAATTGAAAGAGTACAAAGAGCGACTGAAGATCAGGCAGGATGCGGAAGTTGAGAGACCGGACTTGTAGACCTTAAAGAGGAGGAAATCAGTATTAACCAAAGAACCCATAGCAGATCTTTGTGACTTCTAAATTTATGTAGATAGAAGAACTACCATTTTGGGGAAGTCTAACAAAAAGAAAAGGAAAACTATCAGCTTCTTATAGATATGTTCACTCTAATGATCTTTCTTAAATATGAAAATACTTCATTTTCCTACCTCTAAATTTGACATGGTCCAAAGGCATATGGGATTACAGATTTATTTTCTTTAATTCATGCTAGATTTCTCATTGTCTTTTGTCTTGCAATAGGACTTGAAAATGTAAGTTAGAATGGTTATCTTATATGGTCAAAGATTATATTATTTTATGAAGGGGGACAAAATTACATAATTAGATATGAGCATTGGTGCTATGCATACATGTAAGTTAGAATGGTCATCTTATATGGTCAAAGATTATATAATTGGATGAAGGGCGACAAAATTACATAATTAGATGTGAATATTTGTGCTATGCATACATTAAAATAAAATTAAATCAAATTTTGGTTAGATCCCTCTCTTCCTAAGCAGCGGCGGATTTAATTCCTGGTAACCAGGCTTATTCGAGCATTTGCCATTAATATTTGCAACAAGGTAACGGCAGCTGCAAGCTCTGGGCCCATTGCCAAGACAGATACCTCATTTGCCAGATAGATTCCCATATTTCTCCCATGAAACGGCTGATAGTCACTTATAAATTTTCGTCCTATTCCATTGCCAAAGCAGACAGACACTCTGTCATCCCAGATAAACAATTTCCTGAGAGACTCTACCCATGAAAAAACTCACACTTTTGATACTGCTAACCGTCCATTTCCTAGAGATAAATATATACATATATGTTACGTGAATCAGAAAACGTGCTATCACTATCAAGCAAAGTTCTTAGAATACAGAAGAAATGGCCCCTTTGGCTTCCTCTTCTCGCCTGGCTCGCTCCATGCTTCCTATCTTTCTTCGCTCCCAATGCCTTAGTATAAGGTGAATCTCTCTCACTTTATGATCTATAATTCTATGAATATACACACACTTTTATATAAACATGGGCAGAAAGATTGTACTGAACTGTAAAATGGAATGTGGTTTAGGTGTTCATCATCCCTGGTGACAACACCCAAGTTTCAAGTGGAAAACGGACCCAGTGCAAGGAATAGGATTCTGAGATTTGGGTTGGTGTTATATATACACTAGACTTTACAGCTTGCGCATGGTGACAGATGCGCTTGTTAAAATGTTTAATGAAGTGATCTGATATGCTGATGCAGGTCAGCTGCAAACACTGAGGAAAATGAGGGAAAGATTGATGTAAAGCCAAAGTCAGTATCGGTGAGGTTGGCGTACGAGCTTCTTCAGGCAGGGCATCGGTATCTGGATTGCAGGTAGCTAACTAACTAATGTTTCACCACTTTGAAAATGACAAATCCAAGTCGAGTGATGAAGAGACAAGTAACATGTCGTTCTCCCTCCTCATATGTAACAAATATTTCTTGGGCTTCTGACTTCTGTTCTTGACCCTTCTTTCATGTATTCTGCTGCACAATTGTTCCTCGGAAATTGCTGTAAACTAAGCCCAGAGGCTTGCTTTGATTCAAGTTTTCAAGCATTGTCTGTGAGTGTCGTGTGGATGATCATATCACTTTTCAATTTTTCGGTTCCATTTTACAGGACTTGTGAGGAGTTCGATGCTGGGCATCCTCCTGCGGCTATTAACATTCCTTATTTTCACATCTTTAATGGAGAAGGTAAACATCACAAATCTAGGTTGCAGATTAATTTTGTGGTTTAAGTATTCGGTCAGATAGAAGAATAGCTTTGTTCCAAAACCAATTTCATTAAATAAAAGACAAATTTTCCTGTCTAATAAGAAACTCAACTCTATCTGAAGAGATTTGAAGTTTGGAACTTATTGGCTGATGAAGTTGTACTAACATAATTGCAGAAACAAAATTTTCCATTCCTAAGTTCTGACAGTTTTCATTCTTCCTTGTGAAGAGAAGTGAGCTTGATTCTTTTCCTGTTTGATTAAATTTTTTGACAGCCTGCAATGAAAAAGTACAGCTAATAATGTCTCTGATCAAACTTTCATTTTGCTGCATAGAGTGCCTTAAATTTCCATAAGCCACATTCCTCCAAGGAAAAACTCATGATACTAGAACCCCCTGACCTGATGGGTTTTGCTTCCTTCTGTGACAAGTATGAAAAAACAAACTACTGAAACTAGTACAAACATAGCCAGCTCTCTGACAATCTAACATTGATTAATCATTCATTGGTTAAATGACCAATCAGCACAATCATGTTGAGTTATTGTCTTTTACATTATGAAGGGATGTCATTGAAGAATTCAAAATTTTTGGAGGAAGTATCATCAGAATTTGGAAAAGAAGAGAAGATCATAGTTGTAAGTTTTTTTTTTTTGAGCTTGCTAGTTATTAGTTATTGCAGATTACCCCTTATGATCTTATTGTTGCTTCATCACTCGTCAGGGATGTAAAATAGGAAGGAGGTCACTAATGGCAGCAACTGATCTGCATGCTTCTGTAAGTTATGAATTTTGAAATTTCATTGTTCATTTCCTGTTAGAAGCATAAGTTGCTAGCATAACTCCACAAAACAAGATATGTCAAAGGATTTTGATATCTACACTCTTATTGCAAGTAAAATATTAATCAAAAAGTAGTACCTAAAAAGAAAAGATCATGTTGGAAAATGGGAAATATGCGAGAAATATAACCATCATATAAGCATGGAAGGAAATTATTATTATCTAGGAGCAGGCTAATAACAAGCAGCTATGGATGTAAAGGTTAATAACAATTCCTAAAGTGGCTTCAATCTGTTATATTGGGGAGACACTTGATCATAAATTTGATGCTCCTGCAGGGTTTTACCCATGTCACTAATGTTGCTGGTGGCTATACCGCATGGAAGGAAAACGGGCTTCCTACTACAGATTGAATGCAATACTGTTTCTTTAGCATGATGAAAATTTAAGAAACTATTCTCTATGTAGGTTGTATTTCATCAATTTCCGGAACTATTGTAGCTTTCTAGCAGACATGTCCTGTTTCTTTTGAATCAGTGGTTTTCTTTTATCCTAAAGGGTTTCATCCGTTCATTGTGATAGAATTGAGCCATAAATGATCAAAGCTTTAGGTTCGTATCTTGTTCTTGTTGGCAGGAAAAGTTCAGGATTCATAAGGCTGGAGCTATGGTCCGATAGCAGCCTTAAATCAAAAGGTTTTTTCTGAGAAGTGTGCCTTAAATCAAAATTTTAACAAGTTAGTGAGTAGCAACAAGTTTGTTCTTGGATGATTAAAACTCGGCACAGGGCAATGTCCTCTGCGTCCTAACATTAACCTCGTCAAGGCTGGTAATTACCCCAAGGCCGAATGGGGCCCCTTTCAGGAATTCTGTGACAGCCCCGGCTAAGTGAGGGTTTGGAAATGGTTTCAACTTTAGCAATTCATGGGTCTCTCATTATTCCCATGTGTGACGAAAGAAGCCCAAAACAGAACTCAGTTGACAACACATTGCCCAAGGATACCCATCTGTTGAATGTTAATTGATGAGGAAGAAAAGAAAAGCGATTTTGGACTGATGCAAGGCTTCTCTTTTCCCAGAGACCAAACCCCGGGAGCGCATGGAGACCGAAGAAGACCAGAAAATTGCCAGGACTAGCAGATTCTTTTTCTGTTAAAGCAAACAGAAATAACAAAGGATTTTTACGGAAATTTGTTGCAATCAAAGGAGCATCTATGAAGAAATGAAATTTCAGAATCAAGTCCCTGTCAAGCATCATGCATTATTCCATTGGCTTTACATCATATATAGTACTACTACATGTGTCTTCAAGCAAAAATTTATAAACAAATCACCTAAACATTTAAGCAAAATCAGCCCAAAATGAAATACTTACGAATTTCTAGAATTTCTAGAATGACTTCGATTAGATAACAAGAACTTTCGCATGTTTGTGTATGTGTAGGGAAAGATCACCATAGAGCCATGAGATTAGCAACATGATTGAATATGTATTCATGAACGCTTGTTCAGGCCATGGAAGAAACGGTGCTTTCTCCTCTTGGAATGGCTCCCAGAACCCTTTGATACAACATAGGATACAAACTGTACCTGCAGAAAACAACACATCTCCCCATGTTGAGAACAAGGCATGATCATAAGATCTCACAGAACAATAAGAGAAGGAAGAAATTCTTCGTGTTTCTAAAATCTAATGCTTTTGAAAGAAATAAATTCTAATCATAGATGTTGAAGGAAATGCAGCTAGACATTATAGCCATAATTGGAAATTTCTAGGTAAGTTTAAGTTGAGTTTCCATTATTCACTAGAATATAATTCCTTTGAAGAAGTACATGTGTTGATACATGCAATTTCAATGAATTTAAAGCTCCAAAGTGAGATCATAACCAGGAAACCAGCAAAGCAAAACCAGAAAAAAGCACTCTTGTTAGAAAGATGAAGGGGGGAAAAGCTAGAACCTGAGAGTTATTTCGAACACCAAAATCCTGAAGAGCAGCTCCCTCATCAAGGAGCTTCTCATTGTGGTGTGCCAGGCAGAAATTGGCCCATACGTGCCTCCTACAACCCAAAGTAAATATAAAGCTTAATCTTCAAAAACAAAACTTTACACTAGTATTTCCTGAGAATCTTGAACAGCAAAATGTACAAATCTCCAAAAAACATGATGGGTGCTTTAAGAGTAAAAAAAAAAAGAAGAAGATGATATACCATGAAATGTGTCGATGACCCATCTTCGACTGCTCGAAATCGATCACTTTCTTCTTGATTGCGAGCTTCAAGTCTTTCACCGTGGCCGAATTCATCACCGCAACATCTTCAGCACCAACGAAAACCAACCAATTCACAAAGGGCTTTCTTAACAATTCAAACAAAAATTAGACTCTTGTCTAAATGCCTAGCTGAGAGAGAGAGACAGAGAGAGAGATAGTATGTTAAGTACCGAAGGAGGTTCCATCTAATTTGAGGATGGAGATGCGCATGGCACTCCCCAGTTCAAGGCTGATAAGGGTATCGACATCGGATAAAGTGGGTTTCTTAGGGACATCGGCGAGGATTGGGTCGTCGAGGAGAGCGGCGAGTGTTGAATGCAACTTGGCTTTCTTCACGTTGTTGCTGTTGTATCCGACCACGCTCTCTTCCTCCTTCGCGCCTGACTCCATCATGCTTTCTGCTGATATATTCACCAAAAACCAAACGAGAGGGTAGTTCCATTAACTGTTTAACCGATCTGATTTATTGGAAATTTTTGGTAGAATATTTCCAGCCATGAGATGGGCTCACACCCCAGACTAAGAGCCTTAAACTAAAGCTAATTGGGCTCTCAACTCATAGCATTGATTAACCCATCTCAGTTTTTCAGGTCCACTCGATTGAACGGTATTGTTATCCGAACATCAAACAGACGCCAGGTGCCAGTTTCATGGCATAACCAGAACTTCTCCATTGATTTCCCACTCAACGTCAGCATTATGGTTTAAACGGAGTCCTAGAACTAGTTAGTTTGATTTTGAGGAAACTAACAACCTTAGTTATTTTGTTCTCTTCTTCTTTCTCGAATTGAAATACTGGGAGATGATGAAGCGTAAAGACAATCTTCGGTGCCCACCAACCTACTCGCAGTGGGGAAATGGATGGGTCGCCAGAGAGTAGTCCCAATTTTCATTCTTGAATTGCATAGTTCAACTAGGTAATAAATTGTTATGTGATGAATTGAACCAAATACATTGATCGTGTCATGATTTGTTCGGGGAAAACCACGAAATATAATGGTAAACAACAAAGGTAACAACGACATGGAAACAGAGCAAATATGGAAAAACCCTGGTTGAACTTGAAGCAAAAGCTCAACAAGACTAGCACGTAAGAAAAGCCAACAAAACCATGGTTCAAGTCCTCTGCTTCTGCATTTCAACCACCTTCTTCCACGAATCACGGCTCGAAATCTCACCCCACCACCTACCCACGTTTTTATTGGAAGTGAAGAGCTCTCCCCTGTCAGTAGCATTCACCAAGTAATGTGTGTTAGGTAAGTGTGACAGATCAGCTAAGGAAAACTCATCGCCCGCCAAGAACCGACTTTCTCCGAGCCTCTTCTCGTACACCTCCAGCACTTTCGCGAGCTTCTCTTCATTTTGGTTGATTACGGCTTGGTCTTGCTTAATCTTCATTCGTGGTGCAAATGCGAGCTGGAACACGAGAACTGAGCTTGGGGGGTTAAAGCTCTGCCCTTCAGCCTCCAGCCATTGATCGATGGAAGCTTTCGCCAATGGGTTTGTCCCGTACAATCCTGTGTTTCCCTTCTCTGCGTACTTTTCACACAAGTACCTGCATATTGACCTAGATTCTGCAATCACAGACCCAGATTTTAGGCACTGTCCAACAAAAGGGAGAATAAAATTGGTCCGAAATAGAATTAAACCAAAGTTGTGGATGATTACCAAAGAGGGAGGTGCTCTCATCTTGAAATGCCGGTACTTGACCAAAGGGCTGTTATAGCCAAGAATTTGTGAGGAAACAAGAAGTTACTAAACCAGAAAGCAGGCAATACAAATTAACGTATGTACCTGGATTTTGAGGAAATCAGGACTCTTGTGCTCGCCCTTGGACATGTTGACGGAGATGAGCTGGAATTGCACATCTTTCTCGAGAAGACAGGCTAAGACTCTAGATACGGCAGTGGACATTGGTGGGCCGTAAACTTTCACCGGAGTTGCCATTGGGAACTGCTGGTCTTGTCTAATCTGTTGATTGAATCGCGTGTCTCCTTCTCTTCGTGTAATGCTCTCCACCATATAAAGCAGAATTTTCTTGCCGCTTTATCCCTTGCTTGATGAGAGCAGGTAAATTGGGTCCACCTAGACATAAAGAGAGGTTTGATGGGACTGCGGGAGCCTGCACCAACATCGTTATGGGCTCTACCAGGGGTGAGTTTTGGGTTCCTATTTTCTACTGGCCTGATATAACTGATGGAAACATGGAAGGGATAGTTGATTTGATGACAGGCTCAGTTATTTATCATCATTTGGCAGACTACAAGCCTTAGGCAATAACCATTAGGCTTTTTATACTATGGCATCTTTAGCCCGTATCAGTTTGTCAGGTCTATTGCTTGTGTAGTGCTAGTATTAAGGCCCACAAGCAAAGCTAAATAGGAGAATGCACCAGCACCATTATGGGCTCCACCTGGCTAAGTTTGGGTTCCTAGTTTCTATATATTTATCATCATTTGGAGGCTACAAAACTCCATCGGCTTGTGCCCTGAAATTCTGAACATGGCAATTACCATGTGCGAGGTGTTTGCACCTTTCATTTAGTTCAGCAATGAGAAATATAAGAAATGTTCTGAACATGGCAATTACCAAACTTCAGCAATGGCACTTCTCATTTAGTTCATGGACAAATATAAGACATGTTCACAAACATACACTATAAGTAATGCAAATTCTAGTACACAAAAAGAAATACTCAGGTTACATTTTTCTCGATTCCTGATTTTGGGATCTGCCATGTTCCTATGCACATGGATATGCCCTTATCTGGTGCCTTTAAGATCGTTTGAGACCTAACGGTGACTTCAGGTTCTTTTTGCCAACTGCTGTTCATTCCAGTGCTTGCACTTTATGTTATCATGTCCTCAGGATGTTATTCAAGAGCTGGTTTCTAAGTCAGTAAATTAGCTAGTACAAGCAATCCAATTTGAAGGCAGCCTATGTGAAACCAAACTCGGCATGTTCCGCACATTCACATCGAGAGGCAGCAGGCGGTATTCAATGTCAAGGTCTTTCAGTATCTTAATCGTTTCTTCAAGTAAATGGCCTCTCCTACCCCATCTCTCCGCCATGTCCTGGTAGTTCATTTTGTGCTTAGACGACACTGAAAACTTCAGTTTGTTCATGTCTTCCACATCAGTCACGATCACCAGAGGATTCTTGTGCCAGTGGTGCTCCCTGCTCTCAATGTACCTAGAATTGAGACAGTTGCTGTTTTAGAAAGCTCAAACGTATCCAATTCGACATTTTATTCTCAGCAAGGTTAAGCTAAGGTACAGAAAACTAATGAGAGAGGATATAAATCTTACTAATACTTACCCAATTATTCTTTCTTTCATGATGGCAATCTTCTCTGATGGAGTTGAGACATGGATACAAAATTCAATTGTTTCTATCATGTCAGGACTGCGGTAGAAGTTGCCGATAGGCTTGGTAGATAATAAACTATTTGGATAAACGATCTTTTGGCCATCAACCCTTAAGAACACTGTGGTTAATATATTCATTTCTTCCACTATCATCTGAGGTTCAACAGAACAAACATTAGTAAATACTAATCAATACATTCACCCTGGAAAGAAAGGAAAGGAAAGGAAGAACTTCAAATTAATGATGGTTTCTTTACCTGCACTCCATCCACCTCACAACGATCACCCACATCAAATGGATGCATTATGAATAAAAAAATTATTGCTTCAAATACTGTCTTGCAGGTATTCCCGAAGATAAATACCACCAAGAGAAGCTGTGAGCTTATGAAAACAAGGAAGTGGGTGACAGGAATTCCTAATATGATGAGCCAAACTACGACAATCACAATCGCTACTAGGATGTTCAACATATTGTGGAGTTCATCCACAGCTGTTTTTGTATCATTTAGGGACAGTGCAAGTGCTTTTCGATCTCTGAAAGCATTGACCTGGAAGGGGAAAAGAGTCCTTTAGGCTGTTTCTAAACAAATTTGTGAAATTGAAACCTTAATCGATTCCTATTAGACATCAATTACCAGCCAATTGTTGAGTGATGCCTTGCTGATTCCTTCTTCTTCACTTCCTGCTCCGAAGAGATGCAATGCCTTCAAAGCTTCATCTCGACCCATAAAGTGCATGATATCTGTAAGGTAAATGTATCTGATACAGAGATTCGTGTCATTGGGTTGTCAGCATCATTGAACATCAATAGGTTAGAGATATTCATCAATGCAAAGCTTCCCAAACTTAATTTTGGCATTATTGTCTAATAAATTCCTCAAGTCAATATCCATACACATAAAGATGGATACTATTTATTCATTCATTAGTTTCTTTTCTTTGTTAGAAGATTAATCAATCACCAAATTAAGCATTGTTCTCATTAAGCTCAAAAAGGTTGATGGAAGAAAAATAAGCAGAAAAACAAAGAAGAGCTATGTTCGGGTAAAGATGGTCAGATACTCAAATCAAGTGCTCTAACAATTGGGCGCAAGGGAAAGAGAACTTACTGAGATTCTGGCTGAGCCACATTCTGGAAAATCTTCTTAGCTGCTTCTTTTGCTTGACATTCACTTCTAATCTGCACTGAAGATTCATCATCCAGGTCAGAATTCAGTATCTGCTCATCTAGAGTGGCCAAGTGCCCATGGCTAACCATATTAATCATCCTCCTCATATTCCAAGCTGATATATTCTTCTGAGTCAGCTTACGAAGGTGGTCAAGTCGGATATCCTTATCTTTCATCTTAGACATTGTCCTTGAAATTCTGGGCCCGTTGCCAGCCATTGTGGTTTTTGGTTGCTTTGGAAGAAGTGTTGCCCTGAGGCTATCAGCCGTAGTACTCCCAGCACTCCGTGACTCCTCAACCTCAGAGGTTTCATCCTTTTCCTCTCCTTCTGCCTTATTTATTTCAAACAAGGGTGGACCAGAGAGCATCTCAATGACATATTGATTGAATAAAGCTTCCTGGATTCTGTCAAAGAAGGTGTTTACATGGAAAGATGAAGCAAGGACTTTAACAAGGAGGGTTTTCACAAGCCATATCAAGGTAGCCACCAGGAAACATACGAGAATCTTTGTTACATAGGGTAATACCTCGCTGTTGGTCTCCTCCTGGACCTTGTCATCAAAGATCGAATGCCACACAAGCAAAACGAGGCCCAACCAGAGGCAATTCTGAACAGCCCTTCTCAATCCGTAAACAAAATAGAGAACTCGTTTCCGCAAAAGAAAATTGCGCTCGATAAAGATCACAACAACTCGAATTGCCCAACCAGAAACCAGCCGTCCACAGATTAATGCCAAAACCATTATCTCCCATTTCCATAACTGAAGATCCCAAAGCGTTTGTCTCCTTATACCGGGAATGGCGACGCTACAAACTAAGGCTGCTATAATCAGAACGAGACTCATCCACTGAAGTATTGTCAGTGCACTGAATTTCTGCAGCTTATATTCATCTGGAATGTCTTCCATGTCTTCCTCATCATGGTTATTTTCTTTGAACTCTTCTTCAGAGTTCATTCTGTCGCTCCTTCCATATCGGTCCTGGAGCGGGTCAAGCAACCTAGACTTGGTCTTGCTCACCAGTTGCCTCCATGAGTTCTGTCGAATATAGTCATTCGAATTGCACCTCGAAACTTGTCCTGCATCCGAACCAAAAGACCATTGGCGTGTTTCTGCCAGGCCTGAGATGTCCTTGCTCTTCTGCCGAACAGCTTCTGTTAACACTTCATGAAATGAAACCTTGGGTTTCTTCGATGAACCTGAAGGCTTACCCCTTGAGTTATCACCGATGATCTTTGAAGTGTTCCCATTTTCTTTGACAGCAGCATCGTTATTGTCAATGTTAACAAAGATTTCCCCTTCTCTCTGCTTTTCAGAGGACTGTGCCATTTGACAGTCGTTGGAGTGAAACAGGAGCGGTTGTTCCACAGGGTTTTGTAGCTGTTTTGCATTAGAACAGTATGATTTCAAAGACTTTCTCAATGGTTCCATTATAAGAACTTATCAAACTCTTCCAACTCCTCGTATGGAGAATTACTAACCATTCAAAGCACTTTTTAAATCGCAGGGCAGACAACAGGATGGGAAGTTTTTTCCTCGGAAAAAATTCGAATACCATACACTGCTAAATTAAAAAAACGATGGGACCAAGCCGAAGTTGCATTTGTTAAAGGACCCTCGTGAGTCATGCGATCAAAAAGGTTCTAAGAGCATCTTATGGTAATGGTGCATTTTCTTTTCTTTCTGGCTTGGGATAAATTCCCCTGTCGAGCCTCAAGTTCTCCTTACACAGGTACACATGGCTGCAGTATCTAGTTAAATTCCGATTCCCAAGAAAAATGAAAAGGAAGGCCTTGTTGCAGAGTGAAGAATTGGCCAACGAACGCAGATTACATTGCATCATTGAGTTATATAAATAAAAACTAAACCTAACTAAGGCCGCAAAGGTAGTAGAAAAGAAGTTACTAGAACAATTTTGCATGGGTTTAAATAATTAAAATGTCTAAAATTATATATTTTATTCTGAATTATCATTAATAATTTTATACAGATAAAATCTAACTCGATATATTGATTTAAAAAAAATAATTAATAATGATGTATCATATTATCATGTCGTTAAGTTTTATTGTGTCTAATTAATACATCATATCAAATTCTGCAGATATAATAAATAATAACTATTAATGAAATATAACTTTTTATAAAAATATAAAATTTCATTGTTTAAAATAAGTATAGTTTAACTTTTAGCACGATAAAAAGGCTTAGGTAAAAAGCAAACTACAAGGAACGGCAAAATAAATCAAATATGCTGTTTCCAACAGATCGAATCCAATATCTTGAATGATTTTACATCGCTACAACATATTCATCGTCCATATTCCCTTCACTTGAAAAAGCGTTCTTCACAATAAAATTGTTCGAGCACTTGAGCAATCATGCTGTCGTGTTTTTGGTCCTAATTCTCTCTAATGAGTGATCATGGGTTAATCTTCAAGAAACATATCAAAATAAACGAATAAAATGCTTTAACTAGCATCAGCAGTGGAGAATTCAGTATCGACAGTGGTAAGAATGGCATAAGAAAAAGCAAGGCAGTCAGCATCAAGGACATATTCTCTTGAAGAGTAGGCAAATATTGAGTTTAAACCGATCATTTTTATCGATAAACTCGATTAGATATCATTGCAATGATAAGCAGGTGCCATGTTAGCATAATTACCCGTTACTTTTACTTCGAAAATATAGCGTTAAGTCCGCATAGAGAAAGAAAAAGAAGTATGCATACTACAAGCTACAAAAATTATCCACAGGGGCTTGCCATCTTGCTGGCTTCCTCCTGAAACCTGTTTCAAATTTCCTAGGTGATTTTTCCTTCCCATTTGTCTTGTCTGCAACCCTTTCCAAGATTATCAAAATTTCCAACAAGAAGGATAAGCAAAAGGATGATTCTTCCAACTTTTCCCTACCTCCCTGCTAAGTCTTGCAAGAGATCTGAAATTTCAGAGAATTCAGGTCTCAAAGATGGCTCCTGTTGCCAGCATCTATCCAGCAGTTCCACAAATTTCGGGTGAGTATGCTTAGGAATCACTGGCCTTAGACCCTGAAATCCACATAAAGAAAGCTCTTTATTGGTTCAAGTCTCTTACGCTGGGTAGTCATAAGATAGAAATCTTTTAGTGAAACAAGTACCAACTATCCTGGAAAGAAGGTAACAAGACTAAATTTTCATAGTACTTTCTTGCATGTGAGTGGAGGAATATATATACGAATATGTGTGTAACAAATAAAAGTAATTCTGCTAGTTCTATTTCATAAAAAAATACCTTCTGGACAACTCCCAATGCAGCTTGTAAGGGGGTTAAGTTCTCGTATGGAAGCTGGCATCGATCACAAAAATTAGAGGTTTGGTTTTAAGTCTGTGCAATCACAAACTACGAGAAATGAAAGACAAAACAAAATAAACCTTGACATGAACATTGAGCTATCTCAGTGCAAAAAGAAACAAGACGCCTTTTTTAATCCAAATATTGCCAAAGCATTACCTTTCCTGTAAGCAGTTCCCATAGCACAACCCCGAAACTGAAAACATCAGCTTTGTGATCATATGGTTTGTGTTCAATCACCTTCCATGGATCAAGACCAGATAATCATGTCAGAGAGCTGGGAGGAAACTAGCAAAGGCAAATAATGGTCATTATCAACACAGTCATGGTATGCAATGTCATCAAAAGGTTCATGTCCCATTAACTTATAGCATGCTCCATGAAATAGTTAAAACAAAGTTGAATAGATTATGTGACACACAATTGTAGTGCTGCTCAAGGTCTGATATTATACCATACTTGTAAACAAAAGAATTAAGGCCTGGAAGCTGAAACAAGAAACATAAGAGCATTTTAAAAATGAAAAAGGAGGAGAAAATCTGGAAGGTCATCAATAGAAACAATTCTCAACTTGGTTAACTTATTAAAGCTATGCACCAACAAAAAAATAACTGGATATAGCCTTTGTCCTAGTTCTATTCTACCTAGGTTCACTTTTTGTTAAATGAGACCATCACCTCTTACAACCTCAACTCATGCTTCGGTAAACACACCATAACCTTTGCAGACCTTCAATTTTCACCACAGCTAACAATCTCTTAAATCTTTCACCTATTCAAGCATCCACTGAAAATCAATTTAAACTGCCCTTAGTGGCTGTTAAATGATTTTTACAAAGGCCCATTTAGGGCAAGCACCCTGTGGGACTTCATGCCAGAACTGGATTTAAAAAAAAATGATCTGTTATGAACTAATATTCCAGGCCTTCAATTTTCACAAAGTAAACAAAATGTTAAATATCCATGAAAGAATGGTCATCAACAAGAATACCAACCTCTGGAGCCATCCAACGATATGTTCCTGTTTCTGCAGTCATCACACCTGACTGAGCTTGCACCCTAGCAACGCCAAAATCAGCTACCTTGACAACCTGTGACAGAGATCCTTAGGGTGTAAAGATAAATGGAAATCAAGGACCAGACAGCACAAGCAATGTATATATAGCACAAACATAATCTAAATGCAAGCAAATGGACCAAAAATAGTCAATACTTCATGTTATGGCAAGTCCTCCTTACCCACTCCCAAATAATATTAATTTCGTTCTAATAAAAGATGAATTTTGTTGTTAGTTTGATACTTTGCTTGAGTTTGACTATTAATACCAAAAAAATAGCACAAGCTGACTATGACATCAAACGGGAATAGGGCTACAACCTGCCTAGAAGCATTTATAGAAATCTCAAATCCATTAGATGTCATGTTCATTGGAAAAAAAAGATCAAGATTCTTTACCCCTCTCATCCAACAACAGGCATAACCCCCATAAAATACCCCTACCCAGTATGAATTCCTCTCAAACTCTTAATCCTCAAGGTATTATTCGTTTTAAACCAGAACGATCAACTATAATTTAAAAAGCCTCGAGAGATACCTCCATAACCAGTAGTAGAACTTTTGCAGGATGTAAGAATTAAGATTATTGTTCACATAGAAGGCAACATATTTACAAAGTAAATACCATAAAAAGGTGAATCTCTTACTCCATTTTCATCCATCAGAAGATTGGCAGCTTTCAGATCCCTATGCATTATATTATTTTGATGCAAGTAGCTCATTCCCTTGGAAACATCAATCGCTACTTTGAGTAAGAATGGAAGCTTAAAACCAGATTTTTGTTTATGCAGAAAGTCATACATGCTTCCACCAGACATGAACTCTGAAAAGTAACAGAAAATATACAAATTGAAATCAGAAATAGACTGAAAAATGAAAATGAAAATTGCATATTTAGTCAGGGAACTAGGTGTAGTAGAAAGTCATAAGTCATACCTGTCACAATGCACAGGCTTGGAAGTCTGGTACATGCACCGATGAATTGAACAACATTCTTGTGCCGAATTTTCCTGTAAATTCCAAAGAAGCAAACAAAGGGAGAAGAAAAGCTAAATTTCCAGATAGTAGGATGTAGGCAGTAGTTTATCTTTTCTTAAAATATCCACAGGAAATTAAATTAGTTCATCAAAAATATGTAATACTATGCACAAAGAACTATTCAAAAAGATATGGAGGAAACAAGAAAATTTGGACTTTTTTGACATTTTCAGAAGGTAGAATCAACACTCTCAAGCACGACAAGGAGGAGTGCTTACGATAATTAAAGAGCTTGAGAAGGTCATCAACTTGATCGCAAGTAGACATATTTCTATATCATTAATTCATGACCAGCAATGAACATTATGAATGCTATGACAATTGGCATGAACTGTATAGTGACAATTCAACTGGAGCAAACCGGATAATGTTTTTTCAACTCAGTTATATGGTGAAGAAGAAAAAGATTCGCTCTACATCAAGAAATTACCATCCACATGAGTGAGAATTTGTCTTTAAAAAGATTTATATAAGCATTTTAGATGCTATGGCTTGTCTGCTGCATATGCATAACACCTTTCTCTATATGATAAAATACATTACCAAAATGGAAGTTCTAGATGATCAATAAGAAGTCTCATGTAACACTTCCGAGATATAAGTTCATAGGAGAGATCATATCCATCTACAAGTCACTTAAATAAGAGATAAGCCAAAACAATGCACATATACAAGGATGACTGGAGTAGGAGTTTCTTTAAATTTCAAGGCTGCATATGCGAATGCTTTCACCTGGAACAACTACTTTACAAAAGAGGTTAAATTAGAAGGACATATTAGTTAAATCTTCAAGAACTCTCAACAAGAAAAATTCTAGATAAGAATTATTAAGTTGAAAGTGCACCAAATTAATAAAAGTCCATTGGGGACAGTGACCATACAAAGAAAGTATAAACATGGAAAAAGAAAAGTAGTTGAAATAAGTGTCTACAGAATTACAAATTGCGATTAATCACACCTCATGATACTAACTTCTTGAATAAATTCCCTTTGCAAGTTCTCGTTTAGATGCTCAGTCCTAAGAACTTTGATGGCTACATCTTGACCGCAGAAAGTACCTTTATACCTGCATCAGTCAAAATATATAATTCACAAGTATTATGCACAAACAGAGCAGGGCATTTAAGGATAAAGAACTCACAAATCACCATAGGAGCCAGAAGCCAATTTGCTTTCATACTTTAACAGGCTAGTATCAATTTCCCAAACATCATTTCCACCAGAAGGGATGTTCACATGGCTGGAGGCAAGTTTGTTTCCAGTTTGCTCTAGCTCCCTCACATGATACAAAGCATGAAATTTTGACCAGGAATGCTTCTGCAGAGCACTTCAAATTATCAGAGACCTATGCACTGCTACAAGATCACTAGAAACAAGATATTTCAACATATTCCTTTATAATGATTATCCTCTCTTTTGTTTTTTAGAAATAACACATAACATATGTTAGAATGATAAAATAAAAGGAGCACAGGAAGGAGCAAATATAAAGATAAACAAGAAAATTCAATTTGTTAAAGGTTTCTAGAATAGTAGGCCATATCCTTAAGGAGAAATAAACATGAAATCACCAAAAATGCATTGCACCAAACAAGACATACTGCACCAAAATGTTGACAAAGTATTGTATTACTGAAGAACACAACACAATTAGTTTTTACTTTACCAATTAAAATAATCATCAATGTGGTAAGTTAAATGTCAGTACAAAAGAATACATTTTCCATAGCCACGTCAGTTAAAATACCAAAATAGAGTGATCCAGAAATGTAGTCAACTGAACTTGTCCTCAGTTTAACATAAACCATTAGAGCCAAATTACACTTAAAAGTAAAAATAGGTGACTAACAAACATAACATCCTTGTCCACCATAAGAAAGAAAAAGATATCAAAATAATGAATTATTGTAGTTATATTGGAGAATAGCAAGTGAGGCTACCTCAACTTTGGATATCTCCTTTATCAATACATTTCTAAGCTGCTCAGTCTCCTACAATCCATAGTATAAAAGAATGTTAATCCAAGTGATTAATTGATGGAGAAGCACACAAATTTATTACAAAATTCAAAGTCTAATAGATCTAGATGTGAGAGTCAATAAACTAATCCAAAGACTGATAAATGATAATGAAATCAGAAAGAAAGAAATCAATCTAAACGCTATAAAATATACAGCTTAAAAGACTGATACATATTCTATTGATAACATTATCAACTCTGTGACATTCTTCCCCAGGGAATAGTGATTTGGTCTGATATCATATCAAAAGAGAAGAAAGAGTAAAATACCTCAAGTGCCCAACCATCAACAACGAACACATCCAAGGAATAGCCATCTGTCGTGGAAAAAGCATGTGCTTCTTGAATGTTCAGCCCAACCTCAGATAGTAAAGAAGTCAACTGAAATTTCCACAAAAAATACTCTTAATAATGAAATTAAAAAGACCAATGACCAGATATCGTATCCAAAGATTATTTGCACAACTAGACAAGCCAAGAGTAATTGACCACCTGTGTTAGAAGTTTTGGCTTGTCATTTGTTGAAATAGTGATCTCATGCATCAGCCTACAGAATAATGAATTAAGACATATTATTTCACATACAATCAATAGAAACTTCCAGAAATAAATAGAAAAGACTTCCTAACTTTCAAAGTTGTATACGTCTCATTCACCAGCAAGAATAAGAAATAAAAGGAAAATTTAAGGAGAAAAGAATAGTATTAAGTAGGAAGCATAGATGACATCGTGGACAAGAAAGTATCTAACAACAAATATCCAAAGCAATGAAGAACCAGTGTAAATCAACAAGATAACTAAAACTAAGTGCAGAATTTAAAAGTACAGAGTATCATGACTAAATCATATTGATGCCCTCAATTCAGCTTAAGCTAAGACCACATACCATGATGCAAAATTACGCAGTTTTGCACTTAGCTAGTAAGTTTACAGACCCAAATGTCAAGACTTGAGAACAGTTTGCCACAGAATACAATAAGCACATAAAGGATAATTTATTAACTAGGAAGACATCCTTTCTCCCCTGGTTATATCTTTTAGTTCCTCTACCATGCTTTCAAGGAGGTTATACTAAATGAATCCATGCAGTTGATCCGCATGAAGTTGTGTAGAAATTGAATAACTACAGTATATAAACATTGTACAAAATTCCCAAGGAGATCACAAATAAAAATAAAAAATACCAAAAAGCAGGGGAGAACCTTTTTAGAAGTATTTACCGAGAGTCAATTAGATTGCCATTAACTACAACATCCATATCTTTAACACCTCTTTTAGCTTCATGCACAAGCTCAATATCAGATGATGTACCAAAGGCAGGTGGCGGATGAAACCTAAAATAGGGGAGAAAACACAAAAATGAGGAGCAAGGAAAGCATTCAGGAAAATAGATGTTAGCAGAAACCTAAGCCATATCAGAGTTGGCTTTTTTGAAGAAGACCAAATAGATGTTTACATAACCATGCCTCTTTTTGTTGGGATAATCAGAACACTGAGCATCAGCTTTTCGTGCAAACTTCAAATGTACTGACCCAACCCTATTTCCATCAGAGGCAGAATGAACCTGTATAAGAGAAACATTTGTTAAATTGCTACAAGGCCTTCAAAGGGACATGATAACCCAACCAACATAGAATAATTGTATAATACCTTTCATGAACGAGCATCAAAGATCACTAAATAAGACTAATTTGATATGGAAAAAGAAATGGAGCAGCTGGTATTGATAGATGAATAAGAATATGTAGTAAAAATACTTGCACAAGCCGAACTTCAATTGCAGGCCTGCTAGCAGGATCACGCGCCTTGTGAAGTAATCTTTTGTGCATAAGAACATCTTGTGCCCTCTCCACATTAACATCAAACGCATACCTACAACAAACAAATATGCGTTTTAACTCATTGAATCTACGCCAAAAGAGCCAGTGAATGGAAATTCCAATTAACTTCATTTCATGTTAAATAAAAGAAAAAAAAAAAAAGGAACATCAGCATATGGCAGACGCTCTGTTTGGCAGCTAAGAAACCAGAGGAAAGAACCACGCAAAAACCCGAAAAAGTTAACTAAACTCTCTTCAATTACACTTTCCTCCCTACACAAAACCTCACTAACCTCAACTCTTAATTTGCTGATATTTGAAATTCTCGTTTTCTCTGGCAGCAAACACGAATATACTTACTTTTAAAACTTGAAATTCAGTCAACCAAGCAAATTCCGCCCGTAATATGCAAATGAAAATGGTGGAAGCAAGGATTCAGTGCTTTGTGGGGTACCTGGCAGGAAGTCTACAGAAATGAGCCCACAGTTCATCTTCGAAGGTAGGGAAGCTCGCCTCCTCGATATTCAACTCCCTAAGTCGACAAAGAACTTCGTTAAATACTTCAACCTTCTGCCTCTGTTTCCGACTCTGACTCGGCACGAAATCCACCGCTCTGCTACTGCAACTCTCCGTATCCCCCATTACCATCCAAAACACAAAGAGCAAATGAATCCAAAAGCAAAAACAAAAAAAATATATAAACGTTTCTGATTCAGATTCTAAAACACGACCGTATCGAAGATCAGAGTTCGAACGCAATGGCAACTACGAAAGCAAAACGACGGAGAAAACTGTTCTTTCTTTGCGTAATGATAAATTCAGCTTTGCGCCCATGGCTTCTCCATTTTCCTTTCTTTTTTTTGTTCTTCTTTTTGGGCTTTCCCTCTCTCTTTTCTCCCCCTTTTATAAACTGATAAATTTTGGATGTTGAACGTTTAAAGTGATGGCGTAATGCGCACCCACAAGCGCAAAACCTACGTGGATTCTAACGATACTGCCTTTGCTTTGCTTATATCACCCGCGGTTTAAACTATTATTACTATTTAAATTAATTTTAAAGTAAACCCGGTAATAATTAGAAGGTAATTTTCGATTTTGTTTATTATGTAATCCAATGGGGTTGGTTCTATGACATCATCATGCACCTCCACTCCTAACCAATGGGACTTCTTCTCTGGTCCCATTCCCCGACCTAATCTACTCTTATTCACGCATGATCACCACTTTCACTCCACGGAGTCTCTCTCAAATCTCTCTACCCTCCCGCTTTGGTAATTTTAAAATCTTGGGTGAATATTCTCACTAATCAATGTGGGTGGTCTTCCACTGTTTCGACCTTATTATATTAAAATCCGGCTTCCATTCCTTTTCATATTTTAAACATTCTAGATAAGATTAATTATTCTTTTTTATGGTTTATGCTATTGTATGCATGATTCACGTGAGTCGAGTTAGTACAAACTTCTGCTTAAACTAAATTTAGAAATGGAATCCGTAAGGAAAGTCAATTGATAGCGGAATGATAGAGGCCAGAGGATGTGACATCTCAACCTATAAGGAATCAAAGGTACGGTGCAAAAGCTTGAGGAATGGAGCATTCCTAGTAAGTAAAGCAGTATATCATGTCAGTATAACTATATATATATATATATAAATGTATATTATATTTTATAATAAATATGTTTTTAATTTCTATTATAAGAAGACAACTCATATACTATAAAATTGTGCATATCATATAAATTAAATGAGTTATATAAATATATATTAATAATTATAATATAATATATTGTAGTCTAATTAAGTAATAGTATTGATTTATAGTTATAATTAAATAATTTATATAATTTATATAATCGTAATTTTATGTGTTAATTACTTACTCATATAAAGAAGAAACCAAGATTAAAATTTACATTTGACTAATCCAAGATAATTACAACAATTATCCACGAAACGTGATTAGTTTGCCTTAGAAGCATCATGTTCAAATTAGTGATTTAAAAGCTCAAAAATAGGAAATTTGTTGAATGTGGCTAATTGAAATTTGTTGAATGTGGCTAATTAACTTACTTTTCATTCGAATTGCAATTTTGCAAGGATAAAATTAAATTGAATAGTTTTATATAATTATATCAAGTGTCATGAATTGCAAATTGTTAGATTTCGAGTTACGGTTTTCATCCATATCTAAATTAAAAAATTTGTTTCCTTTATAATAATCTTATAAACATTATTTTTAGTAGCATTAATCAAGTTTTAGATGGGAACTTCAATGATGATAATGATGATGACACAAAACCATAAATTGTTTGGTATAATTTGATATTTTCGCAATACGGAGAGCATAAAAGACCTTGAATAGTCTTTATTAGAGATGAGCATTAGTCTATTTAAACTAACATAATCGATTGAATTTAATTAATTGAGTTAAATTTTGTTAAAATTTGGATATTGATTAGTTAAGAGGGATAGTTTATTCAGTTATTTTGTTCAATTTTTCAATGTTCAAAATTTACAATCGAATCAATCCAAAACAATTATTATTAATATAATTTTTAAATATTATAAATATTTTTAAAATATACTTCAAAAATATATTACACATATATTGTTAATATTTATAAATTATACCTCAAAAGACTCCTCTATTTAAATAAATCGATGTTGGTTATTTTCAATTTTTATTATAATTCGATTGATTTCAATTATTTTTTTTGAGAATTCGATTAATTCAAAATTTGAAAATTTAAAATCTAATTAATCAAATGCTCACTTGTAAATTTTATAGTCAACAAAAGAATAAAAGGAAATAAATAAAATAAAATGACGATTGGGTGATGGATAGAAAAACACAAATATTAATACTATAATATAACTATAGTCAGATATCATCATTAATCTATAAAAGTATATACTTTTTTTCAATATTTATTAATAATTGATTATCAAATCCACGGCCGTAGTTGAAGAACACGGCATATTCGGGTTTTAACATATCCAAAGAGAAAGACAAAAAATGAGAGGGCCACGAGAGATATTCCATATCTGAGCTGAAGATTCTAAAGCATGACCATGGTATGAGTAGGCGGATTGTACGGTATGGCGGCAGCAAAACCTGGTGGCATGTCTCGGTGATGGGGCGCATGCATATTGCTACTCATTTCTTCATACGGCGGGGTGTATGGACTGTGATGTACGCTCGCTGGTGTGTAAAAAGTAATGCTTACGCTTATCCCACTCCACGAAAGCCGGTCCTGAATGGGAGACGAGACAGGGACTCATCTCTGTGGATGTTGCGAAGCTACGCTTACGCCACATGCCAGACACCCACCCCACTTTTCCCATGGAATCCCTGCACCGGACCATCCACTTTTAGAAATACGTACCATGTTTGTTGAACCCATGGCACTTCATATTCTTAATGGCTTGCCGGTTTCCTCCCCTACACGGGTTGTGAACACAGCTCTATTCATTTGCCGTTTACGACCACTCTGGTCCAAAGTTTCAAGTCCAAAAAACTCGTTCCTTTCATATATTCTCCAGGCCCAGCACCTCAAAATCCTATGTCGGAACGCCTCCTAACACTATAGTAAACTTTAAATTTTAAATGTACGAGTTAATTAATTAAGAGATGCATGAATCCTAACACTATAGTATATAATTGAGTTGATCATGTACTGCAAAATATTAATTAATTAACCTAATCAAGTTTTTGTTCTACACCCGATGTCACTGTTAGTTCTTATACCTAAGTTAGGTTGGTGCATGATTTTATTTATTTAGCAAACCATACAAACAATCATAAATTACTTCAAAATTGATTACATGAAAAACTAAGATAGGGGTACACGATGGGAATAAAATAAAAAGGGTCTAAGTTGATTAAATAAGGGAGAGGAGCGGATCGGAAAGGGGCCCAAAGCGTGAAATGTCCTTCAGATCAGAGCTCCCTGGGAGAACATAACATATCTAATGAGGATGGGGTCGGTCACTGAAGTTCACCTACGCATACGCCAGGAATCTAAAATGGTAGGTGACCAACCGAACGAATTGGTCTCGTTAATATGCTGAGATTCCACAAATAGTAGTAATTAAAATGGCAGCTGTTCGGAGAGTTAGAGATGCATAGTTATGGCCTTAAGGAGGAGGTCGATTCCCCTTATTAATAATGCGACAGTCTGTGCCTCTGTGCCTCTAGTCCAATTCCATAAGGCTATGCTACACAGTAGCCAGCAAGCTCGGTTAGTGCTTGTATTTGACAGAGAGAGAGAGAGAGAGGGAAAGAGAATAATATGGGAATGGGGTCGTCGTGAAGGTTGGTATTAAATGCTCTGGACCTCGATGTGAGTTTTGGTAGTCGAGGTTTTTAATGCACCACTGCAACTCCCCTCTTCTTTTCATGTCCTTAAATACGATACCAGGCAATTCCCATTTCTTCTCACAACATCACACTTCCATCTCCCATATCTCTTTCTTCCCCGTTCCTCACTGCTATCCAATGCTCCATTATCTCTTGTTTTCCACTTCTTTGGAATAAAACCATGCAAGTTCATCACCTGTGTTTCATTCTTAACCTAAAAGAACTGCAACTGAGATGCCTTCGGAAGGATTTGATTTGAATACAATACAGTTCTGTTGGTTGCAATAGTCACTACGATGTTGGCTCGGTTCACTCAGACAAAATTAATCCTACGCTTCTCAAGCACAACACAAAAAAAAAAAAAAAGCTTTAGATTTTGCGTAGCTTCCATGTGTTTTGATTGAGCCGTGCCAATATCCTAGTGCCTTTTCAATTCACCTACCGCACTTAAAAGGCGAATAAATCTATGCCACGGTCCAGCAACGACATTGACAGGTGCTCCTTCTGTATCAAGGTATAGTCTCTCTCGACCCTGCACCGTTTTTTGTTTTCCTTCAAGCTTTCCTACCTCACTTTCGAACTGAGCACAGCAAATTAAATTGGCTCTCCCATATGGTTCAAACGTTCAAACAGAAGTGCTGTTGTTTACTTTTCACGAGAGGTCATGTTTTTGTCTTCCCATTTTTGTGCGCAGCCCTCAGCTGACAGTTTAGAAATCATCATGTAGCTATAACGCAAGGTTTTGGAAGTTTCAACTAATTATTAAGTAGAAAAATTAATACTGCATACTATTATTTTAAAACTGAAATGAAGAACTAAAACCTACTTGCAATTTATCAATTTCTTCTTTTTTAAAAGGGTGTGTTCTGTAGCCTCTTACATGTCTGACCAAGGGATATCCTGATCAATTTGTTTATCTGAAATCTTAAACAGTTTAGAATATTAATTGAAGCCAATAAGAAAGTGGTTTTTACCCTGCCTGGTGCTAAATATTTTGATCAGCTGCATTGCTCATAGACAAAGTTCAGTACCCAAAAGTATGATGAGTTTACATTTGTTCGAAAACAAAAATTCAAACCAGAGCTGCATTGGATTGATTATGAGTATATAAAGTGACAATTCTGCAATAAATGGACGACAAAAGTCCCAAAATTTTGTTGTATTTAAGACATTTGTTGTTGCTCTCCACTCAGTCTGCAGGGACATAATGGTAGGAAACAATATATTGTGTACCTATTCTCTCTTCAGCACATGCTTGGTAATTTGCATACCCTCTGAACCATCTGTAGATCCGCCCTCCATCTCCTCATATTTCATTCTGGTAGCGTTGCAACCAGCAAGACTTTTCCCTTGAAGCAGAGAACTCTTTTCTTTTTTTTGATATTTCATTTGAGTTGAAGAAAAGGAGAACCTGAGTTCACCACTTACAACAATTTTGCAAGGTTATGCCCCGGCATAGGACCAGGGGTATCCCATTACAAAATTCTCTCATTGTCAAATTCCCTGTACACTTTCAGAAAGAAAACCACCCTAAACACCCACAGCGAAAGCGGCCAACCCGACTAACATCTGGTTAGCCACTTGCACCCAAAAAGCACCCTCATACAATGAACAGAATGAAAAGATAAACACCTAACAGTAAAACAGTCCCCTGCATCAACGGACACCACAATAATCAAGCAAGGAGAGACCAACCAATAGCACTACGATTACCCATCAACCGCGTAGGGACTCCCCCAGCAGGGAAAAGAAAATACAAACCCTTGATTGGTTAGCTGATCACCACTCAGGATCAGATATATGTATGCATCATATCTATTGTTATTGTGTCTTTTTATTCCATTTAATCTCTTAAAAAGATTAGGAAAGGAAAGCAGACAAAGAATCCAAACTTTTCAATGAAGCAAAGAAGACTAGTTGGTTGAGGAGAGTTAATGTGAGAAGTGGGAGCGTTGGGCAATCTTTAATTACTAGAGTAAATTAGATATGTGGCAAAGAGGAAGAGAATCTGTATACTTTAATTTACAAGGAAGCCTGCTATCACTTCGGCAGTCAGACAAAGATTCCCTCATTCATTACTGTGCTGTGCGTGCATGCTGATCTTCCCATTTCCTACATGTTCTGTTCCCATTCAATCCCATTTTCCCCCCCATGGTCCACCATCCCTTTTAGATATGAAGAAGGATGATTTCAAAAATGATTCAATCGGTTTCATGCATCTTGGTATGCGTATACACTCCATTGTCCCACTATGAATAAAGTTACTTCTCTCTGTTTGCGCCCATTTGTTACTATCACACTGAACCTAGGGTTCTTTTCCTGTCTGAAGAGCTTTCCCTGACTGTCAACCAGATTCTTGTAATTAGTATGATCTGCTAGCCTGATGAAATTAACTCAGAATGATTTTCATGGTTTTTGCGACCATTTTAGAACCAAAAAATACCATGCATGATCATAATGACTGGTTAAGCTCTGTTTAATGAACATTTATGTTTATACCAATTTACCTTCTAGTTAGTTAGCCAGACTGGTGCTAAAACATAAATGACTTCAAAAGATATAATTTTATTATCCACTAATAAGATCTGGAACTTTTTGTTGGTATTTAGGAAGCATTTGGTATGAGAAAAGTGATAGTACATTCTTTATAATGTGTCCAATTAAATTACATTACAGTATTTATTTTGTAACAGACCATTACAATGTAAGATTGTAATGTAAATCACATTACAGTCAAGGGATGTAATGTGATTGCAATTCAAAATCAATACAATTATATTACATTGCACTCTGCAATATTCTTAAAGATATTTTTACCTTTCAATTTTATTACTTTATTAAAAATTTTTATAATGTTATAATTAAAATAAAAATATTAAAATAATATATATATATAATATAAGAATCAAAAAATAAAATAAAATATAAAAAATTAAAATTTATATAATATAAATAAAATAAATTAAAATAAAATATATAATATAAAAAATTATATTAAAGAAATAAAAATAAAATATATAAGATTATAATAATAAATGAAAATAAAATATATGACATTCAAAATATATTTAAAAGATGATATTATATAAAAATTAATAATAAAAAATATAAATATATTAAATTTATATTTTAATAACTATGGATAATTTTAAAAATTAACATTACATTCTCAACAAAATACTTATAAATCAAACATTGTAATATTAATTTTTCTATATTTTGATGACGTTTGATACTTTACAATGCAGGTAATATGATTACAAATAATGTCATTATAAGAAAAATAACATTCAAAAGCATAAACGCGGTCTTAACTTTGCTCGGGAAGATCAGTTGCCCATCACCAGTGACATGCACTAGACAGAATCGTAGCAGACACTTTTTTCTCTTGAGTCTTGCCTCTAGCCAATGACTGAGAAGGAAAAGTCAGCTCAAATTAATAGATAGGATTACCTTTTTTCACCGATCTTGCTGCCAGTAATGTATAAGACTTTTGGGCAAAAAAGTTCAGAGACTTTTGGGAATCATATGTGTTAATGGTAACGTTGTGAAGTACTTTTGAGGGTTGCTGGAACATGAAATGCGTTATTTAAAGACCAGTAGATTGAAGAAAAATGTCTCCATTCATCTTAATATAAACTAAAACCTATCCAGGTAATGATGATTACTATAACGATGATATTAGATTAACAATAAACTTTTTTATGTGTGAAGGAGAGTATTAGGATACTGTCAATATCTCTTTGCACGGCGAGTCTACATGTAATTGTACAGACTTGCTTATAGCTTAAGCTAGATGTTTCATGCCTGTAATAAGTCTTCTGCCAAACCAGCTAAAGACTGCTATTAACATATGCTAGCCGCGACTGCTAATAAGATCGTTTTCTAAAAAAAGTAAATGACGGGCATAAATTAAAAGAGATTTACATGATTTAACTTGATATCTAGTTGGTATGCTGTTGCTAGCATTGATCAGAATGCTGAGATTCAAGGGCAGCTTAATACATTTAAAAGCTAAAAGTGTTTAAATATTTAAATGAGGTATTTTTTATTAAATTTTTTTAAAAAATTACTGTTAGTTGGAGATTATTAAAAACATATTATCTTCATTGGAAATAGAAAAAATAATTGAGAATTATTAATATCATGGGAATTGAGAAGTGATAAAAAATAAAATTTATTAAACATATAATTAGAAAAGTGAGAGAATATGTAATTTTACTAATTATTTTGACTTTTACATAAGTGAAGAAGTGCGATAAATAGTTGACAATTAATAAAAGATAAGAAGTGGGAAAAAATAAATATTTAATAGACATTTAATTTAAGAAATATTTTGTTAATTAATTATTTTAATTTTTATATATATTTAATATAATTAATCATATTATATAAAATTATGAAGCTTGAAAAATTGTAAGGCCTAAAGTAAGGACTTTGGTGGCTTTATGCAAAAGCTGGTCCTGCTGAGATTAGGTCATTATTTAATAGGAATTAGCATGTAAACAGAAGAAACAAATAGACCCAACCAGACTATAGTGGAAGGTTAATTCGATGCATTGAGTCAATGAAGTTTCTGATGGCCTAGAGTGGAAGGTCGCCGCCTTGTTTTTGCATGGTGAAAATATGCCGATGCCACCAAGGTAAATTAATCAGAGATATTGATTACCAAGAGCCAACCACATTGACTAGCTTTTCAGTTAATTTCCCACGCCAACCGTGGGCGAACCATGTCATGACCATAGGCAATGACGGAAGCAATCTCCTTTGTCAACCACTATGGTTATGCTGCTTCCTTTATTACAACATAAACAGCACACAGACACACGGATCCATGGGGGCCATTTATACATTACATAACTTCATACGGTCATATTGCTTACGAAAAAAGTGTCATTTATATTTGAAAACAAAAGGAAAAGAATAAACCTAATGCATGATACATAGGTCAATTCTTGGCCGCCATTGTGAGGGCTTGAATGGAATCGATTGCTTAAAAATTTTGACAAATCTAAGCACCTTGACCCAGTGCACAAATATTTTGCCTGGATTTTCCAAATCTTTGATTGCTAATTGTTAGGCCAAGTTTGAACTTTGAAGCTAGGACTGATGTTTTCCCATCCCAAGCATTCAACCATGTTAGTCACATGGAAAGTTAAACCAACATTTTTCAACATGTTTATATGATCAAGTAACATGCATTCTAAGTATCATGTTCAAATTTTGACATCATTTGTTTCAGCATTTTTCAGGTTCATGTCATTGGGTTGTTTCATAATTAATGTTTTTCATGCATGCAACACCAAAAAGGGTACTTAATTACTTCTTTGACTTGCACACGAAACAATTAGTATACGTTAAGATATCATTAATTCCCATTAATTTAATTCAATAACAAATTTCATAACATAAAGAGTACTGTGAGAATACGTGTTAGCTAATAAAATTTTAATTGAATAATCAAACGTGATCTCTTAATTAATAAATTCGGTAGATTGTATTGTGTAAACTGATTGAAGCTGGAAAAAGTTATCATCTAATAAACCGTGCTATGGAAAATGGTTCCAAGCTCATAGCACAACAGTAATTTCAATGCCAGACTTGTTTCCTCTCCAAAAGCCAAAAAGAAAATTGGCATTTCTAGAAAAAAGATTAAAACATCACACGCAAACGAAATTGATTCACACGCCTAAGAAATTGCCTCTTGCATCATGGCTTCGGTGGCAGGGTGATTTGCATTTCACAGTTTCAATTTCAATATTGTCGTTCCTTTCCACATGCTCATTCTCTGTCCCGAGAGTTGAGTTTTGAAAAGTAATCTATTAATCTATGTATGTTTCATTTCCTTGGTCGTTCTTCTTTGATTAATTTAATTGGAATTTCGGATGAACCTTTGAAGATTTCAGCAACTGTGTCAATAATTCGTTATTCTAATATTAATAAAATTGCTTTGTGAATATCAAAAGGGAATCACAAAATCAACATCTGTATACTTTTCCACCAACATACGTAGATTCCTCCAATTCGACGCTTACGCGAAATTTCCACGGTCAGAATCATTCGCAGGAGCATCCTGGTCCACTAGAGAGTCTTTGGTTTTATACCTGAGCATAATCAAACGGAACCACAGTTTTCCATGGAACTCCAGACACACCCAAAGCTTTCTCTGATATCATCACCAGGGATTTATACTTTGATTCATTGTTCACATTTTGGATTTCCTGCAATTACTGTTGCTTTTTGGGATAATTCCTTTTTGCGCTTGATTCTTCAAGGATGAAAAAGGCTATTCAATTATATACGCCTTTTTCTCCTTTTCCTCCACCACCGACTCATGATGTGGTGCCACCCTGACCCTGTCTCTTTATATATAGCCACCCAGAGTACGATAATAGTACTTCTACTTTCGGAATTCTCATCTCGCTGTTAAAAGCCTTATACTTTTTAGTTCTTTCTGAGTCGATTCAGGTTGCCATGGGATCCAACCCCAGGACCCTCCAAGCCATTGTGGGTGCGCCTGGGGTGAGAGGAAAGAAGGTCGCCGCTCTGTCGAAAGATGGTTTGACTGCTTTCATTCAGTCAATCATTTCCACCAAACACGAAATGAAAGAGCCCTTTTACGTGCTGGATTTGGGTGTTGTCATGGCTCTGTTCGACAAGTGGGCCCGTAACCTTCCCATGGCTCAACCTTTCTACGCCGTTAAGTGTAACCCCAACCCAGCTTTGCTCGGGGCATTGGCTACCCTGGGCTCAGGCTTCGACTGCGCAAGTAAGGCCGAGATTGAATCCGTTTTGTCTCTTGGTGTTTCACCTGGCAGAATCATTTTTGCTAATCCATGCAAAGCAGAGTCCCACATCAAGTATGCTGCAACAGTCGGTGTTAACCTCACAACTTTCGACTCCAAAGAGGAACTTGAGAAGATTAAGAAGTGGCATCCTAAATGTGCCTTATTGATCCGAGTCAAAGCCCCTGATGATGGCGGCGCAAGATGCCCTTTAGGTCCCAAGTACGGTGCACTTCCGGAGGAAGTCACCCCTCTTCTCCAAGCAGCTCAAACTGCACGGCTCACCGTTACAGGGGTCTCGTTCCACATTGGCAGTGGAGCCATGCAGTTTCGAGCCTATCGAGAAGCCATAGCAGCGGCTAAAACTGTGTTTGAAACGGCTGCTAGACTTGGCATGCCCAAAATGCATGTGCTAAACATCGGTGGAGGGTTCACAGCCGGCCCACAATTCGCTGAAGCAGCGTCAACGGTGAAAGCCGCTCTCCAAGAGTATTTCCCAAACGAGCCAAGCTTAACAGTAATTGCCGAGCCTGGTCGTTTTTTCGCTGAGTCAGCTTTCACCCTAGCCACCAACATTATAGGAAAGCGCGTTAGGGGTGATTTAAGAGAGTATTGGATCAACGATGGGATCTACGGCTCAATGAACTGTATTCTCTATGACCATGCGGTAGTCACCTGCATGCCTCTCGCAAGGGCATCCACTCCCAGGTGCAAAGGAGCTAGAACCTACGATTCCACCGTGTTTGGACCCACGTGCGATGCGCTTGACACGGTCTTGAAAGGTTGTCCGCTGCCAGAACTGCAGGTGAACGATTGGCTGCTGTTTCCCAACATGGGCGCTTACACGGCGGCTGCTGGGTCCAATTTCAATGGGTTCAACACGTCAGCCATCCTGACTTACCTTGCGTATTCCAACCCAAACTAAGTGAGGCCCACGGCGAACTGGACTGCATGGTTTCGAGTTTGACATGCCATGGATGCCTCATCATTACGTCTGCGATTGTTGTGACTTGTGAATTATTTTATATCGTCATATTCGTTTCTGCTTGAAATTTGTATCTTCTCTATTGGAATATGATTCTGCAACTAAAAATTTAGATACTTAATGCTAACAAGACGGTATCTCCTACTCAATTTATCTATCACTATTTTCTTTTTCCCCTTAAAGGTTCTTCTACAGTAAGCCTATCGGTTAGTGAATAAAAATTATTAGATAAATAAAAATTAATAATTTATATTTATATTCTCCAACAAAAAATTTAATCACTTACAAATGTTAATTTATAAACATATAATAATATAAATAAAAATAATTAGAGTAAAAATTAAGCATTTCAAATTGTTAGCCGTAAATTTATAAGAATAAACATAACAAATCATAAAGTTAAAATAAATATTATTAAAATATTATGTAAACCTTACTGTAACAAGTCAATTTAAACAAAATGAACATATTTTTAGTGAAAATTAATCATTTACATGTATTAGCTTGAGCAAAAAATATTTAACCATTAACAATGTTAATTAATAAATATATATAAAAATAAAATAAAAACACATGTAATGAAAATTAATATTTAAAAATCCTAATATAAATTTATAAGAATAAACGTAAAAATTCATAAAGTTGAAATAAGAATTTTAAAGGATTGACATAAATGTATAAGAGTTATCCTAACAGGTCAATTTAGACATAATAAACATACTTTTAGTGAAAATTAATCATTTACAATTATATTCTAAAGTAAAGAGTATTTAACCATTTACAAATGTTAATTAATAAATATATAAAAATAAAAACACTTGTAATAAAAATTAACCATTTAATAATCTTAATGTAAATTTATAAAAGTAAAATAAAAATGGTCATAAAAGTACAAAGTAGGGTTGGGCTATTAACTTTTTACAAGAAAGGATTGCACAAAAGTGAGATTTCATTAAAAATATGTAAGAGTACAGAAAAGGGTTGGCCTATGAACTTTTGACAATAAAAGATTGACCAAAAAGTCGGATTTCATTAAATATTTATAGGAGTATAGAAAGGTAAGAGTGAGTAAAATCAATCTAGATTAATTATCCATTCAAATCAAATGCGATTTGGGTAAAATGGTTTGGTCTAATTAGTTTATTGAATCAATTGATCCAAAATGTTTAGTCTAATTGGTTTTTTGATAGGTTATCGGTTTTAAAATTTTTGGACCAATCCACCCAAAAAACCAAACTAATTATATATATTCATTAATATATAAAATATTATATATATATATTAAGAAGAATTGAGAGTAAACTTAATTAATAATATACTTAAAATATATTAATGCATTATACATGCATATACAAATTATAATTATAATAATTTAATGTTAGTTATATATATTAATTTACTTATAAATCTATACTAATATGAAATTACAAGTTATATATTTTAAATAATATAAGTTATATGTTAATATTTATAATATATGATAGTAAATATCCTACATATTAATATATTATAATTATTACACCTTAGTAATATTTCGTAATATAAAATATTATGAATATATATAATTATATAAATATATTACATATACATATATTTAATTTAGAGATAAGCATTACTACAATTTATAATAGATTTTATTTATAAGATTACACTTAATAATTTTATTAGTTATCACATTAGATGCTATAACATATTGTTTATAATTAGTTATTATTTATACAAACTTTGATATAAAACATTTTAACATATAATTTGTATAATTGATTATATATATAATAAAGTAATATATTATATATATGCATATATTTAATTTATACATAAGCATTACTATAACTTAGAATAAATTTTATTTATATGATTACACTTAATAATTTTATTAGCCATCACCTTAGATTTTTTAACATAATGTTTATAATTAGTTATTATTTATACAAACTTTGATATAAAACATTTTAACATGTAAGTTATATCATTAATTTCATATATATAATTATGAATGAAGTTTATAAGTTTTAATATTATAATTTGTAAAAAAATGATAAAATTTTGAATCATTGGGCCAAAACCGGATCAACCAAACCAATTCTATATTTGGTCAGTTTGGTCTTTCTTTATATTTGGTCGATTTTGATCGATTTTTTAAAATTAATTGTCTCTTTGGTCTTTAATTATAGTGGACCAAACCACCCAATCCATCCATTTGCTCACCCTTATAGAAAGGGCTTGGCCATAAAGTGCGATTTCATTACAAATCTGTAGAACTATTGGCCAACTGCCAAAAAATAAGAAAAGACCTCACAAGTTAAAGATGGTGTGACTCTTAAATGCCCAATCTCATTTTAATACATAATCAATGTAGGATTCATGGCTCCTCGTTGAAACCATAAAATTTTAAATCTTATAAAAGTGCAGAAAAGTTATGGTCAACCCTTGACATCAAACAGACATATGGTATATTCTGTAAGAATACAGAAAAAGGTTGACTTGCATTTGATATATTCTGTAAGAATACAAGCCAACCCTTAATAACAAATAGACATTTGGTATATTTTATAAGAATACAAAAAAGTGCCAATAGGAAAAAACATTTGGTATATTTTGTAAGAATATAGAAAAGGGTTGGTCTTTATGGCAAACCTTTGACATTAACAGCAAATAGATATTTGGTATATTTTGACATTGACAGCAAACAGACATTTGATATATTTTGTAAGAAAACAGAAAAGGGTTGCCTATGATAGCAAACAGACATTTGGTATAATAGGTCAAGTGTCACAATCCACGCCAACCTACAGGATATTGTCTACTTTAGCCCGTTGGCGACACAGTTTTGTTCCACAAAAGAGACCTCACTTAGTTTCAGTTAGTACACAACCAATGTGGGATTTATGGCTCTTTGTTGGGACCATGAGATCCTCCTTGATGTGGAATTAATGGTTCCCTCCTTGGACCATGACATCTAACCTCTTTCATTATTCTTGATAAAAGTTGAATCTTCCATATTAAAAAGGTATAATAACAAAAGTTTATGTAAGTGAATACTGTGGAATCTGTATGTAATTAACAAGAAAAAGTTGCTACAAACAGTTCAATAAGAACAAAAAGTTTTAAAAAGATAGTAAATGAAAAGAAATGGTCAAACTTTTTTGGCTAATTAGTCAATTATTTTTTTCAAATTAAGATCAAACTTTTTTTCAATATTTCATATTAAGATCAAACTTATTATCTTATTGAAAAAAAATTAAACATTCTTGAGATAAGACATTATCTCTTGATGATTTTTGTCTTTTTTCAGTTTTCTTTTCAAACAAAAAAAAATTGTAGAGGGTATATTAATTTTTACTCAAATACCTAAGTAGTTCTTGTACTTATGCATTTTTATCAATTTAGTCCATGTACTCAAAATTTGGTCAATTTAGTTTCTTAATTTTGAAAATTGGAGCAATTTAGTCATTTTCCTTAACACTGTCTAGTATTATCGTTAGATGTGATGACGTAAGCACTAACACGGCAGTGCCAAGTGGCACTGACATAATGATGTGGTAACACCAACTTGGCAGATCTAGAAAAAAAAATTTCAAAAAATAAAATCTGTACCATGTTATAGGAACTAAATTGAACAAAATTGAAATGTTTAGAGATTAAATTAAAAAAGTTTTTAAAAAATACAAATCTCTGAGTTAGATGATACATATACTTATTAATAAGTTAAATGTTTAAGTGTAAAAGATTTATAGTGTTAAGAAATATATATAAATATTTTTTTACTTGAATATTTGATTCCATAATTGACACATTAATTAACCATCCTATATTATAATTGCTATATTATAACTAAAATCATCCTACAAATATCCAACATATATCCTTCAAACTAGAAAATCTAATCGTCATTCTTATGAAACACAAAATTGTTTAGCTAAGCTCCTTTCAAACTGTCGCTCTTGACAATGAATGCTGTTGCTTGCTTCTCATACTTCATTAAATAATCAAATGTAGAGATAAAAAAGTACTCCTCATTCCCATCCATATTCAAAAGCTAATACTGAAGCAGCTGCACCCATAACTGCTGCTTGCAAAGCTTTTTTAATATTGGGTAAAATAAATTATTTACATTTATATTCAAAGAAAGAACCAAACAAATGATCAAAGATGTCAACTGTCCTAGAGGTGAGAAACAAATAATTTTCAAGTGAGAAACAAAGACAGATATATGCTAGTGGTGAATGATACTTATGAAAAGTTGGAAAGAAAGAAAGAGAGTAGATTTCAAATTAACAATGTTTTCTGGAATAAATGTCTAACTAACAATGTTTTAGTTATTACATCATATTTATTCATGGCTAAGTTGTCACTTTCACTTCTATCATATCAAACCAAATTAAGATATACAAAGTCTTGAACTCAGACTAGTCGTTGGTACCTAATTTTCCTCTTTAAATCAATAGTTTTTGATGCATAAAATGAAAACATAAGGATGAAGTAGCTTTAATCTATTGTGTTAGACATTGAGATAGAGTGATGAACCAGATAAAAATTCATGTACCATATTAAACATGTTCTTAATACAAGTATAACTTTAAATATTTTCCTACATTCTAGAAACCAAAGGTGATTTTATCTCTAAAAATTAATAATATAATTAACAAGCGTTTTGAATTTGAAGGATTTTAAGAAGGGAGAAAATAAAAGAGAATTTCAAGAAAAAAGAAGTTCCCTTATAACTTTATGTTCCATTTAGCTCTATGGAAACTGATGATATCGTAGCACTAACCAATCAAGGACATTAATGTATATTTTTATTCAGGTTTAAGTTATTTATAAAATTTCCTTATTTCTGATTCATTACACTATCATATTTCCTTATTTTTTAGCAATAAGAACTATGCTAACTGAGGAAAAATAGACTCTCTATTTCTCCTCTTTTGCATTATTGTGCAGGGATAGAAGGCACACTTGGCTAGGGAGTGAAAGCCCATTTTAATGATTAAAGAAACATAAATTATTGTGCTCAGAAATTATTAAGCCCTTATATCAATTTTTATGAAGTTTGAGCTTGACTTTAAGGTGGAGTTTGAGCTCAGAAATTATTTTTATGACGATAATACGTAATACGTTTACTTATCTTACTTGCAAAGCCTTGTACTTTTTAGTTCTTTTTGAGTCGATTGAGGTTGCCATGGGATCCAGCCCTAAGACCCTTCAGGCCATTGTGGATGCGCCTGGGGTGAGAGGGAAAAATGGTCGCCGCTCTATGGAAAGATGGTTTGCCTGCTTTCATTCAATCAATCATTTCCACCAAACATGAACTGCAAGAGCCTTTCTACGTGCTCGATTTGGGTGTTGTCATGGCCCTGTTTGACCAGTGGTCTCGTAACCTTCCTATGGCTCAACCTTTCTATGCCGTTAAATGCAACCCCAACCTAGCTTTGCTTGGGGTATTGGCTGCCTTAGGCTCGAGCTTTGACTGTGCAAGTAAGGCCGAAATCAAATCCGTTTTGTCTCTTGGCGTTTCACCTAGCAGAATCATTTTTGCTAACCCAAGCAAAGCAGAGCCCCACATCAAGTATGCTGCAACGGTTGGTGTTAACCTGACAACTTTCGACTCCAAAGAGGAACTTGAGAAAATTAGGAAGTGGCACCCTCAATGTGCTTTATTGATCCGAGTCAAAGCCCCGGATGATGGCGGCGCAAGATGCCCTTTAGGTTCCAAGTACGGTGCACTTCCGGGGGAAGTCACCCCTCTTCTCCAAGCAGCTCAAACTGCGCGACTTACTGTTACAGGAGTCTCATTCCACATTGGTAGTGGAGGCATGCAGTTTCAAGCCTATCAAAAAGCCATAGCAGCAGCCAAAACTGTGTTTGAAACGGCTGCTAGACTTGGCATGCCCAAAATGCGTGTGCTAAACATCGGCGGAGGGTTCACAGCCCCCCCACACTTTGCTGAAGTAGCGTCAACAGTGAAAGCCGCTCTCCAAGCGTATTTCCCAAACGAGCTAGGCTTAACAGTGATTGCTGAGCCTGGTCGTTTTTTCGCGGAGTCAGCTATCACCCAAGCCACCAACATTATAGGAAAGCGCGTCAGGGGTGATTTAAAAGAGTATTGGATCAACGATGGGATCTACGGCTCATTGAACTGTATTCTCAACGACCATGCGGTCGTCACCTGCATGCCTCTCGTAGGAGCATCCAGTCCCAAGTTTGAAGGAGCTAGGACCTATGATTCCACCGTGTTTGGACCCACATGCGATGCGCTTGATACGGTCTTAAAGGGATATCCGCTGCCGCAACTGCAGATGAACGACTGGCTGGTGTTCCCCAACATGGGGGCTTACACTGTGGCTACTGGGTCCAATTTCAATGGGTTCAACACGTCTGCCATCCTGACTTACCTTGCTTATTCCAGCCCAAAATTGAGCGAGGCCCTTGGCGGACTGGACTGCATGGTTTCGTGTTAGACATGCCAGCGATGTTCTCATCATCTGGTCTGCGATTGTTGTGAATTATTTTATATCTTCATATTTGTTTCTGCCTGAAATTTGTATCTTCGCTATTGGAATATGATTCTACTACTGAGATATTAAACGCTTAATGCTAATCAGACAGTCTCTTCTACTCAAATTCTCGGTCAGTGAATAAAAATTATTAGATAAATAAAAATTAATTATTTTTGTTTATATTCTAGAACAAGCCTATAAGATAAGCATCTCATAAGTTGAAAATGATATTAATTTTAAATGTTCAATTTCATTTTAGTACATAATTAAAGATTAATGACTCCCTGTTAGAACCATAACATTCTTCTCAACATGGGATTAATAGTTCCCACTGGGTCCATGACATCTAACTTGTTTCATTATTCTTGATCAAAGTTGAATCTGCTATAGTATAAAGGTATAATAACAAAAGTTTACATAAGTAAACACTACGAAATCTGTGTCCAATTGTGCATAAAAAGGTTGATACGAATAGTTTAATAAGAATGAGAAGTTTTAAGAACATACTAGAGGAAAAAAATGGTCGCACTCAAGTATTATTATAGTTGATTTAATCGGTTTTAACTAAATTTTTTAATTTTTTTTGTTTTTTAAATTTATTTAATAATATATTAGTAATGTACTTTATGTTACCACATATTACATTATTACTTATAATTTTACTAATATGCTAATATAGTATATTGTTAATATATAATTTTTGACTAATTAGTATATTAATAATTAAGTATACTATGTAGTATACTTGTTATACTATATATTGATTAATTAGTGAATTAATAAGTATACTATGTACAGTGTATTAAGATATATATTATATAATGTATAACTATAAGCAATGTATACTGTATTAATATTTAATATATAATTATATAGTATATATGTATATTGTATTAATATATTACTATATATAGTTATTATATACTTATATAGTGTATAAGTATACTAAGAAGCCATATAATATATAGTATAATAGTATATGGTTATATATAATAATATAATAACATTAACTCATTAAGTCATTAATATATCAATATATAGTATATTAATAAGTTGTTATATTTAATTACTAACATAAGTTATATTACTATGTATAGTGTATTAAGATATATATCATATAATGCTTAACTGTAAATAATGTATACTGTATTGATATTACTAGATATAATTAATATATAATTATATAGTATGCATGTATATTATATTAATATATATTATATTTAGTGTATAACTATAATAATACTATGAATAATGTATTAATATATTACTATATATAGTTAACATATACTTATATCGTATATAAGTATACTAAGAAGTCATATAATACACATAGTATAATAGTATATGGTTTTATATAATAATGTATTGTTATTGACTAATTAGTGTATTAATAAGTATACTATATATTAACAATATATACTATATATACTTATACTCCTCGCAATTCGGCTCGATAAGCTGAGCATTTGACTAGTTTCACCAAATAACCACTTTGCTAATCCCTTTCTGTATCTCTGATAACCCCGCAGTAGCTGCTGTTTCAAGAGATCTCTGAAATGCACCATCAAAATTAACTGCAACCCACCCAAATGATGGCATTTTCCAGCCAACAAGGATTTCTTATTTTCTTGTATTCTGCTCACTAATGGAATCTGGTATAGAAAAAGCAGCATTGATCGATAGCACCATCAGTTTAGAAAAAATGTGAGAGTAAATACATGTAAAAAAAGCCTTTTTGATAATTAAATCTAGTTCTTTATTCATATATATATGTGCAGAAAACCTACGTGAGTGCATACATGTAATAAAAACCCTTAAAATATATGAATTTCAAAATCAATTAATTCAATTAACGAATTTAAATTTTTTTTAACTAAATTAAATTGACTTAACTAAACTTTTTAATCAATTTAACTAAATCAAATGAAATTAACCGAATTTATTGATTAATTCGATTAATTCAATTTTGATCAAAATTTGCTCACCCTTATAAGAATATCAAAACCATAGCTTTTATTTAGGTTGGGTTTACACCTTTAGAGAGCCCACCACTTCAAATGGTCTACGGGCTTAAAATTAAATCAAGATGAACTGGGTCAAAACTGATCAGTGGATAATGCCAATCAATGCCGGTCAATGTTCTAAAAAGTCTCGAACTCCTCTTTCACCTTATCAATTTAATTTTCTCAAAATCTTCACTATTCGCCCAGAAAATCAAAAAAAAAAAAAAAGAAGAAAAAATTTGAAATTTTTGTGTTTTGTCTTGTGCTTGCTAAGACTTTCCTATGTGTTTTTTTCTATGTAAACTATTTGAGAACTTCGCCAAGCTATTTATTTTTTTTGGTACATTAATTAGTTCTGGCTCCATTAAGTATAATGTAAATGCCCTACTTTCTATTGATAAAATTACTGTACTCCTTTCAAGCAAAAAAGGTATAATGTACTGACTATTTATGGAACTGCTATTTTCCAAATTAAAACCAGGGCTTGCTAGAATAGCTAGCTTGTGTACTCAAGGATCAATAACAGTTTGGATCCATTGGGATTTCTCTCCTCTCACTAAGTGGACTTGGAAGTGAAGTAACCATGGTGATCTCAGTTTCAACAAGCTGGATCTTCTCTTTCTAAACTATGTCTGGGCTCTGTTTCTTTCGCATTTCTCTTGAACCCAACCTTTCTCATCTTACTTTAGGTAGAAAATGGATGTAGTTTTGTCCTTTAATCCTGGGATTGGGTGTTACTAATGCTGATGTGCTTTTTCTCTTTGCTAAGAAAATTTCATTTTCTTTACATAAAAGTATAAATGCAAACCGAACAATATTGATTAAAACGTATCCTTTCTTGCCATGAAAGTAGATATAAAGAACAGTTAACAGACATAAATATGATCGCAGTAATTCAATTGTTGAAAGAAAAGTGGGTGCGCTTCTGTTCATGTGGCGCAGTCATCAACCTCAAGGGCATGATTTTCATGCTTACGAGCTAGTGTCTTCTCATCATCTCTTCCCCAGCTATATTCCTAAATAAGATCATGGTGACTTAAAACGAACATCTTCAGCAATGTGACAAAAGATAGCTGGAATGGACTTTAGCTAGCTGGCCTGCTTCCTTTGAATTCGTTTTGGTCTTTCCCTTTCTACATTGATACACTCAGACGAGCTTCAGACAGGTGGTCCTCGCTCTTGCTTAATGCTGTAACATCTTTATCAAACAACAGAGTACTGCCTTCACAAGCTGTCATGCATGCATCTCAAATAAAGGAATCCTGTAAGCTGACTCGTTTCTTGGCAGCAATGGCATGCATGACCCTACAATCTCTAATGTCCACACACACACACGCAAAACTAATATACTACCAATAAACCAGTGCTGTGATTTATTCTTTCGGTGGACTAAAGAGCTTTGATTTCAATTCTTTTCGCATGTTAAAAGCTACACAGTAAAAAATGTGGATGCTCCTGAAGTCTGATAACAACCATCAATGCATTTTTTTTTTAATAATTAAGAAAGAGGGATTCAAACCTTGCTTTTTAAATAGGGAGATTATCCACCAATTAATAAATCAAATGTTCGGTATTCAATTTAATCCTTCTCTTTAACGGTATTCAATTTAACTGTTAAAAGTGATGACATGGCAACTTTTGTGAGTCGACATGCGAACGTGGTAGTGCTACATCATCAAGTCAAGTTGAAAAAATGGAATGCCACATGGCACTGATGTGTTGACATGGCATTGTCACATGGAAGATCAAGGAAAAAAATTTTCACGAAATTAAAATAAGGGGGACGAAATTGAAGAAACAAGCAGGTATAGAGACTAAATTGAATAAAATTTCAACATATGGAGACTAAATCAAATAAAATTTATTTGTTTAGGGACTAAATTTAACCCAAAAATATAATTTTTTTTGAATTTTAAGGAAACAATAAATATATATATATATATAAAAGTATAGATATTGATACAAACTTTTATTGATAATTTTATGTAATAATACATACTTTACTATTTCATACATAAAATGATGTATATTTAGTTTTAATAATGTTTAAATTTATTTATTAATTATAAGGTAATATTTAGTTCACTAATAGTATATAAAATATATAAAATAACAATTCTATCAAGTATAACGCTTATGCAAATATGGTGAATGCTCGTGCAACATAAATAAATACTTTAATTTGTAATTTTCTAATGCTGGAATTACTGATGGTTTATGCAAATATGAAGTTCGGCTTATGAAAGTGTTTAGGTTTAAGTTAAGGGTTATATTGTATTACAATTTTCAGGAGCAAAGAAAATTTCCAAGTAAGTAACTTTTTCCTCTTAATATTCTGGTGGCTTTATTGTTAATTGGTAAAAGTATTCACATAAATTCATCCAATTTGCCAAAGTTGAGAACTGTATCAATGAGAATCTTCATGCATTACCTTTTTTCCTATGTTTTGTTTGTTTTACCTAATGCATCAGTAACCATAACAAATGAAAAAACCAAAGCCAAATTAGCATCCATTAACAACACACCCTAATATTATAAACAAATACATCAACATCAATAAAAATGAAAAAGCAGAACCCAATCTTTGCCAACCTTAAAGACACAACTTAATACTATTCAATAGCAACAGAAAGAAACTTTACCTTGCTCTTCCAGACCAACAGCCTTTTCCTTTTCCTTTCCTCTTCCTCTCGATTTCCTTCTTTCTCCCGAGCTTTCAGCCATTAGCTTTCAACTTTCAAGCTTGTCAAGCACCCTTGAATTCAAGCTTCAAAGCTTGAAAGCTTTTAACGTTTGTCAGTTTCCAGGTGCTTTTCAAGCTTTTAGGGGTTCTATTTTTCACTCTCGGTCTAGCCTTAAACTTGGGATTCTCTATCAATTTGTTGTTGTTTCTCGATTTCTGGTGGTTGGAATATCAAAAGTTAATGACTCCGACAAGGATAGTGGTTGGTTTAGGGTTAAGACACTATTTAGGCTTTTTTTATCGTGGTTTAGGGCAAATGGAAGTGCAAAAGCTAGATAATACCCCCCATGTCGGCTGACTAAACGTGCCACATGGCATTTTCATTAATAACCATAATATTTTTCTTGTTTCAATTTGGTCTCTCTATGTTAAATTTTTATTCAATTTAATCCTTATACTTTACTGATTTTTTCAATTTCGTTTTTCTAATTTTAATTTTCGCTTGGAATTATCCCTAATCTGCATGTCAATGCTATGTGGCATTGCATCTTGTTAGTCTATTTGGGTGACATGGCACTATGTGCTATCATAACACTATCATGTCGCCCCTAACTTATAATGTGACATTACCACGTCAACATGTTAGCCCACATAAGTCACCACATCATCGTATTTTCAACATCAGTGTTGATATCGTCATTTTTAATGATTAAATTGAATATTATTAAAAAATAGATTGAATTAAAATAATTTTTAAAATTAAAAAATTAAATTAATATAATTTTAAATAAAAAGACTAAATTGAAAAAAATCATAATACATAAACTTTCCAAGTATTTTGACCTTTGCAAGTTCGGCAAGGACTTTGTAGGGGTTCATACGTAGGCTAGATGACGCAGTCAAATGTCACGTACGTTTGCAATGTGATTCATTTTTCATTAAATTTGAGCGATGCCTAGCTCTCTATTTAGACACCTGCTAAGCATTTGGAAAGACATACACTCTTTGATGGTTTCTCCTTTTCTCCCTGTTGACCAGTCTCGCACCATGATGTCAAGCTCCAGGAGCCTCCAGCCCACCATAAGTGCAGCAGGGTTGACGAGAAAGAGGGCTACGGCCTTGTCAGAAAATGAGTTGATCGCTTTCATTCAATCTGTCATTTCTGATGAACAGCAAACGGAACCATTTTACGTGCTTGATTTGGGCGTTGTTGCGGATCTCTTTGACATGTGGATTCGTAATCTTCCCATGGTTCAACCATTCTACGCTGTCAAGTGCAACCCCAATCCGGCTCTACTCAGAGAAATGGCCGCACTCGGCTCCAACTTCGATTGTGCAAGCCGTGCTGAGATAGAAGCCGTTCTGGCTTTAGGGGTTTCCCCTGATCGAATTGTCTTTGCAAACCCATGCAAAGCAGAGTCTCACATCAAGTATGCTGCTAGCGTTGGCGTTAACCTAACTACTTTTGATTCAAAAGATGAACTTGAAAAGATTCGAAAGTGGCACCCAGAGTGTGCCTTATTCATCCGAATCAAACCCCCCGAAACCAGTGGCGCAAGATTTCAATTAGGTGCTAAATTCGGTGCACTTCCTGAGGAAGTTGTTCCTCTTCTCCAGGCGGCTCAAGCTGCACAGTTCACTGTTCAGGGGGTCTCCTTCCACATTGGTAGCGGAGCCACCCACTTCCGTGCATTTGAAGAAGCCATAGCAGCAGCAAAAACAGTTTTTGAAAAAGCTGCTCAACTTGGCATTCCGAATATGCATATACTAAACATCGGAGGGGGCTTCACAGCAGGCCCACGGTTCACCGAAGCAGCACCCGTCGTGAAAACCGCTCTCCAAAAGTATTTTTTCAATGAGCCTGGCTTAAAAGTTATGGCGGAACCTGGTTTATTCTTTGCCCAGTCGTCTTTCACGCTAGTAGCCAGCATTATCGGGAAGCGAGTTAGGCATGAGCGTAGAGAGTACTGGATAAACGATGGGATCTACGGGTCCTTCAACTTTTTGCTGTACGATCATGACGATGTGATCTTAACTCCTCTTGCATGCACATCCAACCGTGGCAACCCAACTTGCAAAGGGTTAAAGACATATGATTCCACAGTTTTCGGACCCACATGTGATGCCGGGGACACAGTTTTGAAAGGTCACCCTTTGCCGGAAGTGCAGGTGAATGACTGGCTGGTGTTTCACAAAATGGGCGCTTACACCTCGTCTTGTGGAACCAAGTTCAATGGGTTCGACACATCTGCCATTTCCACTTACATTGCCTACTCCGATCAAAGTTGATTAAACCAAAAAACAATCTGTCTGATCTTGAACTGAGTGATCAGTTTATGTTTGTTGTTGTATCAATAAAGATGAGGATCATGCCCCCAATATCTCTTACTCCGTGGATAAGAACTTCAGTCGAGAAATGAGGCAGAAACCTCTGTCAATAAAACTTTTCCATTGGACTGAGTGTTTTCATATTTGATAATCTATAAATTTTCTATATCCGATTAACAGTCCATTTTCCATCTTTTTGTACTTACGAGTATTCATTACGTAAGAGTAGAACTGTGGCATCGGACCCAAACCCCTGTGCTGTTCCCTTTGTTTTACGTCTTTAATCACAGTCTGATGTGATAAATGCAAACAGTACAATCTCTATTTCTTTACGATCGTTGTTCCATTTATGCACTTAAATGCTAGAAACTCTCTTTCCAAATATTAATTCCACAATTCGTACTCACATACTGATATATATATATATATATATATATAGTATTTTTAAAATTAACCTTTAAAAATAAGATATTTTTAAAAATAATTTTTTTATAATTTTAATTATTTTTATCTAAGTTTGATAAAATTACTCTTATTAAAATTATACACCATGATGTTACACGTCATGTATAAAAATATGTTACACATCATGGTTAGGTTGCTACATGTCATGTACAAAAATATGTTATATGTCATTGTTAAAAAAAATTATTACACGTCTTATTGAAAAAAAAATATTGTTGTTACACACCATATACAAAAATATATTACACGCCTTGTTGAAAAAATATTATTGTTACACGCAATATTGAATAAAGATTGTTGTTACATGCTATATTGAAAAAATATTATTGTTACACGTCATATTTAAAACATTTGGTTATACTTTAATACCTAAAATGTTGTTGTTACTTACGAACTAAAACTTCAAATCTTCTCCACTCTCTTCATTTATTTTTATTTTTTTAACAATTTGACACCGATTGAAATGTTTTTAACATGTTTTCATAAATCAAAACATAAATTTTCTTATTTAAAACATCTATTTCGACTAAAAATCGAAAAAATTTTCTTTCAAAACTTAGGTTTATAAATTTCAAATTCTTAAGTTTATAGGTGTCTAGGTCCCAATTTAATCCAATTAAATACTATTTCAAACATCTGTGGTCATTTTTATCATTTTAGTTTTATCCAAAATACCTAAAAATCAAAATTTTCTAATAGCCACCCATTCCAAGCATATCAAAACCATTGCTTAGTGTCTTGAAAGTGTAAAAAAAGAAATCTAAAAGTGCAGAAAAGAGAAATCGATAGCATAGCAGACGAAAACTGAAGAGAGATCGATAAAATTAAAGATAGCTGGATGGTGAGAGAGAGAAATTAGAAGCACAAATGGAAAAAAAATTATGATGAATGTTTTAATTTATTTAAAATTGTTTCAAAAATATTTTTGACTACATATGGCTAAAAATAATTAAATTTATTTTGATGATTATTTTTAAAATACCCTTATAAAGGAGGAGGGTTATTCTTCGTAACTTTCTCCATATATATTCTTGCATAACATTCCACCTTAAGCAACAATTGCATGTATAGACTATACATAAAAGCCAAAGGATTTGCTAAGATGGTTCAAAAATAATTGCAACAGCCGCTCAATCAACAAGGATCATTGTATTTCCCTATGTGGTATAATTTTCATCAAAAGAGTGAACGTGAAAAGTATTTTTTAGGTCAAATCAAAACTATAATCGTATCGTATCATATCATATTAATCTTATAATAATTGGTATCATATCACATCATATCATATAATAATTGATTATATCATATCGCATCATATTGTATCATATTATATTATAATAATGGATCATATAATATCTCATCATATCGTATCATATCATATTGATCATATAATAATTGGTATCATATCACATCTTATCATATCATGCAATAATTGACTACTTGAGAGTAAGTATTCAATCGATTAGGTCTTAATATTTTTAAAATTTAATTACTTTAATTTTGATAAAATATAAAAAATTGACTGAATTATATCTTAATCAAATTAATTAAAATTGATTTCTATTCGGTCAATTAGATCAGTTTTATTATTTTTTCAATATTTTATATACATAAAATGTGTAATATATTTTAAAATATAATAATCATCATTTCAATTTGCTTGATTGTGAACTTTAAACACCAAAAATCAATCCAAATAATAAAATTATAATCAAAATTAAATATATTAAATCGAATTAATGGAATTCAAATGATGGTTTCAAAAAACAGAAATGCCCCTAGAGCAAGGCCGGGGCCGCTAGTTTTCTTTCTGGTTGATTCAAATGTGGTTGTGTTTCTGTTCCACCGGTCCACTTAAACTCATAATGGGCCTCAAGCTCTCAGTATGGGCCTAATGGGCTGCTCTGGAGATTATATAAAATGAAATGATTTAAGGCGGCAAGTGACTGAAAAGGAAACTGGCCCTGAGTTTGTGTTGGACATCCAACAGAGTCGTGGAAACGCCATCGAAATCTGTCTCATTGCGTCGCCTATGGAAACGCTCGGCTCTCCTGCTGCTGCCATGGTCTCCTCATCTCCGTCTTCTCTCTCTATCTTCTCTCCTAAGCGAAAAGATTCTCCAGCAAGAATCATCCGCTTTCCCACCTCCTCCAAAAGTATTGATTCTAACTCTCGTATCTCTCTTCTTCTTTGTTTCCCTTTCCTCGTCTGTGATTACCGTTTTGGTTTGACGCAACTTTTTTGTTTTTTGTTTTTAATTATCAGAGGACGGTAACGATTCCGATCTCCAATCAGATGCTAACAACACAAGCATCGTCCCTCTTTTCGGCAATCGAACCTTCTCTAAGGTAAAAAAGAAATGAAGAAAGTCGTATCTTTTTCTTTTGATTTTCAGTTTTAGGACGAAATAGTGAATTGGGTTTTGTTGTGTGGGTGTTTTGGGTCATTCAATTTAGGATGAAGCGATGGGGTTGGTTCTGAGCGCGGCGTCTGTAAGAGGGTGGACTACAGGATCGGGCATGGAGGGTCCATCTGTACCCGCCAGAACCGACGACCAATCCAATACGGAGAAAGTCTCCACCTTCCCATGGTCTCTCTTCACCAAGTCGCCACGTAGACGGATGCGCGTGGCCTTCACTTGCAATGTTTGCGGTCAACGAACGACTCGTGCCATCAACCCCCACGCATACACCGATGGCACCGTCTTCGTTCAGGTAATTAGTTTAAACGGAGAGAAATGTACTTGAAGGTCAAAGTTTGACCCTTTGTTTTGTTTTGTTCTTTTTTTGTGGATTACTATGTGAATGATTTGGTTTATGCAGTGTTGTGGATGCAATGTCTTTCACAAGCTGGTGGATAATTTGAATCTGTTTCACGAGATGAAATGCTATGTGAGTCCTAGCTTCAACTACAAAGGGGATCGCCAATGGGATGTCGGATTCAAGTTATTTGGGGAAGAAGAAGATGATGATAGCGGCAATGTGTTTCCTATATGATGTGAAGTGATGGGTTAATGGCTCATACGGTGTACATTTCTTTGCTCATACTGGGAAACTGATTTCAATCGTGTTTGTATATAGCTTCACGTGTCTTATTGTAATTAATAAGTTATAGGGTTCTTTTCAGCTAAACATGGGATTTCCCCCATTGATTGCTGGCTATTTATAATGAAAAACATAGAAACAATGCTTAGTCAGTATAATAAAAGTATGATTGGACATTCTGCTCAGTGTTGTTTTGTTGATGATGAGATATTAATCGGTGCACTTTAAGCCTTATATCTGATGGATGACAACATGTTCTATGCTTTTTCTGGCTTTTTGTATATGTAGAAGTCTTTTGTTTTTATACTTCATTAAGAGGCAGTGTTTTCAACTCTGTATGGGATGTTGTTATGGTCCCTTTTAACCTTAAGGCACAGTTTATCTAGAGATAAGAGTTAGCTTATTTTAAATTTGAGATTGATTCTTAGCTAAACCCTTTGTTTTAGGAAGGAAACTCTTCAAAAGTTTGTACTTGTGAAGTGCAAATGTCTATATTAAACTGTTGCAACTCAAAATCAGGTGCAACTCAAAATCAGGGCTGGCTAACATAGTAACAACAATGAGGTGATATTGCTCCTAGAGAAACTAGTGGTGACATTTGATTGAATTAGGTACTAGGTATTATGCCGTTTTTTCCTTAACTCTGTTAGGGGGTTAGGGCATTTGACACGTGTTGCTTTGTTTGTATATTAATTATAATGTATTGTGCAGATGGTGTCTTAGAATGTTGCATTCTTGAGGTATTTCTGTTTTCTCTTCAAAAGCAATGGTGTCAGATTGGTGTCAACTTCTGCTTAAGCCGTAGTTCAAAATGGGGCTCTGAGATGGGTGGGGATGGCCTCGCTTTCCAGTTCTAAAGTTTCCTCTTAAGACTAATTCATGGCCCTTTGCTTGTGTCACTGTGCTAATGGCATAGTTAAATCTCATCATCTTAGGATTTAGCTGGCTTAACTTATGTAGATTTACTAGCTGTTTCGCCGGTCATAAGACCATATAGAAGGATTAAGCACGTTCTACCTAGTGTGCTTGGAGAAGCTTTTCTGGGTCAAGGTTACTGTTCAAACGAGAATCTTCAATTTTTTAGGTTAGATTAGGGATGCTAAGGCCTGTAACAGAAATGGTTAAGGAGAGGAGAGATATCCACCTCTCTCCGAGCGATTGGCTACATTTCAACACACTCCATAGCTAGCTCTGGTGTGCGGGGCTGTATGTGAGAGGTATCTATGAAATGAAGTGGTTTTCCTAGCATTCAGTGAGAGGGAAGTAGGGTGGAACTTGGAAAGAATTCCTTCAAATTTCGTAAAAGAAACTGTTCGCATGTTGGACTCGGGGTTTTATTCGGACCCAAATTTGATTTCAACCATTTGATAGCTTTAAAAGATTCAATCGTTTTGCTGCAATTGACTTTCTATGTATAATCATTAGATTTTTGATGTTTATCTTCCAACCGTATCTGTAATCTTGTGGTTACTGTACTCCCAATTGGTCTTTCTCTAGCAATTCACAAAAATCTTGGTGTTGTAATGAGCCAGTGCGATGTGCACCACATTTCCAGGCAGCCCCTGGGAGTGGCAAAAAATATCAGCCTGCTGATGGCCATCCTTGCCACTTGTTTTTTTACTTGTAAGGTTGTATGGTAAGATTAGCTTGATTTTATCCTTCTTATCTAACATTTTATAGTTATAACGCCAGGCTAAGAAACATTTGTTTGTTTTTAATGATTGTTTTCCTCCATTATTCGATTTAGATTGAGGTTAGAGACACCCTTCACGTTAGAAATTTCCTTACAATGTTTGTTTCAGGAGAAGTAGATCCACATGTGAAATTAACCACTACTAGTACAACAATTTGATGAATATGTATTCATTTCTGAGACTGAAGATAAAGGTCAAGAAAATATAAGAAGCAGCGAAGCAAAAGAATCCTCTTCTATCAATTTGGCATTACTTGGCTTTGCTTTCCTCATCTCACTGTATTCTCCACCTCACAGCAGAATTCAGAGGGCCCATGCCCATGCCCACGTTATTGGATGGAATCCGACCTGTCCAATCTGAGCGATCCTCAGCAGATAACGCATTTCTCCACCCATTCGCCCTGTCATCCTTAGAATCACTTATCCTCCTTCCAATTCAAGCCACACAAAATCAAACTTCATCTTATTAAAAGCCAATCTCTCTCTCCTGCCCTTTTGATTGCCTCTCACTCTGAGTCTCGAGCACATATCTATCAAGTGAAAAACAGAAGCCTTTGTATGATGGCCGCTGTCACCTCCTCAGCTGTTGCTATCCCATCTTTCACTGGCCTCAAGGCTGGTGCCACCCCAGCTAAAGCTAGTGCCACTGCCAAGGTTGCAGCCTCTCCAGGCCCAAGGCTCAGCATCAAGGCCTCCCTCAAGGATGTTGGTGTTGCTGTTGCCGCCACTGCTGCGAGCGCAATTCTTGCCAGCAACGCCTTGGCCATCGAAGTCAAGCTCGGTGCTGATGATGGGTCTTTGGCTTTTGTTCCCAGCGATTTCAGCGTGAGTGCTGGAGAGAAGATTGTCTTCAAGAACAATGCTGGCTTCCCACACAATGTTATCTTCGATGAGGACGAAATCCCAAGCGGCGTCGACGCCTCCAAAATCTCTATGTCTGATGAAGATCTACTTAATGCCCCAGGAGAGATCTACTCTGTTACCTTGACTGAGAAAGGAACGTACAGCTTCTACTGTTCCCCTCACCAGGGTGCTGGCATGGTTGGAAAAGTGACCGTTAACTAAGTTCTTTGTAAAACTTTTATGTACGTTTCATCTCAAACGTCTCTCCTACTTCTTGACTGGTATCGGAGTTTTAGGTCCTGGGGATGAGAAAATGTCTTAGATGAATCTCAAAAGGAAGAGATGCTTTTGTGTCCTTGATTTGCTTTGAATTTCTGTCGATTTGGTTGTAACACGACTTATATTTTTTTCTTCCCATTTAAATTTTCCTTGAAAAAGACTGTTTTCAATGATTCCACTCCAGAGATGAGAGGCACAGTTGCTATCTATGGAAATATTAGGCCAAAGGAAACTCTTTAAACGTTCCTGCTGTAATTTAAGGTGGAAGAATTGCAGATATTTAAGCCAATAGTACAGACTTACTGATTTCAATAAATAGAATATGGGCATCAAAGTACAAGCCATTGCTATGTGAACCCTGCCTCTGTAATCTGCACTATGCTTGTAGGAAGAACTATATTTGCCCCACTCTCTTTTCCCCTTCTCGCGTGCTGGACTGAAAGTTGATGAATCCATACGATGATATCAACACGAAAACTTTTGAAGCCTATGTAGTAAGAGCATCAGGAAGCGTTGTTCGAGATCCAAGGACCTTGCCTCCAACATCTGGGAAGGTCTCTTGTCCAGGCAAGGGGCTTACTTCGCCACTGCAATCTACCTCAATGGGGTATTTGAGGAGGTGCCCCTGTAATTGTGTAAAGGACTCGGCTGAGTACCTTTTCCAGTTTTCCTCAGCAATGTTGTTCACACTCTTCACGCAACCCAAACTTTCAGGTTCCTTGAAGAAATAGTCCACCTTCCCCATGTGTTCTGCCCACAGCGACATTCTGTACCCGTAAACCTGCATAGTCATCAATTAATCTGATCCACATTACTTCTCTAATCTTAAGATAGAGAATTATAATCGCATTCAAATAGGCAACCAGAATGATAATGCAGGTATATTGTGGCGTAAATTCTATGGTCTAGGCATAACTTAATTGGTAGGCATGCTTCTTCTGAAATCGCTCCCAGTAAATCCCCCTTCTCAACATCGACTATGGAATAAAACAAGTGAAAGTCTAAGCCTCTTTTATTAGCAAGCATGCTGGTGCACAAACATTAACAATCACTAAAACAAGGTCCTTAGGAAAAAAAGAAAAAGAATGATAGATTGAAAAAGGGAAACAAGGACCTTGTGGACAGCACTTCTAGGTCTTGGGCAATCCCCAAAGCAGGAAGCAAAGTTTGAAAATTTACTGTATAAGATATGAAACCCAAATGACAAGGATGAAGGTTCAAACCTGGCCACGCGGGTGTCTCTTCCTCTCACCCCATGTGTAATGAGGTTGATATGCACCCATCGCTATCTCGGTGTCCCTTGAACCAGCCAATGATCGTTGATTAATATTGGCAGACCCCAATATCACATACTCGTCATCTACTATCATTCCCTTAGCATGCACATAAATCATAAACCGCTGGAACTTCTGTGAAGCTGAAACCTGAAAATAGTGATTTATCTTCACATTCTTAGCTCCATATAAAAGATCAACATCTGAACTTAAAACACTTTTATTACCCAGAAAACTGATAAGTCAGCAAATATTTACTCCTTGCTTCAATCATCTAAACTCCGAATACAAAGATTAAAGCACTAGAATTCAAAAGGGAGCAGAAAACTAAAATAATCCACTATATATCATCAATTAAAACTTACTTGTTGGTCTAGCTAAACACAATTTTGTCATTCCTTTTGTGATTGCTTAGGAAGAGGAAATTATTATCCTATGAGCAGGTTATTTTTTGTGATTTTTCTTGTCAGATGTAGCATCCACATAGCAAAACCACTGAGAAGAATTTGTATCAAAATAAGTAAATATTTAGAAATTCATTCTACTCACTGAGGCAAGTATATGAATGTCAAGAGCCATTAGTCAAGTCAAAAGAACATAGATGAAATGGCTTTAAAATAAAAGTGAACCTGGTTCCACTCTAGGTTGGGACCAAACTGAGCTAACACAAATCAAAGCTCTAACAGTCAATTTAACTAAGGATATAACTTGCTGTTTAATTACCGAGTCACCATTATTGGAGAGGGATGAACTTGACCCAGAAAATTCTTTGGGAATTTCTTCCCGATTACCGAGGCAGTAGAAATTTAGGTAGTCCTGTGGATGAGAATTCTCCATACGCATGGATTTCAACTCTTGTGCTATGATTCCATACATCATTTGAATTGTCTGTCCCTGAAAAATCAAAAACACTAAGCCAAGTAACAAAATGCAAATTGCTAGCAAGGACGAGAAGTCATCTTGCAAATGAATCATCTATTCTTCCTTGCAAGTAAACAGCCATTTACCATAGCCTTGGCAGTTTCAAAAGGTTTAAGTGAACTGTGCCAACTTAATACAAACAACCTTGGCTAGAGCTTAGTTATAAAATTGTTTGCATCACTTCTTAAAGAATAGTACATTGGTGTGAAATTATTTTAAAAATTTTAATAAGAAAAGAATAAAGCTGAAATCAGTGCCACAGAGTTTGATTATATACTCTTCTACTCTAATTCTAGGTGACATTACTAATATTGTTAAGACAGTAGTTTCTTTCATTCTAGTAATAAATGATTGGAAAAGGAAAGAAACAAAATCTAGTCATATTACCTGCCAAAAGAGAATTTCTTGCACGGATGCTGAAGAAGGGACACCCTCGGGCCACATTGGTATAACAACATAAACTGCAAATCTCTCCTTTGCTCTTATCTTACTAGCAATCTTCAATGCCAATTCCATAGGAATTAAATTATCAGCACCTAATCATACCAAAAAGAAATATGACTTCTGAGGAGAAAGATCATCTCTTGGAAACAGAGACCAAAAGAGTAATAGTAGTATATTAGACTTCCGACCATATTTAATCCTCAATTACCAAAAACAATAAGCGTTTTCATAATAATAAGAACACGAATGTTCATGAAAGTTGAACCTCTTCTTAGATTCACAAGCTTATTATTAAAAAATGGCTCTGCATGAATCTTATAAAGCACAAATTTCATAAGAGGGGCAAATAACTCTGTTGTACGAGACATGATTTTCTGAATACTTCTAAGGAACAGTATGGAATGCTTTGAGTGTAAGAAATTATGCAAATAGCAAACAGAAGTTTGTAAAACCTGCTTCTTTGTAAGATGGCCAAGCATATGATGATCCAAGGAAATATTGGTTCTCAATATATATGAAGTGCTGTGCACATCTAATTGCCTGGATGTATGCTGTCTGAATGCTCTTGTCTATCACCAGATTTTTTGCACAAACAAGATTCTGCAGTAAAATAAAGTTGGAATAAATGATCCACATTGCACAAAAATGCAACATAAAGAATCTAATAGTATTTTAAACTAGAAGAAGTACAATGGTAAGTCAAAATATATATAATGAGCTTGCTGTTTCTTTGTCCTAAAGAAAGAGAAAGGAAATAAAAATTAATACCTGAGATTCTGCTTGATAAACATCTTTAGGAAACCCTTTCACAGATCCTGAATCTATAGACCGGAAAACCTGCCAATTTAAAGAACTGGATAAGGGTTAGATCTAATTGAAGTACTTCGCTTCAAAAATGCATTTTAGTAATTTACCTGAACATGCCAGTTCTCTGGATCTCCTTCCTTGGAAACCCATAATGCAGGATCATCATTTGAGACTGATGCAGAAGGGCTTAGTATCCATGAAATGCGTTCTAACTTTATCAAAGAATCATCATGCCACCTAGTAACCCTTTTGAAATGAAGTCCAAACTCTGACCATTTTATAGCTTTCCTCCAACGCTGCTCAAAGTTTGTAAGAATATCATAAGCAGCAGGCCCTTCAACCTTACAATGTAAATCATGCCATGGTTGCCTTGGCCCCTTGGTTCCTGCCTAACAATTAAAAGGAAAGAAAAGACAATACAAAGAAAAAAATTGAATTAGTATGAGCCATTTAGCTCGAAATTCTTTAAATTAATTGAAGATTATATGCCCTACACAGAGGAGAAATTTAGGTTGGAAAAAGTAACAGTACATTTGTGCAGAACCAGGTGAAGTCCTAGTTTGACTGCTAACAGCATATTAAATTTAGCAGATCATATCAACCACTTGAGAAGAGAATGAAAATTCCAAACAATGAGATACTCACAGAAAATGTCGGGTTGTGATAATCATCTCGAAATACAGTATTAAGATCCTGAAATAATCGATGTTCAGGTGTATCATAGCGGCCATCACAAAGGTCCAGACCTCCCATAAAAGCAGTAATCTTTCGATTGTTTCCAGATGCTTGCGAATCAACAATCACACATTTCTGATGGTGTGTAAAAAGGGTTCCAACAACCTGGATTACAAGCCACAATAAAGTAAGTACATGCTTCAGTTCCTAAGAATGAATTTTCTCTCTGGAACAACTATGTTATTTAATAGTCAGCACTAATGATGGAAAATGTGCAATAAGAACTGGACCATAGCATAAAGCATGCCTGTTGCTTGAAAATGCTAAGCTTACTGCTGGCATAACGAGGGGACAGAACACATGAAACAGAAGAGTGCTTGAAAAACTTCCGAGTCTCTTCATCATGAGTTTGCATCACTCCGGACTGCAATCAAACACCTTCCATATTAAAAACTATAACAAATAGCTACCCTCAATCAACAAAGATAAAAACAGAATATTTATGTAAACCAAAATGAAAAACCAAGAGCATCTGATTTCTGTTTTGCAGAAAGGGATCATCCTGGTCGGCAGGAAGAACCCAATTACAATATTAAACTGAAAAAGTCACTTTCTCAACGATGCAGCAGTAATTTTAAAAACAGCCAGCTAATGAAAGGCAAAAAGCTAGCATCGTTGAACAAAAGAGAAACCATCGTTAACAAGTTTTCTTCTTTAGGCAAAAGGACTTGGTATTGCACTGAAGTACAAGGCTTTGAAAACAACAAATTTCCAAAATTCAAACCCCCCATCATTCCTTTATGCAAAAGCCTAACGCAGAATCCAGAAACAGAGGAATACTACAAATTTCCCGCTAGAAAGACAAAGATTTTTCAAAAGCTAACATCACTAAAGACTAAAGACAAGACAAAAATGTTGAAAAACCAACAAAAAACAAAGAAAAGATTCCTAATATTTGCTAAGAATATTCCAGAAAAGAGAATAAGGGAAAAATACATACCGTGTTAATGAAAAACTTGCTATGGGAAGTCTTGTCATCCCAAACCAACAACAGAACTCTGACCCCTTCCTGCGACTTGTACTTGAGCAAATCCCCCAAACTCAAATTCCCACCACTTGGCAACGGCCTCGTCGGCTCTCTTACAAGCTTCACCTCGTGAAAAATGGACCACCCGACGATGTAAACCAAATGATGCGCTTCTAGGATTGCATGACAGATATCTTCCCAACACGGCTCGTGCTTGAACACGGTTCCGTTCTCCAATTCAATCTCCGGTAGCATCGATTCCTTCACGTGAGCGTCTTGGTATAAAGTAACGGATCCCCCGTGCCGAACAGGGAAATAACAGTTTCCAATCCCGAACTCGGTCGGGTTTGCCTCCATTCCGTATCTGTAAAACGGGATTTCCTCGCATTTGATGAATCTCATTTCCAGGCGAACCGCGCAGTCAGGCTTTGGCGGTTTACCGTAAGAGCTGATTATAGGGAACCAACCGCTAACGGTTTCACCGGAAAGAACCTTAACCGCTGACACGGTTGCGACCCCGATCAAATCGGCGCCGAACACGTCATTATCCTTAACGTGAAACTCGACGTGAGATGCTGGGTGCGCCAGGGGGATTTTGAAGCGCTCGTTCCAAATCGGGTTCTGGGAATTCGAAATCACGCGCGTCCGTGCCACCGTGGCACCGGCTAGGCAGACCGTTACATAAGGGTCGCTGGTGATGATTTTACGGTGGTGGTGATTCTTCTTCCGTCTAGAAAACGGGGCTCGACACGTGTCGAATGCTGTTAAGCATCGACGGAGTCGCTCCGAGAGTAAATCCATGTTCGGCAAGCATCGAGCTTCGATGATTTTCAAATCAAGGTCGCCATGCAGACGTACAATTGAATCCGAAATATCGTCCGCCATTGAATCAAATCGAGATATTTATTCAAAAGCCAGACGAAAAACAGGAAATTGTGGAATCTAAGTAGATAAAATAACAATGTGAAACGTAGGTAGGTGAAAAGAAGAGTCAGGTTTTGCTTTTCTTGTTTTTGGTGGTTAATTTTCTTATGCTTTCGCGTTGGCTATAACCAGAGGAACAACAAATCTTACTGCCGCATTCTGTAAAATTGGCGTTAGGTTCAAAACAGCAGAATCCGGTTTGGTTTCTCCGACCAAGCCAACGGCGACAACCGAAGGCACTGACAAGGAACAGAAAACAAAAAGTTAACGAATTTGTTTTGTCATGTTAATGATTCGTTTTTTTTTAAAACAAAAATTTTTCGATACACGTGGCTGTCATTAACCTGTGGGTTTTGGGTAGTTACATTTATCAGATTTTGCGAAATCATGGGTCCAATTTCTCTTCTTTTTTTTTTTGTTTTAAAGAATAAGATCAAGTTCCTGTCAGATTCCAAAAGGCCAAGCTTTACAATACTAGCAAGAAAAACAGAAGGGGAAGTTCCATAATCACATCAAATTCAATCCAAATTAACTTCGAATAAGAAAGCTTGGAGACTGGTTGGTTGTGAAGGTGAGATATGGTGAACGGACCAGTTGACAGAGGCAGAAAGAAGTTGTGGGGTACTAAACATTGATGGGAAGCATGAGCTTGAACATTTCCTAGTTGTCAGCCACGTGGTGACAGCGTTAAAACCGCGTTTGAAAATTCGCTACGCTACTTCACGGATACTGCATCCTTGGCCTGTGGTTAGTTGCTTCTCCTTGTCAGCTTTCATGTTTTAGATCTGCTTTGCCTTCCAACTCCAGCCAATCAAGTCTGATTAACTCGGAAGTTTTGTTAATGGGAAAAAGCGTTTCTGTATGAGATTTCCTTTTCTGACAGATGAAACGCGTGAATCCCATACTTCCCATAGTTCGTAAACCCCCATGGGCCATGGGTGGAAGGTCATCAGAGGTTGGCATTCAGTGTTCTCATGACCCCATGAAGGGAAAATAATTGTTCAATAAAGTAGAAACAGAGGGAAAAGTGAGTTTTCTCAAAAAGGGCATTGAAATCTTTTAAGCTTTAATCATGTTAAAGAAATCATATGAACAAGCGATGACGGCGCCCGCTGATAAGAGAAGAGAGAGAGACACACACGGGGCAGAGAAGATCCAATTTGTTTTTGTTTTCCTGTTTACTCTTTTCACAGAGAGACTTTTGTTTATTGATTTTGAGCTTCCATTTGTGTTAATGGTGTTCATCATACGTCACCTAGTTTCACCTTCTTCATATATCTGTAAATATTGGAGATTTAAAGATTCACGATTGGAAATAACATCAGCATGAGGTTTTAACTTAATTTCTATATATTCCTTTTGAAGCAAACTTGGTGTCTGATCACTGTTGATTGAGAACAAATCACAGTTAATACTACCAAAACTTACAGCTTTTTCCCCCTTCTTCTTTCATTTGATGTATGAGAGGGACATTAGACCTTGCATTAGAAAAAAAAGATCCATCACCACCCATAAATTGAAGCGTTACTCAACCATTTTCATCAATGGTTTTTCACATTTTTTGTGATAAATTTGAGAAACATCAACAAGAATATCATTATATTCGCATATGCTCCCAACTCTTGCATTTCTTCTGCAGGAGGCTTTCATTACATGGCAAGCAACCTGCTTTGTCTCTCTCTACTGATTGAAACTGACTATAATACAAAGTTCAGGGGATATTCCCAACTTTAATGATATAAAGCAGTAACACTATCATAGTAAATGAGCCACTCCCCAAAAAAAGGAAAAAAAATAATCATAATTGATGTGCTTTTAGATCTAGGTAACCAGCATTCAGTGTGTCTCTTGCAGATGCAACTGAAATAAGGCTCCTTTCTGCAGCACCGAGCAGGCTCTATATCTATACCAAGTCAAACGGTTTGAAAGCTACAGCTTGTACAGCTATAGAGGACCATTTCAACTTGAGAAGTTCTACTTCCAACATTTCTAGTCGTTACACTAATATTTTTGTACGAATTGTTGAAAGATTTTTGCGAGTAATGATAACCTCCAGTAAGGAATTATTCAGAGTTTCAGAGTTTGGAACATACTCATCCCTTGTTAGGCTTCCATGCAGTTGTAGTTGCTAACTCTTTGACTTGAAATTGGAGGAACGGCCCTTATCATGAGACTCTGGAAGAAGGCTACCATCTACAAGAAAATTGTCTAATTAGTAACTGTACCCCCAAGCAAAGAAAGAAACCAGAATTTGAAAGTTCAATGGACAGTCACTATGCTCTGATGCTTTTGTCAGATAATATTGCTAATATACTATGGAAAAATAAAATAGCTTTTGGTGGCCAAGGTCGATTACTATTTGTCTAGGTAAGCAGCCGGAGCATTCATGAATTGCATTTGTGCACATCCTTGATTACACCTGCCCCAAGCAGGTAAAATGGACTGCACGCAATCATTTTCAGAACTCCAAGGAGGAGGGAAATATGACCAAAAATATTACTCCCATAACATGTGTACTGGTACATAGATGAAACGAACTACTCATCATAATGTAATAATGCTCTTACCGAGGCAAACCCAACGCACATGATACTGAAACCAGGGAAATAAAATGGTGCTCCTTCTGACAGGAACAAAGCTGGAAGAATGAGTTAACAATGTCAGTTTTTAATTTAGATTGAGCCTAAGGATAAGCTGAATTGAGTTTTGAGGAACCTGTTAGAGGAGAGAAAATCAAGGGAGATGCAACATTGGCAAAGGAACCTATGCCTGAAATGAACCCTTGAGCCTTTCCCTGAAAAAGGGTCAAAAGGAAACAGGCATTAGTCTGTTTTAACAAACACGAAACAAAACTGAAGGACCTAGTCAAAGGTGGATTTGTAATACATGGCATATTCAGATCAAATATTTGATAATCAAAATTTATCTTACATTTTGTTTCTTCGATTTGTCATTATATTCTCAAGTAAATTTTCTTGGTTATGTTTGATTTCCTATACAGTTTATGTGGAACCTAGTTTAAGCTCCATTTCACTCACACCATGGGAAAGGAAAAGGCCCATACTTGTTTAATGAAAACAGGATTTATCTTCACAAGACTTTCGCTAAAAGAAGCATATCTACCAAATAATACCTGCTCACAGGGCCCAACTTGTTTAGATACGATGCTCCGTATCTGCATATTTAAAACAAAAATTGATCACAAAATATGCTAGAAGACATGCTGAAGATTTTGTAAGAATAAATGAAGTAACAAACTTACACATGGCTGTGAAAAAACATAGAATAAGGAGAACACAGCTGCTGCATAAGGTACCTGCCATTTTACAAAAGTATAGGCCATGGTAAGATATAACTTAAACTAGTGGAAGCAGAGGGAGAGAGTCAATCATATTAAAAGTTTAAAGGAAAACAAAATTTTGAATGTCAGTTAAGTTGCAGGAATTACCCAGACGGACCATGCAATGCTATAGAAGAACATCTGCATTCAAGCCCATAAATTGTTAAATAAAGAATTAAAATAAATTATAAAGACAATAGTTTATGCACAAGATCATCACATGTCCAGTTACAATATTAATATACTAAAAAAAAATCAGTCATGTGTTAATGGAACAAACATGTACGGGCTGTAAATTACATGGAAAGAACATGTAGCTTACATGTGCACAGTTGAAAAAAAGGCCTATTGCCAGCAATCTCTCCTCTCCGAGAGCAGGAGCTAATATGGGCATGAGAAGCAGCTGCAAGATGGCTTCAGTTTCAGATCAACTGGAAAATTGCAAATAAATGAAAAGAAGAATGCAAATGACTTAAAAACAGAACAAAAATATCATGCCTGGGATATAGTCCCTGCAACTCCAGTAATGACCATTAAGTCAGCAAACTGATCTTTGTTGAAGTGAAACCTGGCCTTTAAATAGTACTGCACAGGAAAGTTCAACCGGTTCATCTTCTCAACTGGAGTCAAATGCTTCACTTAATTCTTTATGAAAATCATTCAAACCTTTTGCAAACACAAAATTTGCATTTCTGTTTATAACTTGAAATGGTAACATTGGTCAAGTTCATGAAATCGATTATTAAAACTTATTAAACAAAAACTACATGGAAAAATGAAACAAATGGATTGATAGATAGATTTGTAAGTGACAATTTAGGAATCCAATCTTACAGCCACAGATTATTGTACAAGGAAAGAGTTTTGTGCAACTCATATGGGATTAGAAAGGTACCAATAACGAAGCATGGAGGCCCACATCAGAGAGATTGCTGAAAAATGAAACAATTGCCGCTTGCGAAAGTGTCAAACTGCACATTTTGCCATTCAGATAAGAAACATTAGGTACTTACTCTAAGAAAAATCAAACAGCAACAGCTTGAAGTATAAGGCTTATCAAATTTGTTTTGGGTAATCTCTAAACGTCTCCTTCTTGTCAATTAAGAAAATTGAGGCAAGGATAAAAGAGATGAGCAGGTTATAGGTGTTGAAGGAAATTTTAGACACCTGCTCTTCAACAA